GGCTCTTCACTCCGCCTAGAGGTCCTCGGGTTGATCTACGCACTGGCAGGTCGTGCTATTGCGTTTGGGTTTCCCTATGATTTCAACCATAGTCAAGATGGCGCATGCGCGCCTCCCCAGTTCTCTCGAAAGATGCTCGCTGCAAGCAATATTGCTATCCAACTCTGCTTTTTCCCGGTTTTAGTGTATTAGAAGTGTTCGATTCCCGTATTATTCCATACCAATATGTGTGACAAGTGCCCACTGGGAACTAAGACTAAAGGAAGAAATTACTCGGGAAGGAGGGGTAAATATGGTCGCCCGGGAGGCGTCTCAAATCCCTTTGCATGCTTAAGTTCATTATTATGGATCGTATGTTAAAGCCTATGCAGGTTCATTCTCTCGATGATGGGGCGCCAGAGAGTTAAATTATATATATCTATATGCCTAGTTCAAACTGGGCTCTTCCACAGAGGCTGTCTCACTTAACCTCCCGGCTCAAAATCCTCAGAATCCAGTCCACCACGAGTTCCGGGGCACTTGTGACGGGGACATGGCCAGTGGCAATTCTTGTCACGTCTACCTCCTGCCCACCCTCACTTGCAATTGTATCAATCATCTTCTGCTGCACTTCTGCCGGAATGACCAAGTCTTCAGTGCACAGCAGATATGCGACGGGGACATCCTTGTATCCGGCATACGTCAATGGATTGGCCATACTGGCCGCTGAATGGTGTGTGAACTGCTGAGCCCATGTCATTCCCTCGTCGGGGGGCACATCGGAGAAGGCTGCGGCTGCGACAGCCGCGGTATCGACGAGACTCATCCATCCTTTTTCGTCGACGGAAATATCCATACTCGGACCATTCGCTAATACGTCCACAGACGACTTGCCCTCGGGTGGCACCACAGCCGTCATATACGCCAGCTGTACCACCCCACCAGCGTGCTCGCTGCCCTCCCTCTTCACCAGACCCTGGATGCTCTGGCTGGCGGGCATCCCGCCGTACGAGTGCGCCAGCACAACAACCTCCTTTCCTTGCTCCACCAGTTGGTTAATCTCACGAGCAATTACCGCGGCATCGTCGTACATGGTGCCAGGCTCGGGAAGGGGACCATCGCTGGGGGCCACGCTGGATAGCCTGATGGTGTGGACTTCGTAGCCCAAACTTGCGAGTCTTGTAGTCACCCGAACATAGAGGTCAGGTAGGGCGTAGGCTCCTGGAACAACCACAATTGAAGGCTTGCATTGAGGCATGATGTTTGAATTGATAGATGATCTTGCTTGTAATTGCTACTCATCCTATTCCAATAACCATTGGGCTGTATACTTTATTTAACACTATCACTACGCATTAATTGATTGCTAATAATGAACTAAGCACCAGAATAATGTTATTAATCAAGATTAGACCGGGTGGTGTTAGTCTATCCTACTTGAAGCAAGCGAGTAAGCCACTACGGGCTCTATCTATTCCTTCCGACCCACCCGCGTCAGCACGCTTACACATGCCATCACTTCCTCCCATGATGGAATTATCTGATATTAATCAGCAAGAAAGTTCTACCTGGAAAGAAAGGGGCCGCTATCAAAATGATGGCATAACGGGCTTGTCCTTGGAGAAAGGAAAGGTAGGCGAAAATCTCTTTGCAACCAAGACAGGGGCTGCCTATGCGGATGTGAACTTTCGTTTTTAGATGTGTGATATACTGCGTTATCAGACTTTCCTGTTCATTTCTTGTTTCCGCAATCTCAAGCGATTTGTCAACAAGCGACTCGTTACTTTTGCGATTATGACTTTGCCAAAGTAAGCCATCATGCAGGTGATAGTCTGTCCGAATATGTAGAGTTATGATCCTGAGGATCGACCCTTATTTGATAGCTGGTCATAAATCATGACTTCCTCGGTCTAGCCAGGCCTGTAAAGGGTTGCTGGGTCAGGACCCCGTACAACCTGGCGCCAGCAGTCATCATTACTTACCTAAGCCTTCGAGCATGGAATTCCCATTTTCATGAGTAAGATACGACTCTCCAGAACCGCTTCACCATATCTCCTGCCGATTTCGCTTCCCTTGTATCCGCCAAACGGAATGCTCCGGTGAATCAAGTTATACATATTCGCCCAAGTTGTACCTAAGCGTAGAGGCTCACCACCAAGACGGTTTTGGGCCACTGCTGGTTATCTACCCGTATCAGTCTGGGCAGGAAGCTGTCAAGCTTGCGAGCGACACTTCTGTGGGACTGGCGGGCTACATTTTCACCAATTCCTTGCCGCGGGCTTGGAGGGTGGAGGAACTCCTAGAAGGTGAGTGGGCTATTTGTTACTAGACGACATGTGCTGTTAACAAGTCCTAAATGGCATGACTAGCCAGGTCAATTCGGTATAGTCAACTTCGGGGTTTGCTGCCATGCACAATGGGGGACCCGGGAGTCTATTGAACCAATAGGACAAATATATAGTTAAATGCGTTTGTTGCATGGCATAAAAGCCAATTTGGTTATATGACGAACTCGATAATACCCAGGCATAGTCCTTTTACCAAAACCTCGGGTCTACTAGCCAGCTATATCCAATGATAATCAGTCGAGTAAACTTATCAATACTTTCGCTTATTTATTTGTTTGAAATTGACTTTTCTTGTACATACCAAGGTGGTACATACATTCCATGCTAAACCATCCAAGAGTAACCACTCACTAGCCAGTGGCGACATCCAACTTCTGGCTTAGAAGGGAGCAGTAATACATCTCTAATATACTATTTCTACAGTGACAGCCTTGTAGTGTATATACAGTTAGCCGAAATTGCAAGCATGACTGCAACTAAATTTATTCGAAGCAGCTAGTGTTACCTCCCCGTCCAATTTTAACCCATTTCCTATGTGATGACTAGAACTTACTGGTACACAGTAGGTGTCCTCATCCAAATCTGGTGATAGATTTCTTATTTTCCAGGTTGCAAGATCTGACTGAAAGTGCACCTAATCATGACTAAGCTCTCCTACAGGCGGCGTCAACTGCAAGGAGGTTCAAGGTTTCGCCTTCCAGCAGAACCCATGGTTACTGTTCTCACGTTTGCATGCTTGTCTCAGCCCCACCTCCTTTATTCACCCGGGAATGGGGAATGCCCCTTGCAGCTTCTAGGTCCGGCCAGGTGTGATATATCAGTCAGCTCCTTCGCGATTGACTATCTGGCCGATAACAATATGGAGAGGAACAACAGCCATATCTCGATGATAGCTCTCGGGGCTGCTCTTTGTTTCTTCTATGTGATAAAGATCCTGCGGCGCAAATGGATACAGTCCCAGATTATCAGAGACACCCACTGTGAACCGGCAGCGCTGGGCTCGAAGGATCGCCTTTTTGGCATCGATGTACTTCTGCAAAACTTCCAAGCAGCCAAAAACCACCGTCTCCTCGAACTCATTCAGCGCCGATTCCAACAATACGGAAATACATTTCGGGTAAAGCGGTTCGCAACCCCTTTTATTATCACCTGTGAACCGGCAAATTTAAAAGCTGTTTTATCCGTCAAATTCAAAGATTATGGTCTGGGAAGTCGTATCGAGACGTTCGGACCGCTACTGGGGCACGGCATCTTTACCTCTGACGGTGAGCACTGGGCTCAATCCCGCGCCATGGTGCGCCCCAACTTCGTGAAGGACCAGATCGCAGATTTAGAAAAGCTCGAGGAATTGATGCTGGGTCTACTGGAGTTGATTCCTACAGACGGCTCAACTGTGGACCTACAGGATCTCTTCTTCTGCTATACCCTCGATTCCGCCACCGAGTTCCTCTTTGGCCACAGTGTCCAGAGCTTGAACCAGCTTCGTTCCGGTGTGGTATCTGGCGAGAACTCTTTTGCTTCGGCTTTTAACTATGCCCAGCATGCTATCGCTAGAAACACCCGTCTCGGTTTCTTGCGGCGTTTTGTTCGTGACCACAAGGCGATGCGATCCAATCGTATCTGTCATAATCTGGTTGAGCAGTTTATTGATAAGGCTCTCAAGTACCGTGAAGACTATACAAAGAAGACTTCCGGTGACGAGGAAAGGCGCTCCCGCTATTTGTTCTTGCAAGGTCTGGCTGAACACACAGGTGACCGCGACCGCATCCGTGATGAACTCATGAACGTTCTCCTTGCCGGCCGTGATACCACCGCATCGCTACTGAGCAATTTGTTCTTCATGCTGGCAAGGAAGCCAAATATCTGGAAGAAGCTGCGTGAGGAGGTCGCGACGCTTAACGGTTGCGCGCCCACGTACCAGCAGCTTCGGAATCTGACTTGTCTCAAACACTGTCTAAATGAGTGTAAGTTTCCGAAGTACAAATGTGCCATTAGCTGGCAAGGCTCATGATTTACTGTGTAGCGCTCCGTTTTCACCCAGTTGTCCCAGTAAATTCTCGTAAAGCACTCAGCAATACTGTGCTGCCAGTCGGTGGCGGTCCCGGCGGGAAATCCCCTGTTTTCGTGCCCAAGGGCACTATCGTGTTCTACAGCGTGTGGGCAATGCATCGCCGTCAAGATCTTTATGGACCTGACGCAAATGAGTTCCGCCCGGAGCGCTGGGCAGATCTGCGCCCAGGATGGGAATACTTACCATTTAACGGTGGTCCTCGGATTTGCATCGGCCAACAATATGCTTTGACTGAAGCCGGATACGTTACTGTCCGTCTAGCACAGCAGTTCTCGACTCTGGAGAGCAGGGACTCTGGCCCGTGGGAGGAAGCACTCACCCTGACTCTGTGCTCTCGAAATGGAACCAAGGTCTGTCTAAGGAATTGAAGCTTTAGAGTGAGGTCAGATTCTGGCCGTCCACATCAGATGTTATTCTGGAATACCCTCGCATCAGATGAAGTTGATCACCCGTCTTCAGCATGGTTGGGTACTTTCAGTGAGCCGAGATAACTGGTTTAAAGCAACATAGTACTTCATAAGGGCAGACTTTCTAAAAGCATACTGGCGACTATTGTAATGCGGACCACTGTGAGGAGACACATTATGTATTTCATACAGAGCTGCCGCGCAGTAGTATGCCTGTAGCTTGTGTTGTTTCATGGATCAATTGTCTTTACTGCGGTATTTATATGGTTTGAGGCGTTCGGGGCCATATTCTTTGCTTTGAATGGTGAAGTTCCTGCATGGCTAGCATAGCGGACTCGATCAGGACCGGGCGCTTGCTTGGAGAAACGGAGGGGGCACGGATGGGTACATTAACTCATGTGTCAAGCTATATAATGGGCATAAACAAGACTAGCTTGGGCGAGGAACCACAAGCTAATAGTGGAATTGGACAATACTTCATTGCTTCATATGAGAGGTGTGACATTTCTGGCAGTCAATTACCTGATATCGTCGTTACCTTTCTGGTTGGTACGATTAGACCATATATGTAGCTAGCTCATACGCCAGAGGGACTCCCCTCTTCTTCCTCATCAATTTAATAATCATCTGATGCGAACCACTTCTTGTGAATTGCTGCAAAAGGCCTTTGAAGATAATATATGCGGTGGGCACTCCGGTCACTTTGCAAGAGATATCTTAGTAAGTTCTACCAACGACGCGATAAGTTGTGTCTATGAAATATATAGGATTCCAGTAGATATTACTACACAATAGCACCTATCACTGGGATATCTGGGGTTTACCATGGATATGTTAGTACTCGGTCGGGTCCTCAGCACACAGTTGAGTTACTACTAGCAGTATCTACTTAGTAGTACTCCAGACACAGCTGTGGAGCTGTCCAGGTTACTCCAGCTAGCTTGATTGGCTATCCCTTCCACACCATCCTATTGGTAAAATCCCCGGGGACGGTGGGGTCAGGTGACCGAGGCACGATAGGTAAGCGATTAGTACTAACTAACAGGTCACTAGTACTACTACTACCTAGTTCTAGTAATGATGGATTCTCCATGCTCCATCCACTCCATCTCCCTCACTGCCATCCATCACTTAATCCGCAATGCTGTATAATGTCGTTTCTTTGCGATCAACACCCCTGGTTAAACGGAGAAAAGTGCGCCGAGCATGTGAGTTTTGCCGTCAACACCGGGTCCGCTGCGATGGCGGATTACCCTGTGGCCAGTGTCGTGCGAACAAGACCCAATGCAGCAAGCCGACCCAGCACTCCAAACCACCTCCTGGTAACCGGAAACTGCAGCCGGTTGCTCCACGCAGTCCCCCGCCAGCCGAGTCTGCATCGCCATCCACCCCGTATCAGGCCGGCCCCGACCAGCAATTGAGGCCAAGATCCAGTTCACAGGGGAGTCTTTCCGCACCCCATGCTGCCATCGCTCCTCCGCCCCAGCAGTTGGACTCATTCGCCAGCTTCACCTCTCGGATGAATCGTTTCTGCTCTATGGTATCGCAGATGTCAGCACGCCCATCCCCTCAACCTATCGATCCGGGTCCTTCAGACGTTCAGTATTCCTCGCCAGAATTGCTGAGAACAAGCGAGTCAGATGTGCCACACCTGCCGCTGGAAAACTTACAGGAACTTCAAACAGCCCTGTTTGATGTCTTCTGGACTCGGTATTATTTCTTAATGCCGATTGTTAGCCCGGAAGACTTGACAACCAAGTCAGGTCGAAAGTCTGAGCCCTTGCGGCAAGCTCTGATGGCCTACTGTTTACAATCAATCCATTACGCGGGGCTTCATGACCGCTTGCTAAGCATTCAATTGGGGTCAATATCATCGCACGCAGGGGAGAATTCCGCTCAAGCCCCTTCGCTGGCTAGCCTATATGTTGCTTTTTTCCAACGGGCTCTTGGGACGAACAGCTACTATCTCATGTACGCAGAGCCTTCCTTAGTAGACGTGCAGCGGCATCTCTTTATGGCCGCTTTTCTACAGAACTCTGGAGAATATCAGGCAGCATACAATATCATTGGCGTGGCGATGCGACTCGCACAGTCGCTGGACCTACAGCACCCCCTGGCAACACGTGCAACTACACACGAGGCGGAAACGCGCCATCACGTTTGGTGGACATTGGTACACCTGGACTTCCAGTGCTCACGGTTTTTGGGAAAACCTATGTCTGTCTCCCTGAATGATGCGACACTCAACACGCCACTCCCAAGCCCTCAGCATCCTTGGCCAACCTCGGAGCTCGGATTTCACTCGGCATCGGTTTCGCTCACTGTGGTAGCAAGGAAGATGGTCGAGGATCTGGAGCATCATGCGCGTGGTGTGTCAGGGACAACTGATCGATATACTCAAATTGAGCGGCATGCGCACCATTTGTCGCGGGAAATCAAGGGCCTGTACCGATGGAGAGATCAGATTCTGGACGCGAACCTATACGCCAACATTACACTTGTCTGTAATGTTTATCAACCAGACGAGGCTACTACTTACATGGATCGGCTGAAACACGATCAGAATGCAACATTATCGTTTCATGAGGCCCCAGCGCTCACCTTACAGAAAACGCTTCTAGAGCTTCAGTACCATGACATTGTTCTCTGGGCTCACCGGCCATTTATCCAGTTCCCAAGTCGCGGCTTGGTTCCGCAACGGAGTCCACAAGCCGATATACACGCCACCACGGCACTACAACATGCGCTAACCGTCACAGACCTCATACACCAGCGCATGCTTTATCACGATGCTCTCTATGGATGTTCAGAAATTTACCAGTACGTGTGGAACGCCGTTCTCACCCTTGTGGGGTTTATGTTGGCCTACCCCCTATGCTACTGGTTCCCACTTGCTCAGCAACATGTTGAGCGATCACTTCCAATCTTTGAGGGGGCAGGGACAATCAACCCAATTGCATCTCGAGCGGCTCACCGGACGCGGTATCTACTAGGGAGAGTCAGTGCCCTCATAGAGTTGCTTAGTTCGCAGTCATCTGCCTTCGGCAATCGCAACGATTACCAGTTTATGCAGACCGATGATCACATCGAGACGGAGAACCAGCAATCTGTGCCCGTTACATCCGAGGAGGACGCTCTATGGTCATTTGCAGATACTGTCGACCCTAACACCTGGTCTGGTTACTGTCACGAAATCAGTGATTTGCTGATGGACGTGCCCGAGATACATATGGGGAGTACTTATTGAGCCTTATAACAACCATCATCCTCGGTTCATATACATGTGCGCACATCGTATAGAACTGAGACTCAATTGCCTATGCCGAGATACGTGAAAACTCCTAGATATACAACAACCTATAATATCTTGATACACACAATCTTGGGGGCGACTAAACTTCATCTATAGACAACGAGAACGCGACGCCGTTGCATGAAAGGAAGTCTCTAACAGAAGGTTATGGCGAGAGCTCATCAGATTAACTGGCCTAATTTCAGGGTATCTGACGAGGACAACTCCGTTTCCTTAGCTTCAAGCTCTGCTAGATCCCAATTGGAGGATAGGTGACGTCCATTGAGGTATTGCGGACGTTTCACAGCCAAGTAAACCGTAACGGCACCTGGGAGTTCCGCTATTCCAGACCAAAGCAAGTTGTCATTATTAGCCTAAGGACTCTGAAATTGCCAGTGATGATGTTCGTGAACATACCAGTGTCTTTAGCAAATGGCTTAAATGAATCCAGCGTCATGCTGGTATGTACGATACCCGGAGAGAGGCTGTAGGTGGCGACCCGGAGGTTCTCAGCTGTAATGAACTCGGTGAATTTGGCCACAGCCAGTTTACTGATGAAGTAACTGCTCAATCCAGGCGGCGTGAGGCTAATTGTGGAAATGAGGTTGACCACGGTGGGCCGAAAATCAGCGCTCTCAGAGGCGATCAGACGCAGGTATGCCGCAGTCACAAGGTATGTCCCCCGTACGTTGACCTCAAAGTCTTTCCACCAGGTGCTGGAGTCCGATTGGGCAACGGGTGCTATCGAAGAAAAGACTCCGGCGTTGTTGATCAAGGTGTGAGCGACGCCAAAGTGGTTTTTGATAGTGTCGAAGGTCTGCGCTACTGCCTTCTCATCGGTGATGTCCGTGGGAAGAGCCAGCACTTCAACAGAGGGGGATTCGGCTTGCAAAACTGCTTTCGTCTCCTCAGCCGACTGAGCAGACTGAGTCACAAGGACTAACCCCTTGACGCCGGACTGGGCGTGTGCTCGCGCGATAGCCTGGGGTAATCACGGAGGTCAGTCGTGACTGCGTCTGTAATGAAATTGGGCCTGTTCTCACTCGACCAATTCCCTTTCCTGCGCCTGTGATGATCGTTACTCTATCTTTCTGGGACAACTCTGGCCGTGACGGATCGATGGTGGAATAGACGTCGCGGTAGTGGTTCTGCGTTATACAGCCCGCACGGGTGAACTGGTCGGGATCAACCTGGGAGTCAGACATGGTTCTTGCGTGAACAAGTTCAATTCTCTTTGGCTTCGGTAACGAGGACAAGTAGCTTTCTTTTTTTCTTTTTTTTCTTTTTTCCTCCTACGCCTTCGTGTCTGCTATTTATCTCTACTTCTCGGTGCCATCCACTCGGTCGGCTAACTCCGCTGAGCGTGGAGCCGTCCCTCGGTCTAACCGTAAGGAGCAATCATTACCCCATTTGGTAACCCGGCACATTTCCCTATGGTTCAATGCTTGGAGGCTTCTTGGGAGCTCCTTTAAAGTCCTAGCAGCATCGCGCCCAAGACAAGTCTATAGAGCGTGGCCGAGCTTCCTACTGGCTAGATACATGTATTATGGAGATATTGGGCGCCGAGAGTAACGCGTACAATGGAAGTCAAGAGACGCATCAGGATGCAGAGCTCGATCGACTGGTTGCCAATTTTCTCGATCGCCAGACTGCCGCTGCATCAGAGCGCTTGGGTGGCATCATATTCAAGAATCTGTCTGTCATAGGCGCAGGAGTTGGGGTTTGTTTCCGACACATGGAGTTGACTGTGGTTTCCATAGCACTAACTTGACCAGCGCCAACGGATGTCCGATGTTCCCGAATCTCTACGACGTCTAGTAACGCTCGCCAGCCCGGTAACCTGGTTTTCGCGAAAGAAAACCACATCTCGACCAATTCTGCAGCGGCTGACTGGTTCAATCCGTGAAGGGGAAATGCTGATGATCGTGGGACGCCCGGGCAGTGGGTGCACCACCGTTCTGAAAGCCTTGTCGAATATGAGGGATGAGTATCTGGGATTGGAGGGTGACGTCTGGTATGGCTCGATGGACGCCCCGACAGCCAGGCGACTTAGGCCCAACCAGGTGGCCTTCCTTGGTATGAGAGTCTCCCACGCCCCAATTGAAACATGCACTAGCTAAAAGGGCCATGCACTTTTACAGGGGAAGATGACATCCACTTTCCGACTTTATCTGTCAGCAACACGCTAAGATTTGCCCTCAATGCCCGGCATCCTAACTCGGATCCGAACCGAGCCTCCAGCATTGAAGAAGATCTCCAAACTCTACTGCAGCTGATGGGCCTTGCTCATGCAGCTCATGTCCGAATTGGAAATGACCATCTTCGTGGAGTCAGCGGCGGCCAGCGTCGTCGTGTCTCCCTCGCTGAGGCTCTCTGCACGCGTGCAAGGCAAGTCATCATCCGATGCTTCTCACAACAAACGATATAGGCTGATTTCTCTGTCACCTAGTCTTTTTTGCTTTGATAATCCTACTCGGGGGTTGGACTCTTCAACTGCCCTCCGCTTTCTCACTACCATGCGCAAATACACTACCCGCAGTCGATGCATGACCGCCATGTCTTTGTATCAAGCTAGTGATGTTGCAGTTTCAATGTTCGATAAGATCTTAGTTCTAAATGACGGTCACATCGCCTACTATGGCCCGGCGACATCAGCCAAAGCCTACTTTGAGTCCCTTGGATTCTACTGCTCTCCGAGGATTTCGGTTTCTGACTTCCTGGCATCTATGTCAGGGGATCCGACAGGTCGGAAACCCCGGGATGACCTTCAGAGGCCGGTGCCCGTTCAGCCCGCTGATTTTGAGGCCAGATTCAGAGAAAGCAGCTTCTATCAGCAGACGGTGAGCGAGGCCGCAAAGCCACCTCAAGGAGCAGCAAGTGGGAATTCCAGTGCATCAGCATACGCTTTGCCCCTTTACCGTCAGGTATATGAGTGTACAGTTCGCCATTATCAGATTTTTCTGACTGATCGGGCTGCCTGGATTGCCGAGGCGGGCGGGACAATCGTCCAAGCTCTGCTTCTAGGCACTCTGTTCCGAAATCAGAGAGCCGTGACGGAAGGGCTTTATACACGCGCATCGGCGCTTTTTTTCTGCGTTTTGATTATGGGTTTGCAGGCTTCTGCCGAATTTGGAAATACATTTGTTCAACGCCCGATCTTGCTTAAGCAGAAGGCGTTGCGATTCTACCGACCCGCGGCCTACGCGCTTGGTCAGATCCTCGCCGACGTACCTTGGAAGTTTATCTTCATCTTGTACTCGCTGCCCATCTACTGGATGATTGGCTTCCAGCGTACAGCGGGGAGCTTTTTCACATGGCTGGTGTGCCTCTACATGGGCCTAATGGCACTGAGTGTCATGTTTCGAGCCATAGCTGTCTTCACAAATTCCATCAATCGGGCCATTCTTCCGGTTGGGCTCTTACTCAATGTGCTAATCATCTACACAGGGTTTTATATCACACCTCCAGGAATGAAGTTCTGGTTATCTTGGATCCGCTACCTTGATGTGAGTTGAAACAAAAAGCCATCGCAAGACTTGTGTACAAGCTAACCTCTTCATTATCTGAACTAGCCCATGTACTATACTTTCGAGTCCATCGCTCTCAACGAGATTGGGAGCGGTTCATATGCATGCAGCCTTCATGACATTGTTCCTCGGGGTGAATTATACAATGAGAAGAGCTTTCAGGCCTGTGCAGTGTCTGGGTCCGTAGCAGGTCAATTGAACCTTTCTGGGAGACTCTATTTGATGGTTGAGTATGGATTTAAAGACTTCCACTTATGGCGAAATGTTGCAATCAATGCGGCCTTTTTCGTCTTCTTTTCAATTGTGGTGACGTATGATTTCTTTCCCTAGATAACCCATACTCAACCATAAAATGACTCGACTAATTGTTTTAGCATTGGAATGGAGCGGTTTCGCCATTCATCTGAGCAGATGGCAACGATCTTTTACCGCAAGCTGCCGTCGTGGGCGAACACCTCACCCACTCGTCCTGCGGATACCGAAGAGCCACAGTATGTCACTGACTCTAAAGAACTCAGACCCTCCTCCGACAGTGAGATGGCCCCTATCAGCTGTCTGAACAACACACAAAATGTGTTTGCGTGGCATGAACTGTCACTCGAACTTGATGACAGAAGGCACCTCCTTCACCAAGTTTCAGGTAAGAGCTTGATGTGTGGTGTTATTCAAAGAGTATATGACTCATAAGGCTCTATGGTGTAGGATGGCTTCAACCAGGAAAGATGACTGCATTGATGGGGATGTCGGGAGCTGGCAAGGTAAGTTGTGCAAATTATTACAAGTCGTTATTTGCGCATAGATCCCCAGTCTAAAAGACATGCTGCACGAGTAGACTACACTTCTCGATACCCTGGCTCAGCGTATCCAGATTGGCCGCATATACTGGAGGTCTCTATCTGAATGGGCAGACGCTTCCAGCGTCAATGGGCCGCCGTACAGGTTTCGTCCACCAGAATGATATCCACCTGGCATCGTCTACAGTGCGCGAAGCACTCCAGCTGAGCGCACGCCTCCGCCGTTCGGAAGCGGTTCCCTGGAAAGAAAAGATGCATCACGTGGAGTTTCTCATCCGGCTCTTGGAAATAGGAGATATCGCCGAAGCAATCATCGGGGTACCAGGGGCGGGATTGAATCTCGAACAGCGCAAGCGGGTCAGCATCGGGGTTGAGTTGGCTGCAAAGCCGGACATTGTTCTTTTCCTTGACGAGCCCACATCTGGGTTGGATGGCAATTCAGCACTTTCCATCGTGCAACTGATGCGCAGGCTATCTGATGCCGGGCAGACCATTCTCTGCACAATTCATCAACCGTCTGCGCAGATGATCGAACAGTTTGATAATTTGCTTCTGCTGGTCCCAGGTGGTAAAACCGTTTATTTTGGCCCGTTGGGGTCTCAATGCCAGACGATAATCGATTACTTCGCTCGGTATACGCGATGCTGCCGGGAAACAGAGAATCCAGCAGACTACCTTCTGGAAGTCAGTGCGGAGCCCGACGTTGACTGGTTTCAGGTATGATTTATCATCCCCACCTCAACGATTTACTCTCCATTCCGCAGTTCGTTTCTCATCTGCTGACCATAACAGACTTGGCAGCAGTCGCCCGAGTATGCCTCTACCCAAAAGCAGCTTCAACACTTCCTCCAGTCACAGGAAGGAAATGCTTTGTTTTCGTCAGGCTCTGATCGAGCATATGCAGCTTCCTATCTCGAGCAAATTCGAGTGGTCACCCAACGGGCTTTCGCGAATTACTGGCGCGACTCCGACTACGTGTTGGGAAAAATCCAGCTCAATGTCTGGATGGGGCTGATGAATGGACTCACATTTCTCCAGCTATCCAACGATCTCACTGACTCCCGCGGACGGATGTTTTCTATCTTCGTCGGAGTAATCACCGGGCCCGTGCTCAGCCTCCAGATCGAACCTCGCTTCATCCTCCTGCGCGATCAATTCCTGTCACGGGAGAACGAGTCGCGTGTATACCACTGGAGCGTCTTTACCGTCACTGCGCTACTGGTGGAGATCCCGTTCACACTCCTTGGCGGGCTGATATATTGGGTTCTCTGGTACTACATGGTAGGATACTTCACCATCTCAACGCGAGCCGGTTATGCATTTCTCATGTACGAGCTCTACTCGTTGTTTGTCGCAAGTATCGCTCAATTGACGGCCGCACTGTTTCCCACCGTCTTGGCCGCACAGGTGGCCACTTGATTCGTCTGGCTGGTGATAAACACCTTCAATGGGCCCCTCTCACCCCCGCCTCTGACACCGCGCGGATGGCGCTGGTTCTATAACATCTCGCCCTTATTTTATTTTATCGAGGGGATCGGTACCAATGCCATGCATTCGCTTCAGATTGCCTGCCGTGACACTGAGCTGACCACATTCCATGTGCCCACCGGGGAGACATGTGCCTCGTATGCAGCTGAGTTCTTCGCTTCAGGGAGTTCCACAGGTTACCTAGCAAATCCTGACGCGACTGAGGAGTGTCACTACTGTGCCTATGCGGATGGAGGTCAATATGTCAGTTTTCGATTTCTCTAACCCCTGCTCATCTCCTTCGTCATCACACGAGAAACTGCTAACAAGGTCCTCTTGGAATATAGGTCGAGCAATATGCCATGAGCTATTCACAACGTGGCAACAACGTCGGCATCTTTATTGGATTCATTCTGTTTAATTACACTATGGCGGTATTGGCAACCTATTTGATCTTTATATTTAAATGGCGGAAACAACGGAGGACTTGATTGTTGGACATTGTGCATCATATGCTTGGTCGCCATGTTGAACAGTTTTTGGCGGCTTGAGGGATGGTTTGATAGATAGAAAGATAAGATCAGATATTTCAGAATAATGGAGGGGATATTGATGTACGCCCAGTCCCTAATGTGCTCGCTCTTCGCTGTGATGTGTCGACCATTGTAAGGGTACTGGCATTGACTCATTCAATGCTGAGTGTCAGAAATCTGTGGATCACACAACCACTGTGCAGTTATATATCGACAGGTCTTTCTCTCCTTTGTGGAATGGGAGACGAATGTGGCATTGTATTGCTTTCAGCGTGAACAATTATTTTCTTCGAACGATATACCTGGGAGAAATTACCTGCCTTGTGCGGTCGAGTAATACTTTTGATACTGCCCATCGTTTCTCTGTTGGCATCCGGCACCAACTTCAAGAAATCAGCCTCAATATAGTCGGTCACTGCATATTCAGAGTGATACCGTGATCTAACTCCTTAGCGTCATAATAAGTGCGTCACCGTAGAATAGTCAGACCGGCGCCCATCTGAATGAACATGAAGAACGTGGCCTTGCAATTGGCGTGGTCATGGCGTAAGACAAGACCTCGTAAGACGTTGTAGGTATCATCCGCATAGTTCTCTGTATAGCTAGATGCATCTAATCCCGCTCTCGCCTTGCGAGAGAGTGAGCGATGCATCCATCTTCCTATAGCAATTGACAAATGGCGCTAAGCGCAAAGTTGACGTGGGAGTTGTCGAAATGAGATAAATCTCTTTGGATAAGATGCTGCAAATCGAGACCGACAAGGTCGCTGAGATGCCATTTGCTTGGGTAGAAGGTTGTAGGGACCCTAGTAGTATGCCGGCTCCCGTTATGTGACGCAACGAATGGTATCTTTATGGGGCCATCTCAATGGACTGTGGAAGCGGAGTGGTGTTGTAATTAAGGAGATTATTATAGCCTTGCAGCCAGTGACAACTGAGACGATTCTATGTCTGGTGGTCACTACCTGTCTAGCAGCTGGTGGCTACCGTGGAGTCGGTGTTCTTTTACGGTGCCCTAATGGGTTGTAGAGTTCTGGATAGCTTCACCGGTCTATATGCCAGGCTCATAACCTATCTCGGCAGCGCTACGTAGCAGAAAGAGAGGCTGAGAATATTGCTGAAACACGTGCCTGGGCCCGATCGACTTCGTGGCACTACCTGCCTAGAGACCACTGTGGCCTGTACTCGTCCCTTTGGCATTTGTTGTTAATCCGTTATTTTCAAGAATGAAAATAGGATAAAATAGAAATAGGAAAAAATATTCCAACGAGATAAAATTCAACATCCATCATATTAGTTCGCCACAAGGGACAGAAACATGCGCCTTCCCAGATTCCTAATATCAGCGGCATCGGTAAAATTATCGTTTATTATTATTGAATCCGGATACCAAACTAGAGAGACTAGATCACAGCTCCGTCCTCTCTAGCTCCACTGGGGAGGTTCCATCTAGCACGTCCTCGACCCCAAAGGGACGTATATCTGTCTCACAACGCGTGCCTGGTGCCGGAAGCTCCCCAGTCTGAAAGTACGCTCGGATATGATCATCTGTACACCCCGAACGCGAAGCGAAGGAACAATGCTACAGTGAAGTTCAATTAGAAGACTTATCACTGAACAAGATCGCAAAGCAGAAATATAGGGAATGAACTTACACCTTCAGCATGCTGCTCTAATACAACAGACTTTTCAAACAAAGCGGACATAGCATGGGCACTAATCTTATCGTTAATAGGCCGTAGATGGAAATATATAATGAGATAGCAGGGTGATGGGAAACATACTCGCCCAGAGGAGTCACTGGATCCAGAGTATTACTGACGAATAGTACAGGTGTGGACATATCCTGAGCCCCTGTAGGTCCTTCTTCAAGTTAAGCACTTGGGCAGCAGCTAGTTGCAGTGATACAAGAACGAACCTTTGAAATCCCCTGGTCCTCGACCATTCCATCTAGCACACGGCATTAAGAAATCTGCAAACGTGTCCCCCATCCAATGGCTGCTCTCAATGGAAGGCCGAAGATACTCATCCCAGTATTCCTCGCGGGTGGCATTCAGTAGCTTCTGATTTAGGTCCAAACATACGGTACCAGCAGTCACTTCTACGCGGTACGAGTATTGGCATGCCTCACGACACGGAGCATCAGACTGACATTCTGAGCTAAGGCAGTGAGCTGGCTGCATTTCCTCGCGTAGCATGGTTTTCCATTCAGCCATGCTCGTTGCGTTCCGTTGTTCGAGATCTGCTAGGATGATAGCGAGAGTGGGGAAAAGGTCGATCGGCGCGTACAAGGCAAGTCTTAGGAGACGTCTCACGTCGGAATAGGTGATTATGTCTGGGTTTGGATGAGTGGTCCAGAGGGGGGACGCTTTCAGATCAGACAGTATATTCGTGAAGCGCTGCTGGAGTTCGCTTATTGCGTTTATATTGTCTTCTCCGTCAGCAGATGGGCTGGCAAAGGCACACCTCGGCTGGCCTGCCTGATGACAATAGCGGAAGAAACTGTCAAATACACGATCTGCGTCACGCAATGATGTCGACATCTCGCCAGAGTACCAGCTTAATGCATCTACCACCCCGTCTAACACCATCCGCTGAACTTGGTTCGGGAAGAGACTTGCATAAGTAACGCCTAGCAGAGTCCCGTATGAGTAACCCCAGTATTGCAGCTTTGCATCTGCGCGTGGATCCGGTTGGAGCAGTTGAGCAATATGTCGCAGATCATGTGCCGTACTTCAGGTATTCATGTACGGGCCAATATCCGCATTGTCCTTAGAGGAATCTGTACACGATGTGGCTAGGGCCTGCATGCGGGCCCAAAGAAGATCCGCTGCGTGTTCGGAGCTACCTACCAAGCCATGAGCTTGCACAGCCTCATTCCAGAGGTAACTAGACAGCAGATCAGGAAAACAGGTTAAGGGAGGAATGGTATTTCCCACGCCTCGGGGGTCAAAGGACACAATGTCGAAATAGCGAGATTGCTGTGCATCATCGGGGCTGTCTACAGTCCGCTGGATTTCTTTCCCTCGGTTAAGTATTTCCTGCACGCCGGACCCGCCAGGGCCACCTGTATTCCTAGTAAGCGACCGTGGTGGGGTGACAGAATGGTGGCGGTGGTGGCATTGCTGCCTATACCTGGGTTCACGATTATGGAGCCACCGTAACGCTCGTCGGCAGGATCTACCTGTGCAGGCAGTTTTATGACGGCCAGGGCAGCCGTTTTATTTTCAATGGCACTAGCTGACCAGTCTAGGGGAACTTCGAGACGTGCACATAGATAGTCCTGGTAGCAGGGGATGAAATTTAGTGCTGAGCCTGGCGCAGTCTGGTAGGAGCGGGTTAGACTGTGAGAAATTATAATAGGGCGGATGAGATCAGTACGCTACTCCAGGAGAAGTCCCCGGCTTGCACCGCAGACGGCATCATGGGTTGGTGTCGCAGGGAGGAGGGTGAGTTGAGTAAGAGAGAATTAATGAAAAGGATGGAGTAGCCGACCATATAAGTACTGGATGAAGTGAGCGAGTTAGCGTCAGCCACGACGGGCTGACATGCATGATCGGGGCACCGCCGGCAACCGATACAGCCTCAGCTCGACGGGAAAACGTGGTTACCTGGACTTAGAAGATGATAATACAATGAAAAGATAGCGTAGATTGCCATAAATACGCCACAATCTATTTATTAGGCAACAATCAAGTAAGAGCAGATTTGGCGACTCATAGTAGTCCCCATGGAGGGGCGCGATGGTTTTCTTCGCCGAAATAATCGCTTAATGCCTCTAACGAAGATCTCAGAACCTCCAAACTGTAGTATTCTTCTCACAAGCAAATCCGAGAAACGCAATTGACCATATGTCCTTAGTATGAGGGCTAGCAGGAATACTTGTTTGTCGATGCATACCGACTAATAAAAATGGTTCTTCTTTTTCGCGCAGGGATTTGGTTTTTCATTTTTCATTTTTCATATTTTATGTTATTTTATTTTATTTTTTTGTTTTATTTTATTTTATTTTTTTTTTTTAAATAAGACTGGGTGTTTTCGTCTCCCACCCCTGCTGAGGAACTGTTTGATATACAGAAGCCTGAGATACTTGAGATTATGTGACAAAGAAATTGTAAACCTGAATGTGACTAAGGCAGAAGAGAGCAGGTGAGGCCACACAATACTGTACACCCACTTCCGATCGTCATCGAAATGAGCGTTGTGGGTACTGGAACGACAAACCATAGATCGGATCTGCATCCGAATAGGCTTTACTTTGTACATTGGTAGGAGTTTGAATGTTTGAAGATCCGGCAGATGATCACCTGCTGCAGGGAATAATTTGAAACCTGTCCGTCTGCTTTGACCCAATTGACGAGGTACGTGATTTGATGCTACCCAAGCAGTATGAATGCGACGGAGGTGGCTATCCTTACCTTGTCATATGCAACTCATAACGGGTAGTCCCCATGGAGCCACGGCTATTTATTTCTAAGGGCCAACAGTGAAAGATTGTGAGATCGTATACCTCCTGGGTATGACGCAACCAGGGTGAGCACTGGCATTGCTCCAATCCATATGGTGGAGGTATGTCTCCGAGACCATGACGCATGTAGACCCTGACCTGTCCCTGATCCAGGGATCTGGTTTGTCACTTGGCGTATTTTAATTAACTGCGGGTCAGGGTCTTGCCGTCCAGACCCAATGGATGAATTGCCTGCGTGGCCCTGCAGTTCCAGCGATCGGCACGGCACGGCTATGACGTCGGTGGGTGTTCCGTTTGATATTTAACCATAGAAGACAGCCTTGTTATGCTGGTTCCTGCCGCAAAATAAAGGTCTATCCTTACCACGTTAAGTGTCAAAATGAGTGGGGTAAGCTTTGCCCGTCAGGCCTTACTCCAGGCTGCTCTTCTTTCGATTGTCTCCGCAATCCCGGCGCCCACGGCCTTCGTCAACAATGTCGCTCCGCCCGAGCCCATCATCACCCCTTCGCCGGTTCAACATCGACCTTCTCGAGTCGCTGGTCGAAACATTCTGAGTGACGTCGATTCTGATATTAACAGCATCCTTTCTGGCCTTGGATCCGACCTACCCTCCTGGGTCGCATCGGGTGTGCCCAACTACTTCCAGGGTTTCCCTACTGGGGATGCAGTGGTGAGCTCCTTGGGCTTGAACAGCGCTGAGTTGGCAGCCTTGCCCACCAATGTCTTGAATATCGACCCATATGCCAACTGGACTAGCTCTGGCTGGAACGTTCGCTTCCACGGAAACGTCTACAAGCAGCCCAACACCTCCATCTCCGACCTCAATGATTTGGCTGATGTTTTCCTCGGCAATACAAGCATCTCCGACCTTTCCGAATCCGAGCAGAAACAGGCTCGGAATTTAACAGCGGAAATATTAGTGGTCCAGCAAGCTCACGTCGCCGTAAACACAATCCACCTGGAGCCTGCACCGAGTCAGGGATCCAGCGGACAGTCAGGCGGCGGTGGATCCTCTAATACCACTGGCGGCACCCAAGACCTCACTCTGCCCTACAACACTACAGTTGAAGGCGATTTTGACACTTTCGTACCGATTAGCAGCAATGGCTTGACGGCAGGTAATGAAACTTCGGCGATACAACGGCTTAACGTCCATGTGGAGGGCGCGACAATAGGAAACAGTACTGCCTATCTCGTACCTCCGACCGGGCTCACTGTCGTTTCGGACATCGATGATATCCTACGCGTCACCAAAATCTATGAACCAGAGCAAGGTTTACTCAACTCATTTGCGCGCCCCTTCAGGCCGTGGGAGAATATGCCGGACATCTATCGCAACTGGTCGATCAGTCTCCCCAACCTGCACTTTCACTACCTAGTAAGTCTGCTAGATGTCCCTGATTGCATTGTTGCTGCATACTCACCACTACACTACAGACGACGACCCCCGAACAAGTCACCAGGAACTACATGCAATTCATCTACGACAACTACCCCGGTGGATCTTTCGACACCCGTCCCCTCAACTTTAGCGACGTTTCCGCCACCTTGTCGATCCGGAAATTCCTCCTGCAAAAGGTCTTCGAGACCTTTCCGCAGCGCAAGTTCATCCTCATCGCCGACACCAGCAACAGCGACGTCATGCGTGACTATCCTGAAATGGCGACCGACTTCCCTGGTCAAGTGCAATGTATTTTTCTCCGGAACACCAGCGCCACCGACTCAGGGGACAAATTCCCATACGATACCTCTGGGTTTAAGAAGCTCAATCAGTCAAACTACATGTTCTTCTTGCATCCCGATGACTTGACGAATCTAGACATCGCGAATGGCCAGTGTTACAACACATCCATTCCGCAGAATTTAACGTTTAGTTATCAGGGTTTGCCATTGGGGCTGGGTGATGAACCCACAGCTGTCAATGGGTCTGCCAATCATACTGCTGAGTCGGCGGCCGGTTTGTCGGTAAAGGGTGGGACTGATATGCAGGGTTTGATCTTTCTGTTCACCCTGGTTACGGCCTATTCCATTTTCTTGTAAATATCAGTTACGATGTATGAGAGATAACGACTTTGATATACTCACGGCTCAATTTACGTTCCAAAACCGAATACAGCGGATATCTATGCTCGATGCAAGGACTACCACTATGTTACACTACTAAGGGTTTATCTACTATGGGAAATATTAGTGCTTGGTTTGTTACAGCTCACTCGAGCTTGCGTTACTAACCACTTTTATCGGTCCATGGATCCACCGCCCAACGCAGTTATCCCAGGAGGTGGCCGCAATGGCCAGTCAAGTCAATTAAATCTCCTCTGCTAGGAATTGCATGGGTTTTGACAGACAGAACTCGGGGAAAGTATCGATATTCAATGATCTGACGGTGGCTCCGAAATTCGCTAGGCTAGCCCTTCATCACTAGTAATATTAGTTGTCCAACTTTCGCGCTTTACACTTTCCATAGCAAACCCCCAATTCCCAGCCAAATCCTCATATCCTCTAGGAAGTAGATAGCGCCCATCGCTTACCATTCCTTCGATGACAGGCGCATAACGTTATGCCCAGCTCGTCAACAATATTCCCCCATCTCTTCTGTATAATTCGCCTTGGACCTGTCACAGCCTGTACTGCGATGCAGTTATGTGGAGGGACCTTCATCCTTCACGCAGTCAGTCTGTCCGTCTGTATACCACAAGTCACATATCACCATGCGAAATGGTTGGGTATGCATGAAGAGCGATATAAATCTGCGATTCAACGCTGTAAACTGTCACTTCGAGACTAGACATTAGATGTGGTCGACAGGTCGGTATTCTAAAAGTATACCTTGTTCATAATTGTCCGGTGTGCGCCTCGGCTGAACTCCGGCGCTTATCTAGCCCGCGGTTAATGCAACCTCACCACGCGATCGTCGTCACCTGTCTTGACAGTTCAAGTCATCTCCTATCCATCTATCCCGGTCATCTCTCATCAACATAAACGCAATAAACCCTTCCGAGGCTACCTAGTTCTCTTCACAGCTATTCCTTAATCAACACAAGTGATAAACCAGCGAAACCATGTCTCTCCAGCTTTCCAACCTCTTCGGCGTCAAGGACAAGGTACGTGTACTGACTACTCAATCCAACCATGCTAGTACCATGCCTAACAAATGTGCATATTGTCGTGATCACCGGCGGAGGCACCGGACTCGGCAAAGGCAAGCTAAACTCTCCGCCATTCAGCAATTACGAATCTAATTTTTGAGCCGATTGCAGCCATCGCAGAAGGGTTTTCTACCAATGGTGCCAAAGTATACATCACGGGACGTCGTGTTGAAGTCCTCGAGAAGGCTGCAGAAGAACTGCGTGGAAGAGCTGCACTTGGTGGACAAGTGATTCCGTTAGTCGTTCTTCCCATCCGGGTAATCCTCAGACTGACGTCACATCATTATAGGATCAAGGGTGATGTGAGCACCAAGGACGGCTGTGCTCAGCTCTTTGAGCAAATCAAGCAGAGAGAGGATCATGTATGAAAATGATGGATTTGATAAGGATGGAAGGATCTGCTAACTAGTGTCTCAGGTCGACGTGCTTATTTGTAATGCTGGTTTGCAAGGGACAACCGACTATCCTCCTTGGGATCCCACTGATCGTAGGATTTGTCGTGAGCTTTGGTGGCTGCATTGTGCGCTGATAGATGAATAGCCGACTCTACTGAGAAGGGCTTGTGGGAGAGTGTCGATAAGTATGTCTCAGATAATCTACTTTGGTCAATACGTAATACTGATATGTCAAAGCGATTCCTTCACCTCGACAAACGATGGTATGCGGTGCTCTTTGTACATTTTCGGTAAGATAGCTAATGGACCATACGGGTAGTCAACATCAGTGGTGTCTATTTTACCGCCGTGGGATTTCTCCCGCTGCTGCGAAAGTCTTCCGACCCTAGCGTGGTCGTGATTGCTTCGTTGGCTGGCATTGTTATTCAGAGGTAACTACTCCGGTACTCATTTTGCTGCAAAGATAGCTAGAAGTGGGGTATTGATCTGCTAAACAGGGCTATTGGTGCAATGACTTACGCTACTTCGAAAGTAAGTGGTCTCGACATCTAGCAGTAAGCCAAGGTCAGGTTGCTAACATGAACCACAGGCTGCTGGTACGTTTAGTTGCCAGCCATTAGTACCTCTAATGTCAACTAACCATTCCTAAAAGCCCTCCACTTGTCAAAGCTTCTGGCGGGCAGATTTGCCCCGTATGTATCTTTTCCCTGTCACTCCGCCACGGTTATGGATATGGGACTATGATGATTGTGAGTCTCTCTCACGCTCGCTGATATCTTCATTAGGATGAAAGTCCGCGTCAACTGTATCTGCCCTGGAATCTTTCCTAGTGAAATGACGTTCGCCGATACTACCAATAACACGGATAACCTCAACCCTTTCGCAGAAAGCGCCGCTAAGCGGGCTCCTGCTGGTACGTGATTCACCCGGACGACTTCCATATACAGTCCTAACACGCTAACACATATCACAGGACGCCCTGGGTATCCCGAAGAGATAGTTGGACCGTGTCTGATGCTGAGTTCCAAGGCCGGAGGTTACATGAACGGAGGATATCTATTGGTCGATGGTGGTAGAGCAATGGTACGTCTTCTGCCTTCTAATTTAGCCGTCATTGGATGCTAATCCCCGCCAAGAGCGCATCGATCAATGATGGAATACACATGCCAGAGGACACATACGTGTGGTAGATTAGCTTGTGCCCAAGGCCTTAGCTACAGCTACCACCCAAAACCGCCAAAGTCCGACACAATAATGAGATAGGGGTCATATAGAAAAGCCATAATGCGTTGATTAGGTATCCCCACTCAAACCTCATAGTCAAAATTTATTTCTATCATTAGGAGATACCATCTACCGCCCCTCCGTAACGCTCTTCAACTCATTCAACATTCCCGCCCTAAAAACCCCGACATCCGTAATCACCGAAATCATATCAAATCCCTGCTCCGCACGCACGCGGGAATCCTTACCATCCGTACAGAAGATAGCGGCCTTCTTACCCGCTGCATGCGCAGCCTTCAAAATTCGCTGAATAGCCGCTTCATGCTCCTCCCCGCCCCTCGTAACACCCATCTGCTTCGCCAAATCAAAGGGTCCGATGAACAGGACATCGACGCCTTCAACAGCTGCGATCTTCTCTACATTCTCGACACCAGCCTTCGACTCAATCTGCACAACTACAATCGTGCCTGTTTGCGAGCCTTCGTCATACTCTTCACCGGGCGCGACGCCGGGGAATGCGTGCGGCGCGAACATGGGGCCGTAGCCTCGTGTGCCGAGGGGTGGGTATTTGGTCCATTGGACGATTTTGGCCGCTTCGATCTGGTTTAAATTATTAGACTTAATACATTTTTGGAAGTATGTGAATAAGAAGATCTGGGTACGCACTTCTGAATGGCACATGGGGGTCATGACTCCGTGAGCACCGGCGTCCAGCGCCCGTTTGATCATCCATTCCTCTGCGCAGGGGACCCGGACAATCGGGCTTACGTTCTCGGATGCGATGGCATTGAAGAGCTAATATTGGTCAGTCATGGCATGAATTTGGATAAATGGCAGATCTACTAACCTCATAGTAATGGCGGTCGGATATTAAACCGTGCTCGGCGTCTACTAGGACCCAGCTGAATCGGCCTGGGCTGGGGGGTTGGCCGTGCAGGATGGTCTTGGCGACAGCGGCACTAGGGAGGCTGTATTCATTCAGTTAGATAGAGTTTTTCATGGACTTAAGAGCTAAGAAGAGTTGATGTGGATGAGCATACGTGAGCCAGAAACCAAGGGCCGTGGAAGAGCCCCGGAAGGTGGAGGTGATGGCGGTTTCGAAGGGCATATTGGAGATGATCCTGAGCGTGGTGGTTAAAATATGAATCCTCTTGGGGAGCTTCAGGCTACAGCAGGCATACGTACCTTTACTAGGATATGTTCAACGTAGACTTCAATCGGGATCAGTATGAAAGAAGGTTGAAGTTCATTTCGATAGAAATTCAGTTGTCCGCTTAAGAGCTCGGTGTTCTCTGCCCCGCCGGTTACGGTCCTCGGCTAACCGATCGCATCAACTCCGACCGCAACGGGGTAGTTGACCCCGAAGCCATTTATTGTCGTGAAACAATAACAGTGACCAGAAAAGTTCTTTGTGGTGTTCCTAATATTCAAACTCTTCTACACGTAGCAAACTGTGAATTTATGTTGGCTGGGCTATTCAACATCGTCAAATAATTGCTGAGGTAACCACAAGTGGCAGGTTGGATAACTATGTTATTTGAAATGAGAAAGATATTGGACTGGCAATGAAAGGGCCCAGTCTGAGGCTCAATAACTCATCCATGTCATTTGCTTAGCTAAATTTGTAAAATCACTAGGCACACAGCTGGCCGCGTGTCTATGCGGGTGAGTCATGGTGGCCCGTGACGGATGGAGAACACGGGTGCCTGGTGCAAGCTCATCTGATCTCGTATCAAACGAGACTAAATACAATCTTCTACCTGTTTAAGCCTATGAGGTATAACATGGACTCACAAAGATGATGCTTGATTCTGAGGAATTCCGCCCCACCTTTGACATCACCACGTGTGCAAAGACCTGCTGAAGCTTAAACCCGGCTTATCACCGCACTCTCTCCCAAACTCTATTATCCATAGACCCGATATATCCGGCAGTACTGGTCATGAGAAGAGTTTACATGTTTACTCTCATCTCCCAGATTCCGTAGTATTGCGAATAGATCTACTATTTATACCATTGACCCCTGGCCCAATTAAATCATCAGTAACCATCACATCAAAACAACAACTTACAATGGCGACAATCCTCTACAACCAACTCTTCGTCACTCCCTCTCTCCCCCCCGCCCCCTTCCCCTTCCACAACCGTACCGTCATCATAACGGGCGCCAACACCGGTCTCGGCCTAGCAGCAGCCCATCACATCGCGTCCGGCCCCATCGGCAAGCTCATCCTCGCCGTCCGCAACCTCTCCGCCGGCGAGTCCGCCCGTGCCGAGATCCTCAATGCCCAGCCCGATTGCGACCCTCAAACCGTTGAGGTCTGGCCCTTAGATCTGGCCTCCTACGACTCCGTCCGCGCCTTCGCTACCCGCGCAATCACTACGCTCGACCGTCTCGATGTTCTTCTCTGCAACGCGGGTCTCGCGACGTTTCAGTGCTCCAAGGCAGAGGGCCACGAGCGCATGATCACGGTCAATGTGATTTCGACGTTTTTGTTGGCTGTGCTACTGGTGCCGAAGTTGAGGGAGACGAGGAGGCTGTGTCAACAGATGGGGGAAGAAGGGCACATCCCTGTGTTGTCGATAGTAGCAAGTGAAGTCCATGCATTTACCAAGTTTCCCGAGAGGAATGCGCCCGCAGAGAAAGGGGTGGGTGTGTTTGAGGCGCTGGATGAGCCGGAACGGTACTATAAAACGATGGCAGAGCGGTACCGCACGTCAAAGTTATTGGATGTGCTATTAACGAGGGAGTTGGCGGATCGAATTGGGGATGATGATATTGTGGTCAATTGTCTGAATCCGGGGCTTTGTCGGTCGCAATTAGCCAGGGAGATGGATAATGTGGTGGTTAGGATTATGTTGCGGTTGTTGGGGAGGACGGCGGAAGTGGGGAGCAGGACGTTGGTGACGGCTGCGGCGGCGGGGAGGGAAAGTCATGGCCAGTATATGTCGAATGGAGTGGTGTGTCCGCGGGAATTATCGTCATTTGTGACGAGTGAGGAGGGGAGGAGGACGCAGAAGAGAGTATGGGAGGAGTTGAGTGATATTTTGGAGCAGATTCAGCCGGGGATTATGCGGGGGGTGGTGTAATTGTGTGTTTGATTAGGACTGGTTTGTTTGTATACTAATGGTGACCAATTCCACTTAATGCTAATTATGCCCTTTTGTTGATCTGAGATCTTGCAGCGTAGGTTGGCGCATTAGACCAACTAAGGAGCTGTAGTCGGTGTAGGTGGAAGTAGGCTGGGTTGGATGGAAGTCACAATCCACTCATGGTTTGGAGCATGGTATGAATACTACATGCTAGGTGTGGTCGAAGATGTGTACTCCACGCAAACTAGTTAACAATGCGCAATTACAATTAAGGTAACATGCACATCAACCGCTCCTGGTAGGGAGCGGGAGGACGAAAAAAAAGACAAAAAGAAGTGACCTACGCAGGACTCGAACCTGCAATCTCTTGATCCGTAGTCAAGCGCCTTACCATTGGGCCAGCAGGCCTTGTTGAAGGTAGTCTTTTTATTTTGCTTAATAACCCAGGGGCCAATATTTCTGCACTTGCTCCTACAAGCATTGGTATGTTCTGTCTGTCAAAGTACATTAGGCAAGGTAGCAAGTAGCTGGTAAGCTCGAGACAAAGTTCCGACCGATATAATAAACACTTAAATGGGTTCCTACAGCTATGAGTATGCGCTAAGTGTGTTCATCATGAATATCAAAATGAACACTCATTGCGCGATTACCATCTGTCTATATTTATATTACTAACAACTAGTTAGGTTAAGACCTCGCGGCTCAACTATGTCATGCTACTACTATGGATGCTATCGAAATTTTGACGATATTGAATGCTTCACATCGTTGTCAGGAAATAACGTCTGCGACCAACCGGCCTGCAACTGTCCTTGACACCGCTGGGCTCCTTTGTGTCGGTTTCGACTGAGATAACCTGGAATATAGCCCCGATACTTATCAGATGAAGGATCTTCAAAGGGACTACCTCGTATTTAGCTCGCATCAACCAGCCTAAATCTTTTTCCCTTTGGATTTTCAGGATCATAGGCAGTCTACAGCGTAAGATCTGCTTGCTTGCTTTCCCCCCCAGAGAAGCTATAGGTCGATGACGCTGTTCCATGTTCTTCCAGGATACATACTCATATTGCAGGTATACCTTCAGAGAGAACCGTCTAAAGTTTGTTCCCATTGAGCCGAGTTTCCATCCTGTCCCAGTGCTGCATAGCCTTGATAATTAGAACAACCCAATCCGTCTGAATCCATAGCTGATATTAGCCCATGAGGCAGGATATACTCACCGATTGAGAAAACAAGGCAATATTCCCAAGCCAGAAGACATTTGCTGTAGCGTTGAGCAAATTCACCCTTATGTTTGTTTGCATCTCAAGAGTTAGACAATATACAGTTTTTATCCACTGGGTTGATGGAAATGTACGTCGGCTAAGATTCAATTCTGGCTCCGGTGTGAAGGGTGTGGAGATGGCTACCGTCAACCTGAATCAATTTCAAAACTACCTGAACAGGATTTCAGCAAAGTGTTTGATCATCTGTATAAGATCAAGAAATCCATGATGAGTTTGGTATTCTCAAAGACATCTCGAATTATCAGGAATCTGTGTGGAGCCAGGCGTTTCCACCCAAAAACAAGAAACCCCCCTACCCGTTCAAGTATCCGCATCCTCATGAACCAAGTGTAGTCCAATCTGAGCTGCGAGTTATGATGAACGACGCAAAGTCCGCTCAAGCTTCTGTTAGTTTCTCCTGGCTTATGGCTGAAGAAATACTGACACAAGAATTCAGAACCCCTTTTTTTTTTTTTTTTTTTTTTTTTTTTTTTTTTTTGGACCTCAAGAAAGAATACTACACTGCAAGCCAGTATGCCACATTTGGACGACAACAGACCATACCACGATGGTCTTCACCATTGTGACCATTGTATTCGTGAGTGCACCTCGCCCCCGTCACAAGCAAAGTCTGATATTGGGATTTTTTTAATTTTTTTAGCTTCCACTTACATTTCTCTCTTCCATCTTTGCGCTCGATATCGCCCAATTTACTCACGGGCCTTCGGGCCGTCCGCAGTTTCAGAGCTGGTGGATCTTTCCTTTGATCTGTATGTTATGTCTTCTTAGCCTTTCCCACTTGCGTTGTTTGGATATGTTCTCACTGGATGCAGTTGGCTCGTCAGCAGCCGTTGCCATCCCATTGATCGTCGTCGCTTTCAATGTGAATGACTTCATTGTTACACCCTACTACAAGCGGAAAGCTGGGATGACCTCTTCCCCGCTGCTTCTGGTCCCGGACGCCAACCCCCCAGAGGGTCATATGATGCCAGTCGATACGGGCGTGGACGGGTCCGCTCTATGTTTTCTAGAAAAATACCGAACAAGTCTGAAGATGATAAAGTAAGTGTAAGTCAGTTAACAATTATCGGGTTAATACGACGGATATAGTGGCTTACTTGTTGAAGTCATTTCCAGATGTTGCTAGAGAATTTGACACATGGTGGACAGAACTGCGACTACATCTAGATACGACTGAATATATCTACAAATTACTGGCACTGTATAAGCGACTAGAGCTGCTGGTCTGTGTCATTTATGCATTTATGTTCAATGGCTGTGATGCATCATGTGATATAGCCTGAAAGAAGTATGGTGCACAGCACGGACCCCCTGTCTGCCGTACATACCTTTCATAAGCAAATATAAATTTATTTTACGGGTGTATGTTAGATGTCCTCCCGTGGGAGATCACACAAAGACAATATACCTCCACCGGAATCATGCTAAGCGGTTTTGTTCCATCCCCGCCGTCTCTCCAGAGTGCCCCGCCGTTTACATACTCAGTGAAGACTATGTATGTAGCCTAAAAAAAAGTGTGAAAGTAAAGCAAAGAAGGCTATTAAACGCTAAAGATAGGAGAGTGAATGCATTTTGGGGGTAAAATACATACTGGATACTAACAAAAAAGGAATGACAAGGATGGGATTCGAACCCACGCTCTTTCGAATTGGTGATTTATATTCCTAAAACCAACGCCATAACCACTCGGCCACCTTGCCGTTCTTATCATTTGGTGGGCATCAAGCAGAATATGACCACAGGAATGTTTTTCTGCAGCGAAAAGCGAGCTGATTTTAGGCTTCATGGACAGGAAAAGCGGCATTGCGGCGGAGTAAAGGGCTGGTAAAGTATGTAATTAGTGGGACACGGCACGGCGTATCGAACTTAATGCTAGTATTCACTGGTTATTAACTACGGAGCCGCGGGTCTTGCGACAAGAAGGGATTGGTTCTTAGTTTACTGGAGAGGTGAATGCTAGCGCAGTCACTAGATGGCCTTCTCTCCAGCATACTATGAGGGATGCAGTCTGGGGTGGGACTTGGCTTGCTTGATCCGAATGACTTGCGGAATTTGCGTGGCCACAGATTCAAACATATACTTCCGTCAATGCTTACGCTCGTACTAATACATTTCTGGTGACTTTATTAGCCTCTGTTCCGGCTGCTTACCCTTGAGCATTACGGTAATGAGTGGAAGTATTGTGTTGGAATTAGCTATGTCAATGATTGATGTATGGTCAAGTAGAAAGAGGCTCAACTGAATAACTCTCAATCCAGGAAACAAACTGAGCGTCTTTTACGCTGGTCGATAGGTCAATGTTCTGCGGTAGTTTTGGTGTGCTATGCTAAATCCTCGGCAATCTCGGAAGGGCTTATTTTACTCTATTTCTAATGCTATATCCATCACTATTAATCAAGGGATGGAAGGGGTTGGCTGACTGGCTGTTGGCGAGTCAGTCGGATTGAGGGATACGTGGCCTTGAATCAGTTAATTAGATTTAAGTTATAGTAATGTGTAGTATCTGTTGAGCTATCTGTTGCTTACTGCTGCTTGCTGCAGCATGTCATAGCTAAGTTTTCTTCAATCTGTCGGTGCACTCTGGCGTGTCAGATGTATCGCACATACATACGTCAAGCCAAGCAGTGATGATTTGGATTGGTTACGTGTTCTCAGTGCCGGAGGATTGTTATGCAGACGATAAAGACAAAAGGGTGCAGGTCATCTTGCATAAGGGTGGTGGTGGCGACCGACCATGTGACTGATACCAAGAATTATCTGAGCTTGGGCGGTCAAGAGCTGAGGATGAATTATTCTATTCCAGAGCTTTGGTCCTAGCTGATGGACATGGTAACGGCGTTAGTTAGCACTCTACTTACTGTGGCGTATGGTTTGTGCTGAAATTGTTGGTGGTGGTTGGGAACGGAAAGTAGATGGTCGGTCGGGAATTCATTGCTTGAGAGCTCCGGAGTACACGTTGCTACTACTAGCATTCCTTGAGTGGCTCGGACGACGAAGTCGCCTGGATGGTATACATCGCCATAGTAGGGCTTAGTCTACGGAGGATTATGTTTTTAAGAGTATTCATCAGCTCAAGGGAGTAAAATGAGAATAAAGGAAAGTGAGTACCATGACCTTAAGCCTGTCAGTTTATGACATGGCCCGGATTCCAAAACATAGCATTAGATCAATCAATCTATCATTATCTATCCTTTAACATCCCTTTTTGTAAAACCGCACCCGCATGACGCATGTAAACCAAAAAAGTATGAATATCGCTTGCAGTCCCAAACATTCCCTAATCGTAGAAATCCAATACCGACAAAGAGGTAAATTACACCGCTTCAATCAAAAGCGATTAATCAATGTACTTGGGAAGCGTCTTCAAGATGCCGTCCCGAGCAATGTCCTCCATAGCGTTGGTTATCTCCTGCATGAATCGCTTGTCGTTACGCAAATCGTCACCGAACAAACTCGTGATGCTCAGCAGCTCGGAAGGCTTAGTACCACCAGCACGGGCCTTGGCCTGAAGCTCCTCACGCATGGGGTCATCGACAGTGAAAGTGTTACCCTGGTCATCAACACCATTGATGTAGCGGAACCAAGCAGCAGCGACGAAGCACAGACGGCGGAGAGGGCCCTTCACCCAGATGGCCTCGGCAATCGAGGGCATGATGAACTGGGGGATCTTGCCGGACGCGTTGAGACAGATACGGGGCAGCTGGTCCATGATGGTAGGGTTGGAGAAACGTTCCATGAGGGTCTTGCAGTACTGATCGATATCGACACCAGGGATCTCAGGCAAGGACGGCTTGACCTCTTCCTGCATCATCTGCCAGACGAACTTGTTGAAGTCCGGATTTTCCAAGACCTCGTGGACGTAGTTGAAGCCTGCCATCTGACCGGGGTATCCAATAGCGGAGTGACTGCCGTTAAGGAGACGGAGCTTGTGCTTCTCGAACTCTTCGACCGCGTGCACGTCCTTGACGACTTGGACGCCGACCTTCTCGAAGGGCGGGCGACCGTCGGAGAACTGATCTTCAATGACCCACTGCATGAACGGTTCCGTGACGACAGGCCAGGAGTCCTCAATACCCATAGTGTTTGCGAGGGACTCCTTATCGGCGGGAGACGTCTGAGGAGTGATACGGTCGACCATAGCGTTGGGGAAAGCACCTTTATCAGTAATCCATTGAGCGACTTCGGGGTGCGGAGACGGGCGAAAGACTCGAGCATGTGACGGGTGATGGAACCATTCTTCTGCATGTTATCGCACGACATGACGGTGAAGGGCATGAGACCTTGCTGGTGACGGCGGGCGAGGGCAGCGTAGAGGAAACCGAAGGTAGTACGGGGGGTCTTTTCGTTGGCGGGGTCCAGGTCGAATTGAATGTCCGGGTGCTCACTCTGGAGCTCGTGAGTGTTCTCATTGTAGTAGTAACCGCTCTCAGTGATGGTGAGAGACACGATGCGGGTATCCGGGTGCGCCATCTTAGCAATGACGGCTTCGCGATCATCAGGAGCAAAGAGGTAGGAATTGATGCTGCCAATGACGTTGGCAAAGCTGCCCTTGGCCGAACGTTCAATGACGGTGTAGAGATTGTCCTGGGAACTCAGGGCATCGCGCATGGCGGAATCGAAGGGCTGAAGACCAACACCGCAGATAGCGTAGTCTGTCACGCCGTGATTCTGCATCAGCTGGTCAACGTAGACGGCCAGGTGCGCACGATGGAAACCGCCCACACCGACGTGGACAATTCCCTCCTTGAGGGCAGGGCCGCGCCGGTAGGTCGGGACCTTAACGCGGCCGGCACCTGCCGCCACGATTTGCGACAAATTCGCGGTGTTAAGCTTGAGAGGACCCATTGTGTATGGGAGGATGAAGGAGGAAGGAGAGGAGGAGGAGAAGAGGAAGAAGAAGAAGGAGGAGAAGAGGAAGAAGAAGAAGAAGAGGGTAAAAAAGGGAGGGAGAGTAGGGGAAGTATTTCAAAGCAGCCTGGGGAATGAGAAACAAAATGTTGAAGGAGAGCTTGGAGCTTCGCAGGGTCACCGCCGGTTTTGACCGCCGATCGCTCTGATCGCCGCCGAGTCTGCCGGGAATAGTATTACATCATGCGGTGGCGTTGTAAACTTCCAATAGCCTCGAATAGATGGATTATGGACCGGTAGCCTTGCTTTTTCGGACCGGTGCTGTCCAAGCAAGCCGCGGACTGGATCCATGGTGGATCGGGGGCCCCAGTTGGAGCACAAAGAAGGAGGGAGGAGTCGACGGACAATTGGCTCCATTCCGACCCATTGGAAGATGAACCGCGGTGGCGGGAATTCCGGTGAAGCTCCAGAATAATAGAAAAATTCAAATGTGTCGGTGCGTGGGGGAGGGGGGAAAGGAGGGAAAGAGAAGACACAGTAGCAACATTGAACAATACGTAGTAGATAGAATGCAAATGCAGGTGAGCCAACGCAGATCAGCTTCTTTCGGTCGCGCCGCACACGCGGGCTGCCGGCATCACCGGACACGCCCTTCGGACGAACCTTAATCCCTGCACATTTAAATTAAAGCAAGTCTACTTGTACTCCCGGACAAGCTAGCTACTTACTATACTATCTATCTAGAACCTACAGTATGTATCAAGTAAAATCAAAGGCCGCGAAGCCGAACAATTCTAGACCGTCAGGTGATCGGTCGGCAGCCGCGGGATGCCTCCAGGATTCTCAGCCCCTGACCAGTCCAATCCCGACCAGTCGAGAGATGCATAACGTACTTTGTCCGGGGTCAGCTTTTAGTGCGGGTGGCCATCAGAGATTTCTTTTTATTCTTTGGAGATTTTCTGATACTTCATATCTCACCTGCCCCTTTTGATACCGAACATGTGCCACCTGACTGCATCACCTGACCCCTTTAATTCCCCGACCCTCCATGAGCTGGCTGATCGGGCTGTTCTGGCTATTCTGCCCTGGTCTGGCCCTTCGAGGATCTGGTCGGTGTCTCAATGGCTCTCGGTGAGCCTGAAAATCCATCTCCTTCTCTGAGGTGTACAAAGTACAAAGTCTGCGGTGAAAAATAAACCGAGAGATACAGCTCAACCTATTCCCGACTTTTCCGTCCAGATTATAATTGATTCTTGGGAAGAGATTTTACGAAGCTCCTTGAATCAGGCATCCCCAGGCATCTAACCTTATTAAAACTCCGAAATTCAATTGAAGAGTGTCAGGTGACTACCCCTAATTATTAATAGAAAACTCTGATTCTTTTGCCCACCTACTTGAAGGAGTAATTGACAAGAAGCTATGGGGTCGATACCCCTAATAGTATCGGCCGACTTCAACCCCACGGAGTTTCCCCTAACCCCGTCGGCGCTGTAAACTAAGCCCACACCCAAGGGGCAAGTCATTGCGGAAACGTGGGGTGTCCACGATAGTCCCAACTCTGGTTCTTATCATAGAGATCTTCGAGACCCACCACAACCTACAAATACACAAACTGAATTGGAAATATTATCAATCACAATTGACAACAGAAGACGTCTTTGATCATCTCCAGCCAATCACATACCTCAGCAGATGACAAGCAGCCTGTCTGTCGTTGTGAGGGTAATGATTGTGCTTATGAAGGCTGCTTATAGTGTTTGTCCACATCTCAAGGTCCTCAACCGATAAGTCTTGCGGCATTTCATTTATATTGTTGGACAACCTCATACATTTGCCCTGCAGAAGTAATGCAATGGGTAAGACTGCCTACTATCGTAGTTCCCTGATATAGATAACTTACAGTAGAGGGAAAAGCGATATGATGGGCTTTCGGGTTCAATGTCTTCTGGGGCTCTCAGCAACCCTAGGTAGCCAAGTTGTATTCCCACTTTTGAAGTACAGCAAATCCAATAATTCTAGCACTGATAATTCATAGAACTGTAAAGATATTTTTTAATCGGGGACTTTTGTTTTAACGGTGGCAATGGCAAGCAATGACAAGGCCAGTATGTCGCATTTATGCTGCCACATTGACGTTGTCTATGAGCTCGTTAGAGCTTATTAGTATTGTTATCAGTCAGAAGAGTTCTGACGGTCCACTAATATCGCAAAATATTCCTAATTGGGCACTGTGCCAAAAGAGCGCCAGCGTTTTCGGTGCATCTGGGAGTTCTGCCAGCCCAATACTTTTGATATCGCAGAATATTCCTATTTCGTACTTTGTACAATTGCCCCCGCGCAGCGCCCTCTATGTCCTCCCTTTGTTACCTTTATCGTTTCCTTGACAAAATGTTTCAAGTACAAACAGTTGGGTGATAGGGATGGTCAATCGGCCTAAGCACGTAGCTTTGATGGTAAACAAAACCTGGCAGAACGCAAAAGGCGGTGGAGTGTGAGACTAATGAGAAGCCGAACCACAAGCGGATGGACGATTCAGTACTTATGAAACAAAGTACGTCGGTGGATTTTCTTGTTGAAAGACACGGCATCCACATCACCACCGGTCAGGCCTCCACACCCCACCATCCGCTTACGCCACTCTTTGCCACACTTCGCCTCACAGGGCAGCCGGAAGAGCTTTCTGAGAGCTTCTAAGAAAGCATGATGTATACGAATTCATAATAAAATTTATTAAGTACTTTCCACAACATTCGAAGAGATCTCCTTCGACGAACTACAACATCATATCCCCACAACGCCCTTTTCGCAGCCTTAGGCATATCATACGGAAGTTCCTGTATATCACGTGATGCGGAGTATGAAAGCCTCAGGCCCCAAACATCTAAAGGTCATCGAATGAAGCTTTTAATTGGTGAAGCGCCGCGAAGCGTGCTGCTGTAGAGTCTTTTAATCAAGAACCAAGCGTTTAATAGGCAGTTTATATCTCTCTATGTCGCTACCCCGAAGACTACTTGGACTCATATATCGACACATCAGGCATACAGAAACTGAGCAGTCTAATGCCAATAACCACACATTCACGAAGAGATCTGCCTGGCTGTTATTGATTTGGTCTGTTTATGGCTAAGCTTAAGTTCACTGGTTGATATGATGTGTGGTCGTGCGATATGATAAATGAGGTCTCTATCAGTAGTTAGTTGAGATAATATATTTTCTCATCAGGAATATGATCTTCTTCCTCTATTCCTATACACGAGACATAATTATATCTAGCTAGACAAAGAAGAGGTAATATCACGTACTCTATAGTTTCTCGCACCGGCTAAGAACAAACATGAATAAATGCCAGTAGTAGCAATGTGGCTAGTAGTAGTAGTTGAGTCGGAAATAGAGTTGATCAATACCGTCTACCAATTACTAGTGGTACTACTGATATAGACACACATATGTAGAGTGTCTTTACTTGGGTAAGTTTCCATCTGACACTTGCCTGCAATCAAAGAAGAACCTCTTGTAGGTGATGTACTAGCAATTGCTCAATGCCATTACTATTGCCATAAATGTCGGTACTCAGTCGTAGTAGTCTAAATGAAAGCTACTAGAACAGTTTCCAAACAAACAAGGCGAAAGATCATTTACTACAAATACTCTCTGAAATATGATTTCAATCAACACAGATAGGCTCAGCAAACAAATGATACTAAAAGCACATGAATTGAGAGACTAAACTAAAGTGACGACCTCTCATAAGAAGTCGCACTATAAACTAATCTAAAGCAATCTTTATCTAAACAACAATGGGGTCCAATAGAGACCGGTCCAGTCCAACAAGACACTTTTCTCGGAAAAGAGCAAGATCTGAAAGTCGAGTTTGTTTCATCTTATTCCTCAGCCGAGCACGTCAGTCACCGAGACTGAAACCGTATTGTAGACAAGGGACGTGGGCCCGCTTAGTCGCTGTAGCCGGAGCCGGAGCCAGAGCCGTCACCGATGGCGACACACTGTAAAAAATAGTCATGTTAGTTATTAAGGATCTATTTGAAACAGAAAAGGACAGAATCTATGAAGTTGGAAGGGAAAATAGAAGGCAGACGTACCTGAGCACCCTGACCAGGGCAGCAAGCAATGACATTTTCGCAGACCGGTCCATCAGGGGTATCCTTGACGAGGGCTGTTTCATGATTTCATCAATGTCAGTGATACATCTTCCAAAGCTAAGGTCAAAACTGTATGTAGAGGATCAATCATACCCAGAATTCCAAGCTCATCAATGAGGCTGATCGGAGCGCAAGCGGATCCCTGACCGTTGACCAGACTGCCGATAACACCCCACTCGAGCAGGTTGTTGAGGAAGCCATCAGTCTTGTCCTCGTTGGTTGGGTTGCAGCACGAGACGTTGCCAATATCGCACTTGCCCTCAGTCTGGGTCTTAATGGCTTGGGAGTCAGAGACAGCGCCAGCAGAGACGCCGGTGGCGACCGCGAGGGTGAGGGCAAGAACGTTGGTGAGAGTGAACTGCATTTTGGCTTGATGATTCAAGGATGGGATTCCAAAGAGGATTGTGAGGAAGGCTTGATGTGATGGTTCGAAGTGATGAATGCTTGTTGGATGGATGAGAGACTGACTTGACCGGGGTTCTGGGACCCTTTTATAACCGTCAAGATGGGTCTTCGAGATCTTTTCGGTCAAAGGTTTCGAGCAGGAGAGGTCGATCCAACAATGCAACGTTCCTGAGGTGTGGTCTGCCTTCTTTCCCTTCTCCTCTCCAGGGAGAACCTAGACTTCCATTCCATACCTCCTTCGCTTGGAGAAAACCCGTCTGCTTCGTTCGACTCTGGTGGAGACATGTTACAAGGGGTCTTCGTTGCTGGGTGCGATAGTAGCTCCTCGACCGAAAACGGGGACTCCTGGATTGAGGGAGGCTTCATTCTTTCTCCGTACTCTAAGAGAACTTGATTCTGGTGACGAAGACTCCAGGGATGAATAGTGGAGCGTTCGAGTAAACGCAGGAACGGAGTGACTCAGGTATGGATGGCAAGGTCTCCTGAATGTCTCTAGGCCTCTAGACTAAATCTAAACTTGAGACATCCTGTTGTAGGTCTATTCAGGCTAAGTAGTGGTGGCTATTCTCTCACGAGTATGGAAGATGGAATGGATAGTCAATCTTAGCCTCATCCCGCGGAGATGTGAGAACAAAAGTGATAGTTGGGCGTTGTCTTGCATTCATTTCTGTGCTAAATTTGAAGAGGCAGGACAAAATTAAGCAACAAAGGTATGCATACTGTCTCCCGTACGTAGCGCAAACCAAACCAACGTGGAGTAGAGTACTCCGATGGCGGTAGGAAGGGTAGCTAAGACTTTGACTTGATTTCGTAAACGTGCCGACCCTACACCAGCCCATTTCTTGTGCTGCACACGCACGGTAGTAAATTCTGAGCCACAGTGGCGATCTATTAGTTTGGCCTTACCGAAGAGAAGGGTTCGAAGGGGGTGGTAACTGCAGGCAGGCATGCAATGGGGCCAAGTATTTGAGATAGGATCTAGCGAGCCATGACAGCAGAGACATCATGAGCACAGACAATCTTGACATCGAGATTCTTGTGGGGCTGGGACTATGACCTCCTCTGGCTCTCAAGGGGGGACGCACCTGTAAGCCCTAACTGGCAGAGTCTGATAGACCCGGGGGGGTATTTTGGCAGTTGCCTATTTCGGATGGAAGGGAGACCTGACCAATAAGAATGACCTTGGGCTTGGGGAAACTTTAGACGGACCGATCCAGCCAATAGGAACCTTGGCGGTCCTGGAATATAGAGTTTTACGTTTTTTGCCCACAGTATTGCTTCCCAAACCCTCCCTGAGAAGTTCATCTTCATTGCTTTAGACTAAGAGCATTGAAAATATTTACTATATTTGAGGTCTACCTCATCGTTAATGAGTCATCTAAGTTGACGTTTGCACAAGGTTCGAATTTGCTGCTGTCATTGTTGGGAGGGCCCCATCCCTTCCCTCGATTTGAAACTGACACGTTCCATACTCGGCCGAAGGAGAACGGCCGGCTTACACCATACGGTAATAACGGTAACACGAAATTTACAGCTTGGTAACGTTACAGTAGAAATGGCATTCTATTAACTCTTGGGCTTATTCACCATTCCCATACCTCCACTGCCCGGAAGGCCACTGCACGAATCTACGGGTACGTGGCCCACGCGCTCAAATGTAGAACATGGTATCCCTCACATTCGCATGCAAGGATAGTTGCAACTGATCTGGAGATAGCCCGTACCCAGAGTCCCGGGAGGATCGGCGAAGCAGCTCCTCTACGTAGAACCGCGCACGGAAGCACGCAAGATCGGCGTAGAACACAGGTGGGCAGATGCTGGATGCCCTTGTTGCGCGACCAGAAACGTAGCATATATTGTGGGTCAAGGCTTGGATGGCATTGACCGGATTAGGCGAGGCTCTAGCCTGCGGATCGTTGGGAGAGGATTGAAAGATTTCATCGAGAAGCACAACATAGTGTGCAGGGCGAGCGACTCCTCGACTGGCAGTATGAGACTGTAAGTAGAAGTCCCAGACCTTGCCGCTACTGGCTGGGCCGTGATCAACGATGGTGCCGTTGGGAGGATTAGTGTCGTGAGACGACCGGCCATTGCGCTGATTTGTCCTCGTGGGCGTGAAAAATCGGGTGTGGTGTCGCTTCCCCACAATAACAATGGTGATTCGAGGCTCATTAAGACCCAAGCTACCGTATAAGTCTTTGCATGCATTGCGTAGCTGAGGGAGCTCCACGCTGAGGACACTCCCGTATTGTGTATCTGAAACGCCATCACGGTAGAGCAGAACACTCTCAGGGAGCTTGCCATGGTTCCACCTCTGCCATGCATGCAGCCTTGAGGTGAGAAGCACACCAAGCTGCGTGACCAGCTCCTGACGAGCAGGTTGAGTGCATATCTCCGCTGGCCATTGCGCCAAGTAACGATCCACAGAGGCTACCATTGCGGCCACGCTGGGAGCCCGTGCTGGAAGGTTCCCTGAATTTGGATGTGTTACGTCAACCCCAATTACCATTGTTTTGCCCTCGCTTATCATGTCAAGGCTTCGAGTAAGCAGCTTTTGATTAACCCCTCCAAGCTTTAGGTTGAGCTTCAGAGCCACATTAGACAGGAACTGATCATTTGATCGAAGAAATTTGTCCGCTACCACGCACACGTTCCTTATTCCAAATTGGACATCGCAAAGAAACTTGATCCTGCTGTAAAGGCCTTCTGCAGCTTGTGGAAGAATAATCAATAAGAATGACATCGAAGACTCGCCAATGGCAGCGAGAGCATGGGCTAGCTTGTCGGCATCATTTTCCCGTCGTAAAGCAGTATCAGTCACACTGACATTGAACCCCGGCCGACGGGGTTCAGGAACACTGATACCGAGTGACTTTAGATGAGCGCAAAATTTCTGTAGAGCGGCCTCTAAGAGGGTCTTTTCTGGACCTATACCATGGGAACGACCGGTAGTTGCAAGCCATAAATAAGTCCACTGGGAGACTGACGTGCTCCCGGCAAATTTCATCCCACGTAGATTCCAGCTTCCAGCGCGTACGGAAGCTCGCTGTCCCTGACGATATTCTAAAGCCGGGGAGTCCAAAATGCGACCAGACACTCTCGCCATATTCTGTGCAACGGTAATCCCGAATGAAGTCTGAGTATACACAAGAAAAGTTTAATTAGTCCTGGTCTAAAGCTTTTCAGGTCATTCAATTCTTTCACTTACCAAGTTCGCTCCTCTATTGGGGCGAGACATGCCCAAGATATCTGAGAGCTCTGTTTCTATGGAAGCGATGTGAGAAGCTGAAGTGCTTCTGATCCCGCGACGAGCTGTATCGATACAGTTGCCTTGACGAGACTGAGAGGCAGCTATAGATGCAGCCACGGACTGACCAGGAATCACTCGACAGACCTGAGCAGGCAAGTAGGAAGGGTTCGAGGGGCTCCCGACGTTGACAACGGGAAGCCATGGATCGTTAACAGTAATGTTATAGACTAGGTGATAGATGGGTCAGCATTGAGGCTAGTAAGGGCGCAAATTATAGACTTACCTGACCGAAAGTATTCGAAAACAGTGATATACCCTTCAAGCGTAGGTCGCTTTCTTTTCCGACTTCCCCAAGCATTTCCATCTCCTACCTCGTGGCCCTGTGAGTGTGGTTCGCGAAAGAACTGGACTTCCTTAGCTCCTGCCCCGAGACATGGCACCTTAGGGGGGTATGTCAGGCTGCAACCATCTCCTGGTGCTGCCAATCCCGCTACTGTCTTTAGTCTCAGCGTGAATTTTCCTGCACGTTTACGCATGCCGAGGTGCGTAAGCTGAACGCGGATATTCCGAAGCAGTGCAACTATCTTATTCATGTCAGGTCCGTTTTGGCGCATATGCATCAGGATGATTTTGTCGAGCGGGCAGTCATCATAGCAGATTGCAACTTTGGGGGCTGCGTTGACAAATAACCGGCCCTGCGCTTCACGAGCGACCATGAATAGTCCACGGAGAACATGTAGCCCTGAACCCAGGCTGAGCCGCGAGTCGAGGTTGAGATAAGTCCCAGTGCCGGCAGATCTGATGTGTGGTGAGAACTTGGGTTGATGTCCCAGAATGATATTCAACGCATGAATATGTGCCTCGGTCAGCGGCGGCCCTTGGTTCCTTGTATCACCCTTGAGCATTTGATAGATCTTGGGAAACTGAAGAATACCAGCTGGAAGTAGCGTGACATGATAGCAATCGTGCTGATACATCACAATATAGGGACTTTCACAGCAAGGTAGAATGCGACTTGAGATGAGGTTCTGGTAGCCATCGGAGGCAATGCTTTCCTGGAACTGCACAAGCTCCGTCTTGAGGAGCTGGAGTATCACCTGGGTCACTACTTGTCTGCTCACAATCACGGCCGCATCTGGCTCTGATCGTGAAACGCGCACTTCATATCGGTGCAATTGGAGATTAGGCTGGAAGGTCAACTGGAAGTAATTTGCGTAAAGGTTGATTGGGCGACCCAGAGTGCCATAGCCTGGCCTTTTGGATGGCCTGATGCAATTGTCAGTCATCTTGTCTCAATGATGGCTGCTAGCAAAGCGCAGTCGAACTTTCGCCTTCTGCTACTATAAAGGAAGAGACAGTGCCAAACTGTTAGTTGGTCAATATCGTTCAGGAACACCCAAGCATGGCGGCTTTCCCACACAAAGTGGAGGACAACATCCAAGGCACCAAGGGGCAACTGCTCCTGACAACGATGGCATCGCTTTCGGTATGCTACGCCATAAGGGTCTACTAGGGAGCAAGAGAAACGAGACAAAAGGTTCTATTAGCCACCGTAACTGAACTGTGGCCGCCAGCATAATACCTGTGTCGAAAATTACGTTCTTTTAAAATTACAGACCAGTGTGGTAAGGTATGTAGCGTATGTAAGGTCGTACGATCCGTGGTGGCATTACATACGCCACAATCGATGAGAGATCACATCAGCCGATATGCAGAGCTTGCGTCACCACTATACGTGTCCACCGGGAAGAAGTGGATCTGGACCAATGAACAAAATCGCGCATTCTTAGCAGTGAAAAATGCCGCATCGCACGTCATCGACATACACGAGCACGACCCAACCAAACGATGCACACTTATCACGGACGCCTCACTTTTCGGAATCAGCGCTTGGCTTACCCAGAACGGAAAACCCACCGGCATATGTTCCCGCGCACTGACCCTCCGCCATGAGTAAAGGGCTCCGATCATCAGACGTAGTCTGCGAGATAGAGACTACTGGAAGACTCGACTTCACAGCGAGCGTTAGGGCACTGAGTCAGGTTGAAGAGCAACAGTTATACAAGTACATTGAGAAGAACCTGAAGAGAGGATACATCAGACCATCGACAGCAAGATTTATGTCGTGCCAAGTAGGTTCGTGCATGTTGTCCCAACAGTTGTCGTGCAATGATTGGTTGTCCGGGTCGCATGTTGACGTGGCATAGGGGGCTGAGTCGATCCACAGTGTAAACATCCCGTGTCGGTTGCACCAATAGAAACACTCAATTTCTCGTGACGTCATAAATGCCTCATACATATCAAAATCAGGAAAGTCCATCCATTCTCGTCTCTGCTCGGCCGTAGCTTGCAGGAATGTCGTAATCTGCCGCGTGATCCATTCAGGTCTATCACTACCAATGGTCGTCTCTCTTATTCTTTCGGCAATCGCGGGCCTTGTGCCCAAACTGTCCGCAGGAGTTGCATTTTCCGTTGAATTTTCGTTGGCCGGAACCTCGGTGTCCGGATCCCCGACGGATGCTGAAGAGTTCCGAATCAATTCTTTCCGCTTCGTCAACAAGTTCTGAATAGTCCTTGTACGCGTCATTGCTGACTAAAGCTTCGCGCACGTGTTGTTTTAATCCTTGATGATGGCTTGTTTGGCGTTTTCGTCGATGTTCAGTGTCTCAAACAGATCGGATAATTCGTTCGCGTAATTTCGGACTGCCTTTCGTTGCGTAATACTGGTAAGGCGTCGGGCGGCGTCGGCTTCTTTAACTCTATCGGATTTGTCCCAAGCTTCTTTGACTCGTTCCACAAGTGTATCGTAATCTTGTAACAGGCTCGTCTTGTCTTTCTGTCTCGCAAACCAGGTAAGGACGGGGCCGCGGAACAGGGATGCAAAAAATGCGGCTTTCTTCTGGTTGCTCTGAGCGAGTTCGTCGTTTGTAAGGAACGTAATGTCACACCAGGTCTTGATCGTTTCAAATTGTCCTGGTTTTCCGAAAAACAATGGTGCTTTAGACATGTCGGTAACGGGTTTGGTACTAGGGTAATATCCCGGTACGGTGGTATCGGTATCGGTATCGTCCCGTTCAAATTTTAGCGGTGTCTTTTGCAGTGATGTCTCGCTCGGTGTCGTATTCGTTGCGTATCTTCCAATCGGTGCGGGTCTCGTATTCTTTACTTCAATGTCTTCGTAATATCTCAGCGGTGTAACGTCTGTATCTTCTGAATACCGCTCTGCTGTCTGTCGTAACTGTTGTTCTGATCTCTTTGCTGGCTCGCCAGGTGACTTTCTCACTGCTGGTTGTCTCGATGGAGGTGACCTGTAAGCCCTAATGCGGCTACGCTCCCTAGCGATCTGTTTCCTGATCTGAACAATGTGCGAGTCATTTGGAAAATGAGACATTGCTGCATGCAGCTAAGATCGATTTTGTGGAGCGAACACAGAATTAGGGCTGGAAATATGGGCTAGACCGTTTATGATTGAGCCTCCCCTCAGACGCAGAGGCCAGTGCGCAGTAGACTGGCAGTCTAATTCGGTCAAAGATATCCCTTCAGTCTGTGCTGTCAAGTTCTTGAATCCTCCTGTACTGAAAGTTATTTTAACATGCCATTAGTGGCTGCTGACTTGCATGGAAAAAAAGCGCAAATGTGCCGCCACAACCGAAATCTATCCCTTCGGACTTGTTCAAATACTCAATAGGCATTGCCACATAATCTCTTGACCCTATTTCGGAATTGTAGGGATAATAAAAACTACTATATGGAGAGTAACTATTGGTGGGCCCTGGGTTTCAGAGAGCGATGAAGGCTAGGCAGCCGTTCGGCTAGACCAAAGGGCGCAGTAAGGCCGCGCAGATGCGGAGTGCTTGACACTAGATTTTGTCAAACATACCGTTCCTTGGACCATGACTTAGTGTAGACGAAGGTGATATAGAAAATTTATTGTCTTTTATCCGAGATACGAAGGGGCTTCCTTTCTGGGCCCTCAAAGGCGTATCAAACCCATAAATACACCTAATAAGCTATGATACTGATGAACTTGCGTGTGAAACGGACTAAGCCTTTTCTTTTTATTAAGCTAAACTAAATTCTAGTCTAAAAAGACAAAAAATCCAAAAGTACATCGGCCGACCAAGGTCTAGGACGCCTGGGCCATTAACAAGAATCTCAATAAGCGGCTGGAGCTGATATAAAAGCCCCACGTAGCTTGATCCCCAGACTGCTGCCGTTGAACCCGCGCTATCTGCACGAGGCCAGTGGAGCTGTTCATGGAGCTTTTTAGTATCCATCAAGGGCTGCGCACTGTTCCTTACGAAATTCCAAGTCAGCAAGCTGTCACTTTCCAAAAAGAGTTCATATTAGCTGATGTAGACTTACGTTTCCGCCGGGGCAGCAGGCAATGACGTTCTTGCAGTAGGACTTGTCGTCATCCTCTCCCTCTTCGAAAAAGGCTAAGGGTTGTTAGTTTGTGTCTAGTACTCTCTCCTAGAGTATAATGCAGCTTACCAAGCAGATTGAGACTACCAATGAGCGAAGTGGGAGCGCAGGCAGATCCCTTGCCATTGACGAGGCTTCCAATCAGGAGACCCTCTCTGAGCGCATTGTTCAGAGCGCCGTCAGTCTCCTCCTCGTTGGTGGGGTTGCAGCAGTAGATATCCCCAATCGAGCATTGACCGGAAGCGTCATCAATGGACAGCTTCTGCTGGCTTGACTTGGCGGCCGGGATAGCAACGGCAGTCATGGCGAAGCCAAGGATAGCAGCGACAGCGAACTTCATTTTGAAAGGTAATTGGAAATTTGAACGAGTGTTCTTGTAGCGAAGATAAGTGTTCAGAAAGAGAGACGGAGAAGAGATGCTTTGATGAGCGAGTGAATGGATGGTTGATGATGAAGGATACTTTGAGCAGGGGATTGAGACGGGATTTATAGCTTGAGGTGGAGAAACCTCTCTCTCATTCTCCTTCTATGTTTAGTATTCGGATTGCTGCGAGCCCCTACAGAATTCTGAGTTATGGGTCACTGTGACTGAGACAATTCCAATTCTTGCTCTCCCATACCAGCTAACGACGATCATCTAAACCTCGATTTCTGTACAGGATTGTGTCTTGGATAATGACCCTTCCAAGGGTATGAAGATAGGTCTCCGCTGGTCAGGATGGGAATGTACGCGTGTGCCTAGACGCAAACAGGTGAAATTTTAACTTGGCGCTTGAATGATTAGGAAGATTCCTCGCTCAGTGTGGATCGAGGAGTTTCAATGTAACCAATTCATGACTCTGATTGCATCCCTTGTATCATACCAGTGTAGTAAATGGGTCTTTCCGAAGATTCTTCACTAGCTTAGCAAGGTACTCTGTGTCAGTACCCCATTTGACTTCACTAAAACCACCTTTTTTCTAGCCTGGTGTGGGGAAGCGAAAATGGATTGGATGGTACCTTGCAGTCCTACTACCAGCAGTGCATCTACGTGCTTGGCATGCTTGCACGCGCTCCCTTGATGCTTTCAGCAAAGAAGATTTCTAGTGGCAAGGCGATCGAGTTCATCCTATGGTGGATCTTTAAGTCCAACCGTGGGTCTTGAGGGAACAGGTTTCTTTGAGCCTAGTATCATATCTTTCGAAGCTATGCGGCATTATCGGTCGAACTCCCTTCATTGTCAGGTCTCGGCCATCGCTCCGGTGATTTTGTAGTCTATCTTCAAAGCTTTCCTAATTACTACAAAGGGATTGGTCTATATTCGAATAACCCATTACCAGAATTGAACGCTAAAAATGCTAGGCCATACTAATATTTCCTGGTGTTGCTACAAGACGTACAAGATGTTGGCAAATCCTTCCCCCAGGGGCTTTAGCAAGGCAATAATCTGCCTACCCTGGACGCAGTAAGACATTAGACTATCCTTGATAGTCTTTCCAAGGTTCTCTCAGAGCATTCCCAATTGCCTTGGGGTATTCAGTATGTACCCCTTGGAAGAAGAGAGTCAGTTCACTTTTGCGTTAGTCTACTACACGAACACGGACTACGGTCTGAAAGCGGGCAAGGAATGCAAAGACCTCAAGCCTGCAAGGTACCAGGGGGCATAGTAAAACAAGTGAGTAATGACTTCGAGGTCTATAAAGACCGAACACCCTTGAGTTTGATTTTCTCTTTTCTTTTCTTCCCCAGAGCTTCGCTTGGCTGCGAGTTGTAGTTTGGTTTCAGCTCCACTACCTCGTCGCTTCTCTTCGTCTCATCCACGAAGCCACGGCGAAGTATACATGTTTTGCGTCTAGCAGACGGGTATACTTCATTGTGACTTTGTGGCCGGGTTGTAGGAGAAGATGATGCCGGGGCTGGGTATAACCTACGGTAACTGTAGCACAGGGAAGCTCATAATGCTGAGCTTTCTGTGTTATCAGGGACATATGTTATGGAAAAGGCCAAACTTGATTGCTTAGATTGTGGGATAATTTGTAGATTTCATGCTAGTCATATAAGATATGTATAGTAGAGCACAATGAAAACTTCCACAATGTTTCTCAAAATCATCTCTATACATAGAAAGCTTCCTTGGAACTCTTTCACTCACTACTAATATCACAAGCAATTATATAATCTCCATATGCTATATTTGATGTTTAAAGCATGGTTTCACAGAATCCTATAGCACGGTACTAGCAAGTCTATGCACCCGTAATATCAGGCAGTCTATTGCATGTTATTACAGTAAATGACTCAATAAATACGTCTGAATGCGATATATACATACTGTAGAGATATCTGGTCAGATTTAGTGAGTATGAGCATAAGGATTTAAGGCAGCTTGCTTTACGGCCGAGTTAGCACTACTAGTATATTTGATGGACTGCAGCCTAGAACGGGAGAAATATATATATCTGCGCACATGGCACCGGTTTCTCCATCATTGCATTTTAGATGATCGGACAGAAGAGGCCGTTTATGACAGAAACTGCTTGATACTAACTTGAATCAGATACTAATCACATATAAAGAGCGTCTATAATTCAAACCCACTATTTGTGGCGGCTGCTAGGCTATATAGCAAAGTAGGACGAGCTTGAAGGTTATAATACCGTGATATTGGGTAACCAATGCTACGGCACTGAATAGGGCTTAATGCAGATAAGTGGGTACAGCCTACCTTGAAGATACTAATACAAGCTGTCATTATCTCTATATCAATGGACTGAAACTCAATAGCCTAGTAATCTCGGGGTAGAGTATATCCAACAGTCGATGTCATATTGACGCTCTGAGCCAAACTCGGTTTTCCAAAATTTGACGCGAAATAACAAAAGCCCCGGAGGGAACATCAAAAGCGGCGTGTAAACAGGGGCATCAGATTAGAAAGGCTGGCTGCACCCATTGCGACGGTAACAAAGCCCGAAGGCCCCTCGGATCATGGCAGGTATTGCCACCAACCCCTCCAAGCCACTAAGAAAAAGAAGCCAAGGGCGCCATCATGCCAGGCACGAGATCCAAACTACTTGGAATGAGCCATAAGTAAGCAGTGGTTAGCTCGAATTCTAATTGATATGACTTGTCCATCACTTACCTAATGCGTTGCTGGCAACGCAAGGGGGTTCTTGGGGGATTTGGGGCCCCGCCTGTCTCCTCGACGATAAGGTTTTTATTAGCGCCAAATGCCGCCCGGTTATCGTTCCGAATACCGTGGTATTATTTCACAGTTAAAAATAACAGGTATTGTATTGATCGACCGTCGTTTTATTACACGTATATGGATTTCCTGCCTCCGAAGGGAAGTGTCTACGCAAGGCAGGCAGCAGCCAGCGGATGCAATGTAGCAAAAAGGACTTTTTTTTAGCTGCAACCGAGATAATTATCGGTTCTAAGGGGTTGGTCACCCATTTATCAGATAAAATCTCCCCTTACTTGAGAGACAGGGTGAATCGTGCTGGTAATGTCTGCAGTACGAGAACGATGCATATCTGATCGGTGGAAACAATCGTTTGAATTGTTTTCTCCATCATTCGGGCTTGTTTACTCAGCTACAGTTATGGAGGTGACGTATCCGTCAGTAGCCAGAACGTTACCTATCTTACATTCGCAAGAGGCCGACTGCACATTCCTACTCACAAAGTAGCCAAATAGGGTATAGCAAATCCCGAAGGTTTTACAATCATCAATACTCTCCGTTATTACTTGATAGTATGTCCCTAAGTATGCAGCATCTGCGATGTCATCAGTATCCTCCGGAAGAAGTTGGTCAGGAGATCTCGGGGCATACCTGTCCTTGGACGAATGTATCATTCCCTCTTGTGATGACCGAGAGCATTGCTGAAAACAGGAACATGAAAGGACAAGGTAGACTAAACAGGAAATAGCCGAATGGCAATGTTATGTGATTCTACACCATTATACTCTGAGAATGCGTGACCATGCCTGCCTATTTTCACTTTCTATGGGTAAGAATTTGACCTTTTGACCGTGGGATGCACCAAACTTGGATTTCATGAACGTAATCCTCTTCGAATTACCCGTTTCATCTGTTGCCTACTAAGGACAGATGCTTTAAACACTCAGCAGCACATTCTGCATGCGGTATCATAACAGTATTTTCCGGAATTTTCAGCAATTGCGATCATTACGTAGTCTACAAAGCCAGCGAGAGGCTACACAGCCATCGAACCATTCCAGGTGACCTCTAAACTAGCCCAAATCAGGAGACTGTTGCCAAATTATCTTTCCTCCCTCCTCAACGGCATATTCACCAGTTACAGCACCCGACCAATGGTAATGTTAAATCATTTGGATTATATGGGGAGAAAGCAGTGACTGACTCCGTCTTGACACCCTTGTGACTACCACCACTATCGTAACTTCCATAATTTCATTCCGTTCACGGAAATGCGCGTACTGCAAGTGCCACACTGTCTGATGGGGGTCTCCCTTTCGTGTGCTGCATGTATCTGTAGATTAGACCGAAGTGCAGCTGCAAGACTTTGGTTGAAAGGAGGATTACTAAATAGTAAAAAGACCACAAAGATCCACATTATAATTATTAACAGCAAAGTAGGTTACTTAACATGGGGGTAAATACTGCATGCATTATTGGGGTACGGCGGATAGGTGAGCGAGTTCGCCACAACGCACATGACGCAGGCTCACAGGTGTCCAACGCATCTGAATCTGTATTGAAATAAGACACAGAAGAATTAGAACAAAAAAATAAAAAAAGCTAAAAACATACAACAGAAGGGATTCGCTGGTGGTCACCCACCCAACTACTAACCTCCCGGCGTGTGGCTTAAGTACGGCTGAGCGGACGGGAAGCCCTGTTTTCCACACCCTATGGTCGTATGTGAAAGGTCTGAGTATGTACAAGTATATAACTGTTTCAAATATTACAGTTGCTGCTAAAACAAGTCAGGTATAATGTCAAGTTGTATGAAAATACGGTTGCTGCACAGGCGCGGACTAGCGACTGTTCTGTGACCTCATCTTGCCGCGGGGCTAAAAGTAATACACAAAAGATTATATTCCACTCGGCCGCATCAAAACCTATGGCTGAAGTATGGGTGGCCGGACGAGAGGGTCTGCTCCTTAGGGTCCGTGATCGTACATAGCTATGGAGGTAGAAAGCAGATGTAAATAGGCCAATCAGAGTTGACAAATGTGGCACAGAAGGATTGATCAGTGATCATTTACCCACATCTTAATCTCCCTTATTCATGGGTTAAACAAGGCTCATAGACCTTAAATCGATCCCCAGACATAATCTTTAAAACCACTCAAGATGAGCTCAGGAGTTACTTGTAGATACATATAAATAACGCACACCCAATCTCCAACTGGACCTTTCCCAAAAAACTTATCAAAGCTTAGCAGATCTGCTCCTATCGAGAGTAGAACGGGTCAAAGTCCCCTTGATAAGGCCATTTGGCGCCGATTGTGGCAAATACACCTCTGCATCTTTGTCGGTGTTCCGAATCCCCTTGTGCCAGCTCAGGTCTATCGATGTACAAGGTTAGCTTGTCAAAAAGAAGCTGTCAAGACGCATCCAGAAAGTTGGGAAAGCCTACCTATCTCCACATAGTGCTTATTAGGCCAAGAGTACTCCACAGCATCAGCCAAAGGAACACAGTCCAGAAACTTTTCGGCCATCTTGTACAGAGTCGCCTGCGCACTCATACTATTATCTTCCGCAAACGCCTTGAAGGATGCATTTCTAGCACTCGCAAAGGCCTCAATAAAATGCGACACATTCGCTTCAACATCCGAGACATCTCCGAAATGCTTCCATCTCCACTTGATATCCACATCACTGCTCAGAATGCGGTCCCATGTCTCAGGCAACGTCGTGTATTCGTCTTTGATGTAACCCCAGAACTCAGACCTGGTGCTCTTCAGTACACTGAGGCCAAAAATAGCTGACGTGATATTGATGCCTGAAGCTTTGGAAACATCCACGCGGATCTGCCGTTTGACACTCCCATCTTGATAAAATGAATGCGGATGTGGCTCGTTCTCGATGGTCATTCGTTCCCAGGTATGGCAGGTTATGTCGATGTGGGCTGTGTGGATGTGCTTGTATTGAGTGATGAAGTGTTTGCCCAGAATGGAGCCGAACAGTTCCGGAGGGTGGACGGGGTTATGTTTGGCAACGATGTAGCATGTGTTCTTGATTGCATCGGTAGTGACAAGGACGCTGTTGTCTTCTTTGGTGTAACTTATCGCTTGGTTGTTAGTCGGAATATCCGATATATTGTTATTGTCGCAAAAGAACCTCTCTTACGAAGTTTCTATGTCTCCTTCCAGCAAGACGCAGACTGTCAGTTCGTATACTGTTTGCACACCCGTTCCTGCATCACGGTGGACTTTGTATAGTCGAACGTTGTCTTTCCCATATTGTGCATCGGATAGGTTGTACATGTTGCAGGTATAGATAGTGAACTCTCAAAGATGTTGGTTCCAATAATGTCAGGATATGTTTCGAGTGATAAACTTGAGAACCTTGATATAATAGCCCTGTGCCTCCTTGTTGTCTGTGCTGCATTCGGGCACCTCCGACTTCCGGAGGGGCCTGAACTCACGGATGATACCGCTATCTCGTCAATGAACTAGCTTAAGGGAGACCGGCGGATAAGGCATTATACAGGGGTACTGATAGCGATGCAATGTGATGCGGCATTTTGAAGATCTATGATAAACACATTTATCCAGCAATTACAGTGCGTCTTGCATCAAGGCTTCTGGTCTTATATTCGTATATATTGGGTACAGGCACACAATTATTTCCGTTGGTTAGATTGCAGGTAAATGTCCGATTTCATGAACGAATCGATGAGCACTTTAACCATCTACGGAATTTTTGGACACCAAGAAAAGAAGAAAACAGCCGAAAGTCGTGATATTGTACTCCGATTACAAGGTATTTGGCAAGTTCCGCACGCATCCCACTGATACCTGTTCTTTCCTCTGCTTCCAACGGTGTTACCGAGATTTCTAGATGCGCCGGTGCATGAAGCCATCGAAATAGGACGTCACGTCCTCAACATTATCCAAGCCAGTGACAAGTCCAATATAACCATCTGGTCTCACCACCACCAAGGCGCCAGAGTCTTCAGGGACACCAAGCTGATTTTGTGCAGCACCATCAAAATCAGAGTATACGTTCATGGGCCATTTAGTGGAGAATGGAGAAGGGATATTCCCCAGTTGAACATCCAGGTGATTTTGTGAATGAATCAAGAAAAGATCAAGAACATATGCCTTGTTGGTGAACGGAACTGATGCCGTTGTAATGTCCTCATGACGGAATCGTTCCATGAGTTCCAGCGGCAGAAGATTGAAGAGGCTCATTGGTGAGTGAGGTGAATCCAAGGTATTTCCGAGCTTTTGAAGGGTCGGCGAAGATAGGTCATTGCCCGCAAAAATGAACAAATGGAATCGACCATTGGATGGCATGATGTCCAGCATACGGACATGATTGCCGTCGATGTGTCGGATCAGATCGATTGGTAAAAGACATTTGCCCGGCGTGAGCGGTTCTACTGCTTGATTGTTGATTGATGTCCGGACATCGGGGTTAACAAGCAAGTTTGCAGGGTACTCATATCCACACCCGCTTGTGAAGCCGTGTCCCATTTCCCATGTTTCGCGGAGATTCTGACTGTCAAGCTTATCTTTCTGTCCGAATTGACGGGCAAACAAGGCATCAAATTCAATAAGCTGTTGCGCAACCCAAAGTCTCTCTTGTTCGTATGTTTCGAGCAACGATGCCTTTGCGACCCCCTTCATGACAAGTGCCAGCTTCCATGTGAGGTTGTATGCGTCTGAAATGCTGACATTCATCCCTTGTCCCGCCTTAGGACTATGTGTATGGCATGCATCTCCAAGAAGGAAAACTCGCTTGGTCGGATCACTGAAGTGGTGAACAACTCGCTGGGCAACACGGTACTGGCTGATCCAAACAATATCAGTAATATTCATCTTGTAAGGATGAATGACCTTGTTGATGTGCGACTGGACGGTCTGGGTGAGTTTGAAAGCGCTGTTTCCAGTGAGGGCATCTTGCCCAGAAGCTCCGTTTTCATCGAGATGCTCTTGGCTTTTCTCATCTACCTGGAGAAAAATCCGGAGTCCTTCATCCTTGCGAGGAATTAACATGCAACCACCATCAGGGGTTCGGATCGCGCAACGTCTTCTATAATCGGGAAAGTTCGTATCAACATAAACATCCGCCACAGCCCAAACGTCTTCACCACCCTGAGAGGATGATTGCACGCCGGTAGCCCGCCGTGTAGCGCTTCGCGCCCCGTCAGTACCCAGGATATACTTCGTCTGCCACGCTTCAATGGCCCCGCTAGCATTGTTTTTGATGTATGCTGTGAGTGGCCATTCGGGATCTAAGTCGTGCTCATAATGAACCAATTCCATGAACCGCTGTATCTTTTGCCCTTTGGTGTTCAGATACTGTTCAAATACGTCCTCCGTCATACCTTGGTCGGTGTTAAAGAGGTACTGGTAAGGTGTGGCTTTTTACAAAGTCAGCTAAGTCGGGTGTCACATAATCACCTCTCCTCATGATTAAGGACTCACCATGAACCACCTCAGCGCCCGTGAAGTTGCTGATTAGAGCGCCTGTGCTATCACGCATCCAAAAGGAGGTTTCGGTAAGGCGATGTCCTCTCTTGTCAAGATCATGAAGTAGATTCATCGTCTGCAGGATCTCTTGGGTTCGAGGTTGGAATGCTTTGCGAAACGATCAGCTTTCTCGTCAGATCAACAGAAGGGCATCTCATAGACGCACCACTTGCATGCCCAGTTTGTGTTCTCGTGGGTCTTTTATCAATTAGGCAAAAATCAATGCCGTATCTTTGCAAAGTTGCGGCGGCCATGCATCCAGCAGGGCCCGCGCCTACAATGAGAACATCCGTTCTCTGCGATTTGAAGGCGCCAACTGGATACGGTGCGATAGTCATGGTGAACAAAATGGGGGACGATGCTTTTTGGGTGTTCAGGTGAGAATGTTAATGATACTTGATGGCCTGGCATGAGGGGATAGATGTCGTGGACTTTCCATCTCCTTTATACGTCTACCAGTCCGCAGTTCGGCCCCAAGTGAAGCCTCATGATACAGCTCGAGTTGCAATCCCCTGAGTACGTCAACAGCATCTTTACCACGACAAACAATATGGTCTCATCAGACTCATCCTTTCGCAAATGCCGAATTATCTCACTGATTTGCGCATACGCTAATGCACAATGCAACTGACACTCAACGAATCCAGGATCAGTATCCGGTTCAGATATCGAGCTGAAAGGGCCACTGTTTCAAACATGACCGTGCGCATAATCCTTTGGCATCATTGTTGAGCCGCTCAGCTGTAAACAAGGATGCTCGTTCGTATCTTACTACGGTGACGAACACTGGAGACCAACATCCCGGGAATAGTGTCGATTTGCGAAGAATGATTGGGTTTTGCAGCTGAAAATCCATGGCCACTCGTTGTTCAATGCACCCAATTGGGCGTTGAAGGAAGATGACTTGGATGGCCCGAGTGAGAGCCATGAGCAAGAAAGCCGAAGGATGCGAAGGAATCATGGGGGCGGCTTTGTTAGCCTTGAAGCCGACCGTCGGTTTATATGAAGCTAGACACACAATGTAACCCTGCTAGGCCATTCTCGGGGCCAGGCCCGACGATCGAATCCTTCAACTCAGCGCGCATGCAGAATCAGCAAAAACGTGAACAACGAGTGTCGGCATCTTTCGAAACATAGCAAGAGTGTGCTGGCATGAAGAATCTAGTCCCTGGACGCGATGTGTATCCGAAATACATTTTAAAATCCAGCCGAACAGTCTTGACCTAGCCCGATCATGAGGACACCCATTGCGGCTCTCCACCGACCCATGCCTAGTGGACGCCCTGGTTTCTATTTGGCATGATCCACAGCGGAAGCAGTGGGCCAGGATCTGACATCTGACTGTGTCCTGGTCCACCCCGCACGCCTTCCGTGAAGAATCGAGTAGTTAAGCATATTCAAGCACTCAACCGCTAGATCGGAGGCTGTCGGCGGTCGGCGGTCCCCGTATGACTGGAGAGGAGGCTTCGATCTACGTGGACTAGGTCACACGATGGGAGTCAGAGAAGGAAGGATTTACAGGGCCGAAGACAGGATGCGGGAAGGGAGAGACCCCTCTGCAGGCCCGTTCAGGGTCTCAATGATCCTCCTCGCCAAATCCATCGTCACTTTCAGTGGTCAATAAAGGTTACTAAGCTTCTACCTGCATGGGTAGTAGTCGCCAGCTATCGGGCAACTCCGTCATGTTACGAAATATCAAAGCGGCGACGGCCGAGGAGTCACAGATCAGCAGAAGGCATGAATCAGGGTGGAAGGCTGAGCATGGAACGCGTCAGTGTCCCTACAGCCCAGAACAAGTCAGCTTGGTCGTCTAGACCTGAACCGATTGACAGGAGATATCTATTGCGGAAGAGATAACATTGCTAATGGTTCATGTTCTGGTTACCAAATCCATTCTTAGCGGTGGGGGCTGAAATGGAAGTTGTGGCAACAAACAGCTGGAACAACGATAAGGCCCACTCCGGTTCCAAGGCAATGTCTACGCAATATTCCCACTTCTATGCAGAAATCCAGAGACCGTTTGGAAGGAGTAGAAGAATAAGCTAGCAGCCAACATTCTAGCAACACTCGGCACACACCTCAAGCTCTACTAGTATCTCTCTCTGCCTCTGGTTCGACAAAAGCAGTTAGTTCAATGGGTGTGACCTTGAGCCAAACGGCTTAACATACAGGCACGCTGTTGCGACACTCTATGAAAATTGGCTTACCTTGGATGAGTAAATGAATTTGCGGCGAAGTGGATTCCACAACCATGCACGTCGTCACGAAGTGTATCCCATTAATAGTTGAAGTCTATCCTAAGAAACGATCTCTATTGAACCTTCCCTCTAGCATCCACGGACCAGATCTCCTCAATGACTCCACCCCGATGAGCATAATAAAAGTCATGCAAATTGATCGTTGGATCGATGTGACTCGGGACCATCTCCACCCTATCCCCAACCTTCAAATCCGGTGTCCCCTCGGTCCAACTCAACGCACCATGCTCATCTCCCAAGTTCTGATGCGCATACCTGGAATCCTTACACTCCGCCAACCCACTATCCGTAGTCAACGACTTCAACCCAGCATCAATCGTAACCTGTCTCTCCCCCTGCCGACTCACGACCGTAGACAATATCGTCAGACTGTTCGAGAAGCCTCTCCCAATCGCATTCCGGTAATCCGTATCCATGAAAATAAAAGACCCCGGTTGCAACTCCGTGACCCCAGGCACAGAAGCACAAAACTCCACTGTCCCGGTCCCACCTCCAGTGACCACATCAATCTGGAAGCCCTCCTTGCGCAGCGTCTCTGCCGTCTCGGTCAATATCTTCATCGATGCCAAACATTCCTGTCGTCTCTCTTCCCAACTATGAATATGTTGCACGTGTCCCTCATACCCCTGCACCCCGATCAACTTCAAATGCTTCAGCCCAGCCAGGTGTCTCGCCAGGGCCAGTGCCGCCTGCACATCAGCCACGCCCGTACGGTGCAACCCAACATCCAGATCGATCAACACCGCCAAGGGCGTTGTTATCCCCGCCTGCTCCAATGCCTCATCGATAGCCGTAGCCCCGACTTCACTATCCACCACGGTACGCAGTCGCCCGGGGTGTTTCCTAACCAGTTCAACGAGTCGCTGGACCTTCGGCGCGCCGATAATCTCGCACGTTATTAGGATATCGTCGAACCCGGCTGCCGTAATGGCTTCAGCTTCTGAGACCTTCGCAACACAGCAGCCTTTGGCGCCCGCGGCGACGAGCTTCTTTGCTAGGGCGGCGCACTTGGTGGTTTTGAGGTGCGGGCGGATGTTTAAGCCTGTGGGAAGGAGGGCGGAGAAGAGTTTCTGGATGTTGGATTCCATTAAGTCGAGATCGACGATCATTGAGGGGGTGTCGAGGCTCGAGAGCCGGTCACCGATTCGGGGAGTATACATGATGTGCCTTTGAAGAGGGAGGTAAGTAGCGGAGGGGTAAATGATGAGTTAGTCAATATACCGAGAAGGGGTAGAGGGAGGTTTTATAAGAGGGGATGGTGCCCCTCCTTGGCGTTGCATGTAAGGCCGTGCGCCTTGCAGATGGAGATAGGCCGAGATCCGAGTGCGATAAGCAGAACCATCCCTACTTATCTTCAATCCTCACCACCTTCGGGCATATTGAGTATTGAAATGACTGCTGACATGTCAGAGTATCAAATGCCTCTCTTTTTGGATTATTCAAATTTATCTAGTAACGGAGACTTGGTGGAAGGAAGAAAGAAGAAACAAATATGCGGAGGATTTCTTTCCCCGCACGGAGGCGATCAATTTCCATTTCGGGACCAGCGCACACCCCTCACGTCTCTACCGAACAACCACTGACCGACATCTCCAGATCCTTCCTTACTCACGCCTGTCAAAGCTGTCACAGAACAAGGACATGCTCGGCAGCGTGGATTAATGATATTGTCTTGAGGGTACCTAGATTCCCCTTCGTATTGAAAATCATGGGTCAGTATGCTGACTACTATCATAACCACCACCAGCAGCACCATCACCAACGACAATAACAACCAGAAGCAAGGACAGTTGTGAAGTTGTCTGGGATGCAGATCCGCTCCATATTGTTCTCATCATGTCTTAGTCTTGCTTTTCAAGTCAATTTAGACTCATACTACGCCATAGCATATTTAGGTTCCATTTAAGACGCTAGCTATGCCATCCACTGTATTGGTTCTACAGCCAACTACTGCTCCCTACCTGCCTGCTCCTAGAATTTATGTGGGTGGCTTTTCAGGTAAAGCAGAACGGGGCGTGGCTGTACCTTCTATCTAGTATCGTCAGGATCTATTCCAAAGCGCGAAGGCCTAAGTGTTCCTAATGTGTCCGGTTCAGGAGCAGGATCAATTTTGACTGGGCTTAACCACCCAGGAAGCCTATTTGTAGAGTATATTCAGCGATATGCTAAGTTGCCTGCGCCTCTTTGATTTTCTCGCCGTATTGTCGGTTGTTCTGTGTTTTCCCATCCCTATTCTGTTCTTTTCGACTTCGATGATTGCACACTTGTACTCTTGATCATACTGAGAGAATTTCAACTCATGTACAGGGATAGAAGAATTATGCATTTCCTTAGGTCGAGCGCCTTAAAGCGGAAAGATTCAGATAACAGGGAGTTCATAGATCCCTTGTTTAAGATAGAGTAGCACGACACTCGGAAGCCAGAGGAGACATGTTTCCGGACGCCTTCCCAACCCTACTTCAAGGGTGCTATCTCTGCTACTGTGGTTGCTGTTGCCGTTGCTCCCCCTGTTGTTGTTGCTGCTGCTGCTGTTCCTGTAGCTGCTGCTGTTGCTGTGGCTGGTGATGGTGGTGCTGGTTCTGCTGCTGCTGATGGTAATAATAATTAGTATAATGCCACCCAATATCTCAAGATAGAGAGAACTTACGTTGTGGAGGCGACCCTGGTGTCTCCCTCGCCGCATTGCCTGATCGTACAAGTCAATTCCACGCATCATATGCTTTCCTATATAGCTAACCTGCGCTCTCATTGTCCCCTATAAGAAGTGAGTATGCAACACTTCACATATATGTAATAAGAAGTTCGGACGAATCATACCAGCTCCAGCACCCCCAAGTATAAACGACACTCTGGGCGGTCGTGGCCCCGGATGCCACAAAACTCGCACTTGTTACGATGCTTCTCAGTGTATTGATTAGCATCTAGCATAACTCATCATTAGCAACTGATGAGTCCAAACACATACTCTTCTTTTCCCCCGACCACAACGTCCGCCACGGCCACGGCCACCGCCACGACCACCACGCCCTCCGGAAGAGATGGGGGCTCCAGATGTGCAATCAGCTTGCATTGTAGTTCTTGGAGACGATATTCTTGCGAGTATAAAGATTGAAGCGGTCCGAAATCTTGGTTGCTCCAACGGAGAAAGGTGGCGGATTTGAGACGTGATTGTGTGTGGGTAAACGAAAGCGAGGCACAACAACAGCCTCAACAGAGCAAACCATCCAAACCCAGTGATCACAAGTCTCGTCCACATTGGGTCTAGATCAACTACATCATCAAAGGGGTGGCCTTCTACACATGGCCTACTGAGTGCCTTGTAGTATTGGTTGTATGCTTCGCAGTCAATTTTGGAATCAATATAGCTAATCTGCTATATTAAATCATTGTAATCAAAACGCTACCTAAATTAGTAGTTAAGCACCGTTGAGGCTACGATTCGGCCTTTTTGTGCTGTGGCTTCAGGTTGGTGAAAAGTGCTTTAAGTCTGATGCAACTGAACTACTCATGTAGACCATGGAAACTCCAACAGATTTAATCTGCAAGCCTGAAACCCGGCAAGGGTCATAAACAGACACCTTTAGTGTAAGAACATGTCAGTAATACCTGATTATAATTGCGTGACGGCCAACATCATATACGGCGCCTGCTGATGATCGGAATTGTAAGCATTGTCTCTCATCGAAAGCGAGGGGCGATTCATACTTAGTAAAATGCATGATAGTGACCGGTATATCCGAGATCAGATTAACCAAGCCAATAACACTCATTGGTGTGGATAAAGAAAGCATTGGTTGGTGGGCTTCGACTTTCTATGGGAGCTGTAAGTCCACGCCGATGGCCCGATTCCGTCCAGCACGTCCAGTCAGAGAGTCTACTAAGCGGCGTCAACTATCTATCCTGAGTTGCATAATGCCATCCAGGAATGACGACTTCAACAATTTCATCTGTCCACTCAGATGTGCGAAACTGCCGACCGTTATCGGCCATGTAAGGCGTGATCGCCTAGTGTCTCGCGTCATCTCAGTGCACCGCAGCGCATCTCATGCGGGGTTCAGCACAAGAAGTACAGCCCCTCCGAAGATTATAAATGCTATGTCCATCCTGACCAGTACAGCCATATTATTGCATAGACTAGAGCTCATCTTTCATCATGCCTACAGAATTCATTAGCCTTACCTTCCCCAACGCCTCTACCGAGGTCGCGCCTATTCCCAACGCCCGTATTGACCCAGACTACCTCGTCCGCTATGCGCGGTCCCTAGACGACTATGGCTTCAACTACACCCTCGTGCCATACGATTCGTCCTACTTTGACCCCTTCACCATCGGGGCCACCATCGCGTCGGTGACCAAGAACCTCAAGATCATCATCGCCCTCCGCCCCAACACCCTCTACCCCACCGTCGCCGCCAAAGCCCTTGCCACCCTGGACCAGCTCAGTCGAGGACGCGCTGTAGTCCACCTCATCGCCGGCGGCAGCGATGCTGAGCAAGCCAAAGAAGGCGACTTCCTAACCAAATCTCAACGCTACGGCCGACTGGAAGATTACATCCGCATTCTCCGACGAGCCTGGGCATCCGAGGATCCTTTCGACTGGGAAAGCGAATACTACACCTTCAAGCAATTCAGCAACCGCGTCCGTCCTGCCAATCCCAACGGGACCATTCCCGTCTCCGTGGGTGGCTCCTCCGATGAAGCCTACCGCGTAGGCGGATCTCTGGCCGATATCTTCGGTCTCTGGGGCGAGCCCCTCAAGGAGACCAAGGAGCAGATCGATCGGATCTATGCGGAGGCCGAACGCGCCGGTCGTGCACCTAATGACCGCCCCCGTATCTGGGTGACTTTCCGACCTATTATTGCCGAGACAGATGAGCTGGCTTGGGCCAAGGCGTACCAGACGCTAGAGAAGTTGAAGGAGCATCGCGCAAATGGACAGGGTAAGGCGCCGGCTAATGCTCCGCCGCCGCAGAATGTCGGGTCCCAGCGACTGTTGGATATCGCGGCGCGTGGGGAGATCCAGGACCGCGCGCTCTGGTATCCCACTGTCACGGCGACAAATGCACGCGGGGCGTCCACGGCATTGGTGGGATCGCCGCAGACCATTTCGGATTCGATTCTGGATTATGTGGATCTGGGAGCCGATTTGATCTCTATTCGCGGGTATGACAATCTCAACGATGCGATTGACTATGGGCGGTATGTTCTGCCTAAGGTGCGTGGGGAGTTGAAGGCGAGGGAGAATAGTAATTGAGGATGTTGGATGATGTAATTAAGCTGCACTCTAAATAGTTTGAAGAGTTTGGATAGTGGCTGTCAGATAAAGTCGATAGAACTCGTTTGCAAGAGATCTTTTTTCCAGCCCCGCTAAAGCTGATTACAAGTCATTGAACTGTAGTTGGCTACGGTGAGAAAATCCAGTAAGGAAAAGGAAAAGCAAATTAGCAAAGGCTTCAACAAAAGCAAACATAGCACTCTACATCACAGAGAATACATAAATCCGATCAAGTCTATTTACCACGAGTTCCTCGAGTCTTTTAAGATCAAGAACCAAGTAGAGAATGGAATCAGGATCCATGATAAAAATAATGAAAAGGACTACTATAGCCCCAAATATCCAAACTCACCACCTGAAAAGCAACGCCAAGAACTGCACCATGCAGCATCTTGAACATGATAAGCTTTACTCCAGCCCCCGAGCAGCAAATAACATCCAACCACGCGACCGTCTGGATAGTTCATCTACCCGGTCCGCCCGATCGCTCCACCCAGCATTGCACCACCCATTCAAGCCGCCTCTCCCCATCAAAACAGACCCATCATCTCTATCCTCCCAACCTCAGTATCTCTACCAAGAAAAAACCCTGCAAGAAAGAGACCATGCGATCCCCAAGCGACCCTCTCCTCGCCTCCGAGTCACAACCACTCCCTCCCGGCCAAATCTATCTGCCCGATGAGGACGACGAAAACACACAATCCACAGAGCCCCTCATTGCACGCTGCCGCCGGTCGGCCCGCAACTATCTCTCCTCCCGATTCGGCCACTACCTGGTCCTCTTCCTCGTCTCTGTGGATGTTGCATGTGTTTTTGCCGATTTCTTGATCGAAATCTACGTCTGCGAGCTGGAGAAGAAGTACAAGCATGTGCCTTCTGGGTGGGAGGATGCCCAGGAGGCGCTGAGTATTACTGGGCTGGTGTTTTCGTGTCTGTTCATGCTTGAATTGGTGGTCGCTGTGGGGAGTTTCGGGATGAGGTAAGTCTTTCCATTACTGTCCCTTCATATTGTCCTTTTACAGAGCTGAATGCCTTACATTGTTCGCGGTGGGTGGACGGTAGTTCTCAGGGGCACCTAGCTAACGATATCATCCCAGCTACTTCTCCTCCAAGTTCCACATTTTCGATTCAGCGGTAATTATTGTCGCGTTTGCCATTGATGTGGCGATGAGAGGGTTGGTTGAGGAACTGGGTTCCCTGGTTGTGGTTCTGCGATTGTGGCGCGTGTTTAAAATCATTGAGGAGCTGGAATCCGCTAATGCGGATTCTTTGGAGGAGTATGAGCGTGAGATTGATCGGTTGAAGGAGGAGAATTATCTCCTTCGTCGGAGAGCGGAGTTTGGAAGTGATGGTGTGAATTGAATTTGGATTCGTGGGTGTGCTATCTAGGTATATGTGGATAGAGTGTGGTGCAGGCTGGCTTGGGGACTGAGTGCATGATCTGGAGGTTTCTGTAAAGATGGTCGGTGACGTGTAACGGTGATAGGCATCACAAGTTTCGGGTATATAGTCCTTTTATATGGGTTGCATATCTATACTATCATGATGGGGCTTCGAGCATGACCTGTGATTTGAAGGCGATTCGACGCCGGACTACTATTCCAAATTTGTGGCCTTTACTTCGAGGCCACGCGAGTAAGGCTGAGTTGCTGCAGGAAGCTTACAGCTTCTCCACCTCATCCTGCACGATTCTCCACCTGCATCCCGCGCTAGAGGTAGACACACGATCGCATCCTCACGTTTCTAGTAGAATGTCGTCAAGGGTCGACGTGGCGCTATGCCATATTCCTTTGTGAAGAGTTAGATATCTCAACAATTCAACCGTTCTCATCGATCTAAAAACATCTATTCTACACGAGAGCGGCTGTATCCGATATTCGACAAGCAACTAAACATCTATACCATACTCATAATCAATCATACAGCCTCTAAACCACATTATAAGCCCACACCAGCTCTAGACGCGGCCGAAAACCTCATCAATAAACTCCAAACCCCTGTTATACGCCTCCACAGACCCCTTAGCCGGCTTCGGCGGAAATCCCTGGCTGAAATCCATTAATCCATGCGCACCCCCCTCAACAAGCAACAGCTCTGTCTTTACCCCCAACTTCTTCAGCTGCTCATAATGGTTGATGCTCTCCTTATCGGGTACCACATCATCCGCCGTCCCATGCACAAACACCGCAGGCGGATGCTCCCCTGTCACATGCAACTGCAAAAATGCCGGCTTCAAGTCCTCCGGGATAGCAGCCGCCCGCTGCGCATATTCCAGCTTATTGAGCTCCGCACCAAGCCCAGGCCGTCCCAAACACCCATCCAGGAACGTCCCGTCCAGTTCCCATCGAACCGTCAGCGCGAACCGGTTCGTCATCACACCCCCGTCTTCGGGCATGTCGTCACTGACGACGGTCTTATCGGCAAGTAACTTGGGAACTTCATCTAGGTTCACCCTGTTAGCGATGGAGGTGGGAGGACGGCCGGTTGTCCAGTGATCGAGGAGCCAGTCGCCAGCGCTGCCGAAACCGGTTAGCATGGCTGCGGGCTTGGGGGTGGCGTAAATGCAGGCAGCGCGGGCGGAGTATCCGCCTGCTGAGAAGCCGGTTACGGCGACGCGGGTGGTATCGAGCGATGTGCCTTCTGGGAGGGAGTTCTGGAAGTCTCCTGCTAGGAAGCGGAACATGGCTTTCGCGTCTTCAATCTGGTCGAGCGCTGTGGTGGGGTGGCAGAGACGGTAGTCGGCAGAGATGAAGATGTAGTTCTTTTGTTGGCAGTGGTCTGTGTATTTGGTTAGAAAGTCTGTTTGGCTGGTTGTTCTTTGATGGATTAGGTGGAGGGACGTACTGTATAGCCAGTGTGGAAATCCCATGCCCCGGCGGGAGCCGGCGGTCATGCCGCCACCGTGGTAGTAGATGATTGCGGGGAGGTTTCCGCTCGCATTGGGTGGTAGATAGTAGTCAAGCTTAACATCGTGGCCATCTACAGTGAAGTAGACGAGGGTCTTGCCTCCTTCGGGGAGATGTGGCGGCATGATTGCTGGTTGATGCGGGGTTGAAGTGTTTGGCGCAGGGACTATGATGGCCGTTAGAGATGCAGTAACTGAGTTAGATCCAACTGAACGTTGCCGGTAGATATGATTTGCCCTAAATTATAGATTCAGATATCGTCTTATGACAATCTGCCAATGGAGCTCAATTTGTATCCAGAATTAGGCAGCAGTGGAGGTTCGAGGTTCCCAAATATGATGTCGAGCCGGGTGAGGATATACCCGACAACCCCACCATGCCGGCAAGCCGAGATTCGGCAGTACCTCGGCACTGAGTCTATCGCAAATAGAGTTGGAGTTTTGAATACCAGGATGTGGTGTTTCTATTTATGGGGTCGGGCTTGAACAGTCGCCAAAAACTTAATGACATCACGCCCGACTGTCAAGGATAATTCGTTCGTGTTCAATATCCAATTTATTATTGCAGGTCACAGGCACCATAAGCCATGCCTTTCTTCAGGGGGGAATAGCAGCGACGCTACAGATAGAGGCCTTACTTGTCGTATACGTAGTCTTTTTACCTAGTGCAATCTTCCTCACTTTGCTTTATGCAGGCTTTTATGCTTCTCGTACAAATTTCTAGAGCTGGTTATATCTAGGCATGGAAGCTGCATCTAGCACTTCATATTATCTCCTACTGGAAACTTGTAGTTTTCGATCTGGGACGGGCTCTGTTTTAGGTGCATGAATCCCTGTTTCGTAAGCTAAATTAAGGACAGACTAGACACAAAAGAACCAAAAACACAATTTTTGCCGAGACTGGTTGCCATCATCCGAGTATCGGCCAAACCCAGACAAACAGTGACAAGAGGCAGAACAAGTCCGCATACAGAGCCAATCAAAAGAACGAAACAGGATCAAAATCAAGATCCGTGGCAACACAATCACTCCAGCGCCACGGTCTCAACGCTCAACTAGTGACAGTAGCCATTGGACATCTGGTATGCCTGCAGACAGCTATTACATCCATTCTGGCGGCAGGTGTTCTGCGACGTACAACCCACATTCCTGCACATATCCTGGTTTGGCATTTGAGTGCCCGTTGGCAGAGACTGAGACACGGTGCTGGTCACCGTGGGCGGTAGCTGGTCAGAATCAGGATTGAGCAACTGGTCAAGGTCCGTGACGTCGCGGCCGTCAACGTCCTGGAACACGCGTTGAAGACGGGCTGCATCCCGCTGTGGCAGGTTTTGGATGTACTGGCTGATTTGCTGCGGGCTCAGTTGCTGGTAGGAGACGACCCGGTTGGCTGCGTCGACGGATCTCAAAACGCCGTCGCTGCCGAGGTACAGGACTCCATTGGGGGACTGGGGGATGTTGTTGATGATGTCGGTGACATTCTGGGTGCTCTTTTGGTGGGTTAGTAGGTTCGATGTTAGTTTTTCTAGGATTGGATCTGCTTACGTCCGACGTGGTAGGTACGGCGGGAGCGAGAGCGAAAAGAACGCTCAGGACAGCTAGGATTTGGGTCTTCATCTTGTTGGAAATGATTTAAATGCTTTTTGGGTTTATCGGATGTCTTCTTTGCTCTTTGGCTGAGTATGATTGCTGGTGATGGTAGAGACATGGTAAGAGAGAAGCACGTATTTATATTCGATTGCTTCCTGTGAATGTGCAGTATGCCTTAATCATTTGTTTACTGTATACCAGGCTGCTCCGAAATATCCCGAGGTGTAAGGATTCAAGGCAGCACAAAGGGAATAACGGTGCTGCATGATGGACTGTGCGACTTCCGGGTAGCATTGCTGACGCCTGGATGATAGGGTGGGCAGGCAGTGTCATCGGCTTGCTATGAAAACGGGTTTTCATGTCGATAACTTAGACACTAACGGCAAACCTGTCGTCTGTCATATTTTGGGAAGGATTTCTGTAACGTCAGGCCGAGTTCCAGGAGCAATGTGTTTTACTGCAGGGCGTCCAGACGTTGAACATCCATAAGACGTCCAAGGATTGATGTGCGACAACGAGGACAGACTGACAAACCGTGACACAAACCATGATAGGCTGCATCCTTTATTATCCCGTCGGTTAGAGTTATTATGTCAGAAGCTTCGTCAATCGTCCCTTAAGAGTCAGTCGTTTTGTGTATAGCTAGGCAGCGCTCAATTCGTAACGCCCCCATGAAGTGAGGCGATATCTCTACTCTGTGTTCCGAGGAAAAAGGTCTGGATTCTTTTGCTCATAGTATCTGGGTAATCTTGGAGATAATCAATTCAGGTTTGAGACGTATATACCATCTAAGCTGACATACCATTTGGCTTGACATATCACCAAACGCATCATACGTCCGCAAAATGTCATAAAATTCCCCATGATAGCCTCGCTTACGACGGTCTGAGACCCTTGAATTCTTAAAGATAGAAGGTTCTGTCTGCGATGTCGCTTACCCACAGCCCGATGGGGTTGGACTGACCATAGCTGATGACGGCCTCCCGATCAAGGCAGGTGATGCCGGTCGCATCATCGCTCCCAGCTTGAAGGTTGCTCATTATTTTGACTATGTGCACTTTCCCTTCATATGGAGGCAAGTAGTGTGTAATGGCTTTACATGATAGACTGTCCCAAGATATCAGGGCTGAACATTCTAGGAACCTCGGCGAAACCGGTGATATTGAAATAATTCAGAATGTCAGAGATTCTCATGGTACATGTCACTTTGCAAGAGACTCCCTCGTATCTTTTTCTAAGTAGTATTCATGAGTACCCTCATCGTGCTGCTCCTTCCGAAGTGGTTCAAAACTGATTCCCCCAAAGGGGTTGAACAGATCTTTATTATCGCGAGAAGCGGAGCAATCCCGTAACTCATACTGGCCCTGTAACAGCGCATCACGAATAGCTAGCTGATGCCTTCGAAATGGAATGGTACCTGTTTCCATTCCCGCCAATACATCGAAATGAAACTGACGATGTTCATATCTCAGTTGTTCGGCAAATGACTTCTGTTTCAAAGCGGGGACATGCGCGTAGAGATAGGATATTTGGCAAGCCAAAACAAGTGATAGCGTCTCATAATTGCTAGGACAATCTAGCCAGCTCTCGATCAGTGCATCCAGGAAACCTGCCAGTGGCGGAAATGGCACCTTGAGCGATGGCATAACTTTTAAAGGCACAAGTTCCAATTGGGTGTTGGATGTTAGAGGGAACTTCCAGTCTGCTGCGGGAAGGAGAACCGTTCTCGTCTCGTCGTCCGGTGATATCAATCGCTTATGAGGGAAGACCAACAAATGCACCTCCGCATTCCCGATGAGATGTGGTATTTGCATATCGAAATGCCACCCCACCTTAGCAAGAATCTTGGCAGCCATATCGATATCATCAACAAGAATATATAGGTCAAAGACGGCAGTGGGAACGTCGTAGTGAACAAGAGCATCTTCAAACCATATGGCGTGCGGAACACAATTGTCAATAAGCACTTGGCAGACACTGTATCTTGTTTCGCGCCCACCACCTCCCGTGCCAAGATGATAGTTGAGCCTGAATTCCATGATGCCAAACCATATATATAAGCACTAAAGATAGTAGCTGAGATCTAAGCCTTAACGCAGCTAGTAGCCGCTGCTTTTTCGGAGGCCTTGGCTACCTGTGTTGTTTAATCATGACCTTTCTGGAGTTACTACTCTGTAGGCACCAGTGCAATAGAAGGCTTCGGCCACATGTTGATCCGGCCTTGACTGGATCGCCACCCCACCTGCGGAGTACAATGTCTCCATACAGCATCATTCTGCTCATTTCTATTATTTGGACTTACGTGTAGCATGATTTATACTTGTGCTTCAAGGTCTGTCAGCATCGCCCTCTTCTGGAGTGTCACATTAATGGGTATCTTTGACGTTCAATCCCACACTGCTCGTTAGCCGTGCCCCGCTTTCCTATCGTTCCATTTAAGCAGTTCGTCGTAACAGTAGCCTTGTATGCGGGTGCTATAAATAGACCTTAATCATCTCGCTATTCAGGAGATAGCACTCTGATTCAGTGATATGCAAGATCACAGCTTTGATCCAATATCTCAATCATCGTTCTTCCTCACGCGGGCTCCAGTGTCACCGCAGAGCGGAGTCTTTTGGGTGCTGGACTCTTTCCATCGTACTTCCAAGTGAGACGACTAGCTTAAAGCTGGAATGAATGGCGCTGTCGCAACTACTACGCAGTAGCCTTGCATATTCTACGTAGCAGTTCAATGTTATTGCTAGATACCCGCCCCTCACATATCCTATAAAGTTCTGACATGGTAGAATGATCTTATCTCCTACTTGCTCAATATCCCTGAAGTTTCACAACACGATATACAAGTTCTGAAAGGTAAGTGACATACAGCAACCTCCCAACTATGTCCTAGGCCAGCTACTACTGACTGGACTCACCATTTAAGCAAAACATCATGACCTCTTCACACTTCCACACCCCGACGGAAATACACGCCGCCGCAATGGCAGTTGGAAACGCACTTGCTCAATATGAAACCTACAGTACGCTCTTGTTGGTGGTAGTGTATGTGGTGGTCTTGGGCTCTACACGGGCAACCCAAGACATAGACTTTGTCGTGCCATGGGGCGAAACCTCAAACGCAAGACAGTTGCTGCGTGCCTCTCCCGGTTTCGAAATTGAAGCAAGAACGAACAACACTACTTACAAGGCCCGAAGACCAGTACAAGTCGAGATCCTCACCCCACCTCTTTTGTTCAAAGAACCCTTTGACGAGAATACTGAGGTAATCTCAATTGAAGGAGTAAAAGTCTTGAAGCCCGCTTTGCTTCTTAATGCAAAATGTGGTTCGATTACGGGTCGGTCTACGGAAGACAAGAGGAGAACGGATTCTTTGGACATTAACTTTCTTCTCAATTTCTGTGCTCACAATCCAGAATACCTTCCAAAGTCTGACGAAGTGCCAAGAGCAACAACGCAACTTGTCCACGTTCTTATCCAGTTTTACGGAGGTGGAGAGGCTTGGGTTCGAGCTGGTTTCAGCTTGCATATAGGTATCGATTATCTGGAGTCATAACTAGAATCCTAGACCTGACACTTATTTATTAGGCCGTTTTGGGAGAAGTTGAACTATTTTTACGCCTGATGATTTCTGATCGATGTATACGAAGCGTCAGTACGGGGTATGATGTCCCATTCTATTGGCTTGCCTGGTCTATGTACTATGCCGTGTCTCGTGCTTGTGCCTTACTGCTCATGAGTTCTTTTGCGCTTTCCTAGATATCTAAGTATGGGTTATGTCTAGCTGTTCCATCTTCAAGGGGGTGAACAGAAGAGTTGTCCTATATAGACTTCTTTTCACATCATTTTTCTTCTTCTTTCCTATGCACTTTCCCTTCGTAAAATTAGCCAAATTATTTAAATCATCAATTTCTCAACAATGGAGACGAATAAATCACATTACCTTGAAGGCCACTAGAGCCCGCCGTACAGGGATCGTTATATCGGATAGTAGAACGAGGCGCTCTCACCGCGTCTACCTTTCCCGTGGCGCAGGAATAATCGACGCGAACTTGGAATATGCTGCACAGCTGTCAACATGGACGCGGCGTCAGATGTGTGCAGGGAACCGTTTTGTACTCGGATAATGTCACCAAGGGCATAACTGAGGCTCGTCGTCACCGCATGGGCATCTCCCAGAAATCTATTGTTCTTCATGATAAGTGTTTCATGCCCATGAAGAAGAGCGAATGGGACACGGCTGTTGATCCCAAACTCTAATTCTTACTATGCTGGCAGCAAATGCATCCTCCAGCAATGATCTACAATCTTCTATCACCAAGGCCAAGAGCGGCGCTGGTTAGCTGCGTCAGTCCAAGTCTGCTCAACTTCTGGCTCGAGAGATTGGGAGGAAGGTGTGTGATTTTCTGTTAAAGCCAGAAGAAGAGTTGCAGATGTCGTCCTCTCTGTCAAACTTGGGATTGGATTCCCTTGTTGTAATTGAGTAATTCAATTCTCAGTCAAGGAGAACCTCCGTGTGAACATGGATATTGCTCTGACTAGTTTACACGAACAGGGGGTTCAACGCACATTGCGTATTTACTAATCGCTTCATATACCAACGATTCCGGGAATACACTATCAATTAGAAAGTTGTAGGTTGCCCCGGCAAAGCTCGTTAAGTGGCACCTCTGCTAGAGGGATTATACACGATGGACTATCCGCCTACTTAGTCGGAGTGGCGCCTCAGCATAAAAGAATCCGCTGTTGGCACGTTGGCACCAACAGCTATCGTCTATCTTTACTATAAGCAGGTGGACATGGTGATGAGATTCGGGAAAGCTAATAGTTACTTTGCTAGCGTACCAAAGAGTGTTGGTTCATACTTCTATGGACTGTAAAAATTGGTATATCCTTCCCATGGAAAACAGCGCTCGGGGTTTGGGTGGGTGGCTGGTCCGCTCCGGTCGGAAGCTTTTCCTTGGGAGTAAAGAGACAAATTCGGCCAAGCACAATTTCTTCTTCTTGTTGGTCATAAGAATAGTGATTAGCTTAGAAGCTATTCTGCGAATGGTTGTATAAGGCTGTCTGATCGAGAAAAACGGTTAAGTAATGAGAAAAAGAATGAGCGGCTCCGACTGGAAGGGAAAGTTCAACAAGAGTGGGGGAAAAAAAAAAAGAAAAAGAAGGTTGGAGCTGCGGGGAATCGAACCCCGGACCTCTCCCATGCTAAGGGAATATTATACCACTAAACCACAGCCCCATTTCCTTGAAGGACAATGGGTCTTTTGGCTATATAACCCAATGCCAAAGAATTCTCCCAGGCCACATACTAATGTCGACTCTGTGTTCGTTCCCATCGTCTATGGCTTGTCTACAGTATGTTTATGCGAAACCACATGCAAGAAGTATCAGCATCCAATTGTCAGCTTACCATCTTAGTTGGGTGTATCTGCGAACAGTTGATTTTCCTCAACTACCACCGATGACCGCTGGGTTCACCGTTTATATATTGCGGCGGCGGTCCTTTATATATTGAATCTTGCCTCCACGTGGTGAGTACTTTTTAAATTGCCATATACTAATTCGGCCCAGTTACATTCTAGTATCACTTTGTCAACCTCTCCCCCATAGTGTTTCCTCTGTACACCTTCTACATATCCTCCCCTGGCCTAGCTGAGATCATGCTTTCCTAGTAGGGAACCGTTATCTCCGGCTTACTATATCAGGGGCTTCGGGTCCCTGATCTCCTGACGGATTGAACTCTCTGCAGCTCAGGAAGAGGATTCTTTTGGCGTCCTATGGCCAACTGATACTGCTCTTCATCAGAATAAGTCCAAAAATTAACAGTTACCCCTGCTCTCATTGTTGCCGCCCCCAGTCCGACCCGACAGCGATCCGTGTCTCCGAATACATTAAGTTATTCCTAATGTTAGGAAGGGACATGTTGTCCCTGGACTAGGTCGGATTGTCCGTTATATTAGCGACCTCTTATGGTACTAGTACTGTTTCCAAAGGGCGAGTACACATGATCCGTGCTACAATCCCAATCGTGGCTGTTAACCCGTGATCTACAGTAAGCAATTCAAAAGCCTTCCACTACGTTGACCGCAAACGGAAAGTGCCGCATAGGCCGAGTACCACGTTTGCTCGGCCTCACCCGTTACAAATCAGGTGATGTCGGACGGGACCGACGCGTTCGCCGCGTTGGACTTCACCAGCTCAATTCGGTCACTAGTCTAGTCCTTGGTAAATCCATTTGAAATGGTAGCAGTCCCTGTGTCATGATATCCAATTTGTTTTCCCCACACTAACTGCTAGCACTAACACTACAGTACCTTGAATTTTGTCTCACTACTGTCGGATACCGACCGATCTTCAACTTGGATGATGCCGGGCGCCACAGCGTGCAAGGTTTTATGGCATCGCGGAGCAATCAACCGCCCTGAGCCCAGCATCTGAATCCTTTGTGCTTACCCCGGTGTCATCATACCACAGATGAAATTCATGCTAACAAGAGTCGAACATACACAGCCGAAATATGGCATACAAGTCATCCCGACCCCTCCTCCTGAGGTGAGACGCGAATCATAATCAAACCCGACGAGGACTCCGGCTGCAAGCCCGCCCTTGCGGTGGCAAGTGCAACGGTATTTCACCATTAAATACCGATCATGCCATACATGATGCTGCGAGGAGTCCGGAGCTTTTAGAGTGTGTTACCGGTGGTTCATCGGTCAAAGAACATATGACGAAAAGCAAAATGTACCGAAACGCGCGGGGAAGGCGTCGGACGTAGGCCAAGACCCCAGAGCCCCGAGCTTGGCGGACCGACCACGAACCGTGGATTTCAGGTGGCAGTCAAGCAGCTACCATTGGATTCTTCCAAGTCAACCTGTCATATATGCCGGGGTAATTTCCCATCTGAGTGATGACATAAGATTTGACTTTCCCCGGATCCCAACCATAGATTGACCGACCCCATCGAAGTGCTTACAGCGTATCAAGATCGGTATTCAACCGGATTCACCGAGCCCCGAAGTTACAGTCTCGGTCTATGTTAGACATCAGTGGCTGATGCGGGGTCCCATGGGCCCAAATTCAGGACCACCACGTGAGCAGCTGAACATTATGCTGGGGTAACCCTTGTCCGAACAAAGTATTGGAGACGAGTCCCTTTTTGCCTGTCAGACAAGCAGACAAAGAAGAAAGGGAGTCCAGCCCAATTGATGACATCACGGAACCATCATGGGGGATTGCTAACGCTGCTCCCTTGGTATATATATTCGTGTCCTCAAGCCAGACTCTCACAGCTCAGTACCGCAGGGACACTGCCATCACGGTCTGCAAATCTGACGCGCACTTTATCTGACAAAGATGGGATTACCAAAGATTAAAATGCCTCGTAAGAGGCCGCAAGATGAACTCAATGGTGATGTGCTGCAGCAAGAGGCGCAAGCTACCGGCCCCAATGACCAGAAATCTGAAGAGGGGATTGTGGATACACCTATCCCTCTGCTCACGTGGCGTTCTTTCTTAATGGGCATTTTCGTGTCAATGGGTGGTTTCCTCTTCGGCTACGACACTGGCCAAATTTCAGGCTTCTTGGAGATGCCGAACTTTCTCCAAAGATACGGACAACAGCAAGCTGACGGAACATACTATTTCTCCAATGCCCGTTCGGGTCTGATTGTCGCGCTGGTAAGATACGCATGGACAGCTTGACACTAGATCAATCTTGCTGATAAGCGCAGCTATCAATCGGTACCTTGATTGGCGCCCTTATTGCAGCTCCCATCGCAGATCGCGTTGGCCGGAAATGGTCCATCAGCGGCTGGAGTGCCATGGTGTGTGTCGGTATCACCATACAAATATCTTCCCCTTTCGGAAAGTGGTACCAGGTGGCCATGGGTCGTTGGGTCGCTGGTCTCGGCGTTGGGGCTCTATCATTGCTTGTTCCCATGTACCAAGCAGAAACTGGACCAAGGCACATTCGTGGATCTCTTGTTAGGTATGCCTACAAACCTGTACTGTTCTTGATTGGAAGCTAACGTCAACAGCACTTATCAGCTTTTCATCACCCTTGGAATCTTCGTCGCCAATTGTATCAACTTCGGAACAGAAGCTCGAAATGATACAGGCTCCTGGCGTATTCCCATGGGCATCACCTACATTTGGGCCATGATCCTGGGCTTCGGAATTGCACTATTCCCCGAAAGTGCCCGGTACGACTATAGACATGGAAGGGAGGCGAAAGCAGCTCGTACCCTATCGAGAATGTACGGGATTCCTGAAAACCACCGTATGCTGAAGCTCGAGATCGGCGAGATCAGGCAGAAGTTCGTGGAAGAACAGGAACGCGGAGAGATAACCTGGTCTCATCTTTTACATGCACCCCGCATGAAGTATCGCGTCGCAGTGGGAGTCGCCCTTCAAGCACTGCAACAATTAACGGGAGCGAATTACTTTTTCTACTACGGGACGACGATCTTTCGAGGCGCCGGGATTTCAAATTCCTACGTAACACAAATGATTCTTGGCGGTGTGAATTTCGGAACGACATTCCTAGGGCTGTACCTGATCGAGAACTACGGTCGTCGCCGATCCCTGATAACAGGAGCATTGTGGATGTTTGTTTGTTTCATGGTTTTCGCCTCGGTGGGCCATTTCTCTCTAGACCATGAAAACCCAGAACGGACACACACAGCTGGTGTGGTCATGGTTGTTTTCGCCTGCCTTTTCATTCTCGGTATGTCAGCCGTTGCACGTCCCCATTCTAATCCAAATACGTAGTCCCACTTGCTAACCGCCACAAAGGTTTCGCATCAACATGGGGTCCCATGGTGTGGACCATTATCGCAGAGCTGTATCCCTCCGAATTCCGTGCCCGCGCCATGTCTCTCGCCACAGCATCCAATTGGCTCTGGAACTTCCTTCTCGCCTTTTTCACCCCCTTCATCACCAGTGCCATTGACTTCCGCCTCGGCTACGTCTTTGCCGGCTGCCTCTTCCTTGCGGCGGGCCTGGTTTACGTGGCAGTCATCGAAGGTCGTGGCCGTACATTGGAAGAGATCGATACCATGTACGTTATGAAGGTGCCGCCCTGGAAGAGCTCCAAGTATGTATTTCCGGACATCGATCCATATGATCGTCGCGGTTCGATTTTATCGAAAGCAGGGGCTTCTCATATTCCCCAGGTGAGCGGTGGAAACGAGACTCTCAGCCCCCACACAACTGAGGTGTAATTCTTGGGTTCTCCACCGGCTAGGAGATATGCTTGGAGCTTCGAAGTTTTGGGAAGCGCGTAGTACACTTCCATAACTGACTCCCAGCAAATTCCATGATCACGCACAGGATATGCTGTCTTTTGGTGTCTACTGTGGCAGCTGCATTCTTGTACTACTTTCCTGAGAGACGTTTTCTGTATATCTTTTAATCTCGTTATGTGTTACGACGCGACGTTTTGTACGTATGATTGATGAGTTACTGCTATGATTGTGATAATCCCTTGAATTTAGATGCAAGCTTAATCAACTTTATGCCCCACAGAATATTTCCAAAAAGGTCTCAAAATCGCACACTGAACGAAACATGACATAGAGAACCGTGGTCTTGACACCTGTTCCCTATGAACCATATAGTCCTAGTACATAGTGAGTTCACCACTGGTGCATTAGTCTAGGCCCTGTGCATATAAAAGGAAGGACTCATCTACTCAGAAACGTATTCAATTATAAAGCACTTTTTATGGTTACTCACCCAATCAGCGGTAGCATATCTAGAACGCCACTTTAAGGATGAGCTGCGACATCGGCATGTAGCACCCCATTCTTGGTTACCATGCGCATAGGAGCAGAACAGACTATGTACGGAGTACACCATAGTCTAGAATCTCAGTGCAAGAACTGGTGTTGCAAAAGGACCAATCGGATCCATACCGAATAGGGCAGCTGAATGGAATGTGTCGTGCCTGCGAGCCAATCTGTGCTTGCTTGGGTTATGTACTAACATAGCCCTACAGAAATAGGCACATGAGCCTCGAGAATAAGAATTGGTGTGCTGTAGGATGCGGGCACGGTTAGACTTCTGCATTTCTTGTATTTGTTAATCATCTCCCGCTGTCGCATTGCTAACCACCCGACTTTTATAAGAGCTAGTATGGCGAACTAAGAAATCATGCTTCCACTGTCATATCCTAGTCTGGCTACCTCTATACAATGATACATGCTTCACACCCATCATCACACAGAAAAGAGTGAAGACCACTGATAGATCTACTCATCCTTCAGACCGAGAAGCTCCAAACTCAGCTTCCAGAACTTCCTCTCTCCGTCCACATCATACGCCCAAGCAGCGTACCCCGGACCCCAGGTGCCACTACTCGGGTCATATGGCTCAGCAATCTGACAATTGTCCAAGTACTTCCCTCCCTGGCCCTCGAGCTCTTTGGCCACAGCCGCCAGCACAGTCGTAGCAGCGCCCTGTTCCGGACTCTTAAAGGTCTTCATCAGTGCTTCATCTTGACCCCATGCGGCCTGCTGCTCCTGCGAAATATGACGCTGGAGATCCGTATTGATGCCACCCGGATGCAAACTGAAAGCATGGAGGCCCTGAGCACCATACCGTCTTTCGATCTCATTAGCAGCCCAGATCCCAGCGGTCTTGCTCTGGCCATATGCCTTCCACGGCTCGTATTCACCCTCGAGACTGATGTTGTCGAGGTGGACGCTTGAAATTCTGTGAGCGGCGGAGGAAAGTATCACAACACGGGAGTTGAATTCGGGTGTTGATGAAGCCAAGAGGGTAGGTTTCAGAAGGATAAAGAGAAGGAAGTGCGCGAGGTGGTTGCTTCCGATTTGAGTCTCGAAGCCATCTGCTGTCCGGCCTTCCGGGCAGGCCATGACGCCGGCGTTTTCAATTAGAATGTTAAGCTTTTTGCTCTTGGAGTTGAAGTCTTCGGCGCAGGCGCGCACGGAGTCAAGCGAGTTCAGGTCTAAGTGGAGGAAATGAACTCGGGGACTGTTGGCCAGGTCACCAAGGTTGGCCTCTGCTTTTTTGACATCGCGGACGGTTAGGTAGAGGGTTGCGCCGGTGAGGTGGAGTGCGCGCGCGGTCTCGACACCTAGTCCCGAGGAGCAGCCCGTGATCAGGATGGTCTTGTCGGAGAGCTTGTCTTCGAGGTTTTGATCTTTGATGATTTGGATGGCGGTAGGACGGGCGTCACCGGGTCCTTGAGGGGATTTGTGGGCCGCGGCGTATTTGGAAGCCATTATTCTGGTGTTAGGGTGGGAGTGGATAATATGAGTGGATAGTTGATGCTGTCAAACTGTTGATGCTAGATAGGTGAGGGAGGACACCGCGCAGTATTAATATGCTTCCTTTCTCGGGGATATGGCAAGGGTTATACCTGATGACATCAATGAACCAGAGACTTTGTCTCTCCGAGTCCGACTAGGCCCCGAATGGGGCATGGAATGTGGACTGATTATAGTCAGCCATACTCAAAATGACATTCATATTGGGACCCCACTTGTTTGCATGGCGATGTTCTGCCCCCTTGTGCAATAGCACTAAAGCTAAAAGTGCTCACTGTATTATAGTGCTGACACCGGGGGATGCAGCAATGTCCGAAGTGGATCGGTTCACCCTCTTGCTGACTGGGTCCTCTCGAACTTTCCGGAGCCTTTGAAGCACCTAGTATGGACGTTCTGTCAAAGTAAAGGGAGTATTGCCAAATCAGCCAATCGTCGAGTGGGTCCAGGGGTCTGCTAATGTGGGTTATCGGGTTATCATGGGAAAATCGGACATAACGGTGTTAAGGCACGGATCAGACCGTGGTTCAATGTCAGCTCGCTAAATTATGCCTCACCAGTTCAACAACCATGGAAGCTGCCAAGTGCAACTTTAATTGCATGTCGCACCTCTGGAAATCTGGAATGATGTAACTTCAGGCAGTGTCAATCCCGGAAGTGTGCCACTAAGGGTTCATATCCACTTTGATAAATATCCTTTTGTGCGGGGTGTACGTAAGAGCTGTTTTTGATGCGGGCAACGCTGGCGGATAATTACCCGAGGCTGGCACGATCTATGACAAAAAAGTCTGAAAAGTTGGTACTTCGAAAATGTGGTTTTTCTGCATATCCACCAACAAAGTTATATACTATCCTGGATTGATCTCAGTAAATAAATATCGTCTAATAATACTTAGCTCAAATGCTAATATTCTCTTTTTTTTTCATAACTAGTTGCTTTCACAAACAAAAACCATGTACTTATAACGCCATCGTGACCCCACTGCTACACATATATCCAGGTCTGGAGGTGCTTCCGCTAAATTTTCCTTGTTTGCAGCAAGGGAGACATAGCTGCAGGAATCGAGAGATATCTGCCGGGGATGCTAGGTAGCGCCCTAGAGAACAGGAGCGACGTTCAAGGCGCGAAGCTCTTTGACTTGAACTTCCGATGCCAAGGGATATTATCAAATGTCTCGCGCGGAAGTCTGATAACAGCCAATCAACGATGGGGAAATGCCGGCTCTCAAGGCTTCCGAATGAGTCACATTTTCCAATCCGCCCTACAATATCCACATATAAGCAAGTGTTTGATAGAACCCATCTTGAGTGATCTGGTCTCAAAGAAGACCTTCACTGCGACTACCGAGCGTCCCATCGAAGTATTTCACATTCTCATCTAACGTAAACCACACCCAATTGGGACTGTATCACTCCAGGAAGCTTGTCAGGTGCAAGGTGCTTTTCCAAATGTCCTCAGAGTATGACGTTCTGGTCACTGGCTCAGCTGGTCATCTGGGTACAGCTTTAATGCTTTGCCTACCTTCGATGGGCTACAACCCTTTCGGCATCGACATTCTCTCCTCTCCGACGACGACAGCCGTGGGCTCTGTCTGCGATCGCACTTTCATTGCATCTATTTTCCGCAACAACCCCATTAAGCATGTCCTCCATACGGCAACATTGCATAAGCCGCACATGTGCAGCCATACTAAGGAGGAGTTCATCTCAACCAACATTGCGGGCACTCTGATCCTTCTTGAAGAATCCTCCAAGTTCAAGGATAGGATCGAGAGCTTCATCTTTTTCAGTACAACCAGCGCCTTTGGTAAGGCCTTAAACCCGAAGCCCGGCTTCCCTGCCGCTTGGATCGATGAGTCTGTCGTACCCGAGCCAAAGAATATCTATGGCGTGACGAAAGTTGCAGCCGAGGATATGTGCGCGCTGGTACAAAAGGAAAGCGGAATGCCTGTCCTAGTTCTTCGAACAAGTCGCTTTTTCCCAGAGGAAGACGATGATGAAGACCGTCGTACGGCGATGAGCGATGAAAATTTGAAGGTCCTGGAATTAGCCTACCGCAGATGCGACATTGAAGATATTGTCAGCGCGTCGGTTTGCTCAATGAGAAAGGCCAAGGATATCCGGTGGGGAAAGTATATTATAAGCGCTCCGCCCCCTTTCAGCAACGACGGAAGCACACTCGATGCTTTAGATCGGAATCCCGCTGGGGTGATTGCCAAAGCTTTTCCGGAAGTCGATGCTATTTTCAAGAAGAAAGGGTGGAAGCATCTTACGAGGATTGATCGAGTCTATGATTCCAGCAAGGCTGTGAAAGAGCTGGGGTGGATTCCGAGATATACATTTGAAAAAACGATGGAGAGGCTGGCGCGCGATGAGCAGTGGAGGAGTGACCTAACTGCTAGGGTGGGCAAGAAAGGTTATCACGCTGTGAGCACTGGGGTGTATACCAAGCGATGAGGAAAGTCAGAATACGAAATGTATGCGGTAATCTTGCTAGTGGCTCGTGATGAGTGGAGGATGTAAATGGTATATGCAGTAAGACTGTTTCATTGAGAGTAGTAGTTCCCAAGGAACGTCGCATAGAGAGCGAGCAAGTTTATTCACCATGCTTCGTAAGTAAAATAGCTGGAAGCTGAGTTACCCTGATCCTGTACAATCATCTTTTTCAAAAGAACAGCTTGAATCATCTCTCAAACACGCGGCATGACACGAGGCTTGCGAGATTAGTGGGGGATTACGGCAAAGGCGAAGATGGGGATTCATGCTTATCAGCGAAATTAGACACAAGGCGGCAACACGTCATGCGACGCCATTGTGTGCAAGATAATACCAACAGAAAACGTGGATAGCTCAGGACCAAACAGAGCTGCGACTATTAATATCTCCATTAGCCACCGGCGAACTCGGCGGACAGGAAGCGTGGCTGAGAGGAAGAACGTACTATTCGGCAAAAGGCTGATCAATGGATGGTACGGAATCCTTCGAAGGGGACAGTGCACAGATTGTCAGGAAGCAGGACAGGAGTAGGATATGTACATTCTCTCAGGAATGGACACAGAGTAAGCTGATTATATTTTAGGCAGTCAGCGCTAAGCTACGACCGGCAGTCAATTCTGCAGAAGTAAGCAGCGGTGCTAGATTAGGCGTCCCGCTTACCGAGACATTGGCTATAAGCTCTTGTTAAACAGACTCCGGACAAGCTTTATGAAAGCTTCTATTGTGATTATGATTGGGGCTGTCAGACTTTTAGACTGGCTAAGCGTGCTCAAACAACGACTTGGCTGACAGCCCAGAAAATACTCATTGGAGCTCTATATAAAGCTGCTTGGCATAATGACACTCCCTGTCCAAGAAAACAAAGCAGCAAATCTCGCAAGTGCATTATATATATATACACTATCACAATTACTGACCTAATCATATAATTTCTACATAATGCAAGCGTAAGAATGCTTCTCACTCGTGTGAACAAGTTCGTATGCTGAATGGCGATCGTGCAGACTCAAATCCCAAGCATCAACCCTGATACCCCTACTCAGCAATGAGGCTGAATTGACATATCATCTCCTAAAATCTAACCTTGGGGCTGGAGTCCTTCTATACCTATCGGCCGCTTGCATTCGGCTACTACCGCCACCAGACCTGTCAGCGTTCACCGTCTTCACCAAAATCTTCTGTATCTCAGTTAGCCACCAATACTGCTGGGACATAGTTAACCAGCTTACCTCTGTTGACGAAGACCGCATCAATAAGCCTGAAAGACCAATCCCAGCCGGCCGTCTGACCGTTACTGGAGCAAAATGGAGGTGGCTTATCAGCTGGACTGTCTCTCCTGCTATCTGCTACACCCTTCTTGGCGGCGGAGCCTTGATCATATTTATCTTGTCTGAGGCATTGATCTACATATGCTACGTATGTCCCAGACTTGATCACTGGACATCTCGCAACACTTTCCCAGCCCTTTGGACATTCCTTTCATTCCGCCTTTTGAACTGCGTTGTCTGCGAAACATACCCACAACTGTCGGCACAGCCAATCGTGGATGTGATTCTCTCGCTATGGGTTCTCGGAACTATTCACATTCAGGAATTCCATGATGTCGATGGCGATCGGAAAATGAGGCGCAAGACACTTCCTGTGATTTTTTCAGATGCATCCTCTATGAAGATGCTGAGGGGCATCACGGCTGGTTTGATTGCTGTTAATGGATTACTTGTGATCCTTTGGGGATGGATAAAGTGCCTTACGTCATTCGACTTGATGAGTGCTGGCCTGGTGCTTACGGGGATGTTCCATGTTCTTGGAGCGCTCGCTGTTGGTGTTCGTTGTGTTTATGGGAAGTCGGCAGATATGGATGAGAGGACGTATAAAGTCTACTATATATTGACTGCGTACTGGCTTGTGTACTTCTTGTCGTTGGTTAATATGTCAATTACGAAGAATGAGGTGGTGAGGAACAAATGATGAAGGAAGGGAAATGATTGATATAGATATGATATTCGCAGTGGTGCCCGCACTGATTTTCCCTTCATGATAAAGATCGAAAATATGGCTTTTTGGTACTATTTCGAAGGCCAATTATATGCGAAGCTTGCGCGGATGTTGAATGGGAGGGGGAGAGCGTGGGAGGGTACGTGAAATGCTACACTATACCTTGGATGAGGAATTTGAGCTGATTTAAAGCATTGATCGGGAAAACGTCCTTGACCGTTAATCATCGATAGACCTCCGATGTCACTCCACTGTATTGCGAAACCCAGCCTCCAAGTCTTGTGTTAAGGCTGAATGTACCTACTGGCCCAGCCCTACCCAATCACAACGTTAGTGGGGAGTGATAAGGAGGAAAAGAAAACCATTCTTTTACTTGAAGTATCACTCCATCTTCCCACCTCAGCTTGTATTGTAAGTTCTTGGTCTGTCCTGATCCCCGTCAGTCGCCTCAAGAATCATTGAAAAGTTGTTGTTTCACGTGGCTTCTACTTCCCCGCATTGCAGCTGTCTAGCGACGGATAGAACAAGCTGGCCTCTCTGAAAGAAACCGCAACTAAACTAACGGGATTACTGCCGGCCATGTAGCCGAGGATATAGAGTTGCGCTACTGCCCCCCGCATGCGGATCCCAACCTTTATCAGTGGCCACTACTACCGAGTGCACTGATATCCCATCCACGCGCTATCCAATCGTCGGTCTTTTCTGCTTATCGAACCCCTCCCCGTCGGGTTCGCGCTGATAACTCCTTCGACGTACTCCTCCCCGTCGCTTCTGTTCTCCCCTCCAAGATGCTTCGGTATCATGGCTGCTTCTGGTCGCGTCTGCGCCCGGTGCGCAGTGATTGTAACTCCTGACCTCTCATTCGAGGACTGATCACTATACTGACTTCGGATAGAAACAACGCTGTGACGGCGCCTCGCCCTGCTCTCGTTGCGCACGTATGCTTTACGCTTCTACTTCTCTGGGTGGTAATATATGCTGACCAACTAGGTCTGGGCCACATCTGTGAGCCTCAACAGCCCGGAAGACCTGCATCTGAGGTCCCTTCGCTAGCTTATCGCAGACCTAGGGCTTCCCGATCGCGCGGTGGATGTACCTCCTGCAAGGCGCGGTAAAGGACACCTATGAGACCCCCAATACTACTGCATTGCACCGTCTGACAGCTAATAGAAAGAAGAAGTGTGATGAGAGCCGACCTCGATGTAGTGACTGTCGTCGCTTAAACTTACCATGCCACTGGAATAATCCAAGGGAGCGATCTCCATCGCCAGCCCTCGCCTCTCCGCAGCCGTCGCCTACGTCTCCCTCTTCCGAACCTGCTCATGGAACTATCCTATTTTCCGTTTCGGATCTAGTCCCAGAGCCCGATCCGATATCCCCTTCCGAGAACATATTATCATCCGTTAGTGATGATCCGCTATCTCCATTCTCGCCTCTTTGGCTCGATGTGGAGATGATCCTCGGACCCATTCAGTCCCCAGATGGCGCTTTCAACCCCTATCTCCACAATGACGACGACCGTAGCCTATTCAATCACTATGTACATATCGTTTCACGAGCTCTATCACGTTCCACGACTACTGAATCCAACAACCCATTTCTAGCGACTCTGCTTCCCATGGCCGCCGCATCGGAGACGCTAACCAGCGTCATACTGGGCCTTAGTGGCTGCCACTGGCGGCGCATCTATCCTCAAATATGGGACCGTGCCCTGGCGCGCCAGGGACGAGGTACGTAATTCAACAAGCGACATAGCTTGACTAAACCCTGCTAACCCCAACAGCCTTGGCACAGGTGAGCAACCTACTCCGTCGGCCGAACCAAAGTCGCCAATCTTTCCTCGAGGCCTGCGCCACAATTCTCCTCCTCTGCCTCACAGAGCTATTCGAGGGCACCTCTCGTGTCTGGAAATGGCATCTCAAAGCCGCAGGAAATCTTCTCAGTACTGCGGCAGGTACCACACATCGCCACCGCCTCGCATCAACCCCTGAAGGGACCTTTTGTCTCCAACTCTTCCACTACCTTGACGCCATGTCCACCATATCGAGATGTAAACCCCCGTTGTTACGTGCAGGTGAGCGACTTACGGACCTTACCTCATCAACTTCCTGCTCTTCTCTCCCAGTACCCCTCGGCGACAATTCTATCTCCGGGATCCCTCCACCCCTACTAGAATATCTCGGCCGGGTCAACCTCCTCGCCGCCCACCGCAGCCGACGTGTCGACGACCTCTCCGAAATCGGGTTCCGAACAGCCGCTGCGCACGTGCGCGCACAACTTGATACCTGGCGCCTTGAGTACGAGGCAACCAGCACTGCTCTGACGAACAGTGATGTGGACAGAGCAACAACAGCTTTCGAATGGGCCGTCCGATTACGACTACATCAGATCGTGGACGGATATGATCCGCACCATGCGGACGTCGAGAATGCCCTCTCTCGTATTGTGACGGCCGTGTTGGCGATCCCTTATGGTAGTCCCGTGGAAGGTACTCTGTTGTTTCCGTTGGTGATTGCTGGCGCCAGCTGTAGGGATAATATGGAGCGCAGGATGGTTGTTAAGGAACGGTTGATGGTGATGGAGAATACGTTGGGGTTTGGGCATATTTCGCATGCGAGACGGTTGCTAGAGACGGTTTGGGCTGATGAAGGAGGGGATGGGAATTGGGCGAGAATTAGGTATAGTATGTTTCCGGGGGTGGTGTTTGTTTAGTAGCTGTCTAGTAGGTAGGGCTTCTGTGACGTACCGTTTGCGTGTATATAGCTGTTGAAATTCGCATTACTAAATATTGGTGTGATTCCACTCTGTGGCTGATCGGATCTAGTTGCTTTGTTCGCATCTTTAGAATTTACTTCTACAGGAAAAATCTGTGTTGCCGTGATGTAGTCTTCTAAGGCTTGACGACTAGTAGTTATGGAAACAATGGCAAAGGTCCGATTTCTGCCATAACTATCCATTAACAGACACGAAAGTAACGGTTCATCATCAGCATGAACATCAAGCATTAAGCCTCTCAGCCCAATCCCATGAAAATCACATCATTCATAATTAAATCATCCAACCCAAGCCAACTCCATTATTGAACCAACCTAATACAAGAGCGGCACATTATCCTGCTCTCTGCGGCCAGTCATCGACTCCGTCCGCTTATGGCTTGTAAACCACTTTTCGATCACAAATGGCCATGTGAACTCATCAGTTAATGCTGCTGTCTCCACTCAAAGTAGATTACACCAATCGATGGGGTTTAAGTTCAAATTGCATGTTGAAATTATCTATGTTTTACTAAGTCATTGCTAAAGGATACAAGGTGTTGAGTAGTAGAATTATCATCAAGTAGTGGCATGGCGTACATTCTGACGGGGTCGATCTCAATAATTCTTCGGGTGTACCTGTGTGCGTACACAGGTTTATATGGGTCTACAGGTACCTGTGGGGATTGACGGTCATTTAGATCCTATACCTTGGCAGCACTGAGAACAGCATTATGTTGCTAATAATTTCCTTACAAGAAATCACTTATATACAAAAAATCTCCCAAACACCATATCTACTATCTACTGGGCTTTCAATTCTTCCAGATGTTTTCGCATATTGTACCCACATACCTCTTCGATGGTCAACTTCCCCGGCCGATCCGTGGACGAGCTCCATCCAATGCGCTCGCTGAGGTCCTCGCGTGCACGAAAACTGGCCTCTTGTATCTTCGTGGCTCGTGGCTTCCGTAGCCGCTCGTATAGCTGTAGGCCCTCTGCGACACTGTACTCTTCCCGGAACGTGCGGTGGAAGATCAATCCCAGCGCGCCGGCGTCCTCGAAGGCCATACACGAACCCTGCGACTGATCGGGCATCATCGGATGGGCGGCATCACCTAGCAGGCATACTTTGCCTTTGGCCCAGTAGGGGTATGGTTGGTGACGGTACACTGTCGGTTATTAGCAGAGAGACTCAAACACAGGAGAGGGGTCCCTACAGCGCCACATCTTAATGTCCTCAGCGTTCATCATCAACAATTTCATGCGTTCATCCAGTCCCGGAAAGGTATCGACCAGCTGCTCCGGAGTCGCCGAGATATTCCAGCCATCGTCACGCAAATTGTTGTACTCCGCCGGATAGAAGCAGTAGCAGCTCACGACATCCCCGTTACTGCAGGGTGACATGACAATTTTGTTGATCCCAAATCCACCCCAGTATTCTATTGCCTCATTGTCGATGTAGTCGTCTAGCCCGAGGCTGCGGAGCTTCTCGGCGCTAATGATGCAGCGGTAGCAGCATGAAGTTGACATGGTGAACTCGGGAGTGATTCCCATATCAAGGCGGCTTTGAGACTGCATTATGTTGTTAGTTCATCTCTTCTCATATCTCATGGCAATCGATAAAGACGATAGGAATACTAACGCGAATGCCATCCGCGGCGATGATGAGGTCTGCTGACGCCGTCTCACCATTGTCGAACACTATGCGACCGGCCTCTGCATCTAGCGACACGGCCTTGTGATTCACTTTCAATGTGCAGGGAGTGCCTTCGCCCGGCTCTTCAAAAGCAGACTTAAGTAATTGTTGGTGGATGTCAATGCGATGGAAGTTGTTGTATTCCTGAGGAAAGTCGTCCACGTCAATGACAGATTCTGAAGTGACAATTGAATCCCAGACTGACCGTCCCAAATTTGGCCTTATAGTCCCCAAGACCATATTCGCTCTGTATTGCCCCAGACTCCCATTCATGCATAATGAGCTTCTTCAAAACCACCGGTTTGGCAGCCTTAACGTCGACACCCCATTGCTCCAGAAACCGGGATCCATTGGAAGCTGCGCTCAAGGAAGCACCCACTTCGCCAGCAAAATCATATCGCTCGTAGACGGTGATTCGATGACCTTGGCGACGTAAAGCCACGGCTGCACTCAGGCCGCCTAGACCGGCGCCGATGACGGCAATATCGAGGGGAGCGTCGGTGCGCGAGGGCATTCTGTACGGCTTGACGAGTTGACAATCAATGCAGTTAGGCTTTCTCTGCGTCTCGTCATAATGTTCGAAGTTATGTTTATATACTCATCCGGCCCTTTCTTCTGGTCTATGCTGTTCGGACACACTTCCGATCCACTTATCGTGCATCCGACGGGGCTCGTATCTATGCGACGGGTGCAGCAGTAGCGCAGCTTATCGCACCGATCGCCCCAGCCAGTGATAGCGGATATTGTAATCCTCACTATGTACAGGAACAACCTCTTTAAGACAGCCCATCATGCCATTCCGACGCTTCTCGACGGTCTTCTGCTGGAACATGCCACCCCTGCTGCACATACACCATGACTGATACCAAAGAGGAAAAGCTGGCCGCTATCGACTATGGCCTTGGCGATCTGCACGACGATTCGGCGCTGTTGCGTCGGATCGATTGGCGCATATTGCCTATTATGTTTTTGACGTACTTTTTGCAGTTTCTTGATAAGGTGGCTTTGAATGTATGTCCTGATACTCACCTAATGATTTGCATGAATGAGGCTGATGCTGATGGCGACAGTACGCAAATGTGATGGGCATGCAAGACGATCTCGGTATGAAGGGTAATGACTTCTCCTGGCTGGCTACAGGATTCTTCATCGCTTATGCTGTGGCTGAGATCCCTCAGGGTATGCTTTCATTCATTCCTCCGCCAGGCTCATATCACTGATCATAGGTAGGGTTCTTACTCCAACGATATCCCATCACTAAGGTCCTCGGAATCAACATCCTCTGCTGGGGAGTACTCCTCTGCTGCTCTGCCGCAGCCCAGAATTTTGCAGGAATGATGTCGCTACGAGTGCTTCTTGGCACATTAGAAGCTGTGATTGGTGCGATCAATCTACCTATCTACAACATCCCATCGCTAATATTTCACAATACAGCCCCCGCTTTAACAATGTACACAAGCATGTGGTACACGCGCGCCGAATCCACCCCTCGCTATGGCCTCTGGTACTGCGGACTCGGCACCGGGCAGATCATCGGCGGATTGATATCCTTCGCAGCACAGCATGCCCCAGCAACGTTATCATTTCACGGATGGCGGATCATGTTCGTAGTAGTCGGGGCAGTAAATGTGCTCGTGGCACTGCTCGTACTTTTTATTCTGCCCGCCACGCCATCTGAAGCACGCTTCCTGAGCATATCCGAGAAGAGTCGCGTGGAGGAGCGCCTCCGACAAGACCAAGCCGGCGTGGGCGAGAAAATCTTCCGTGCGATATCGCTCCTCGAAGCATTTGCAGATTTGCAGACTGCGCTTTTGGTGCTTCTGACTATTTTAATCACCATTCCCAGTGGGGTTATCACGACGTTCTCATCTATTCTGATTAAGGACTTTGGATATGACTCAAAGGAGAGTGCGTTGCTTAATATGCCCTCTGGGGTGGTTAGTATTGTTTCTACAATGGCGTCCACAATGGCCATTGCGCGAGGATACTCGCGTTGGCTGGCGATTAATGTTCTCCTGGTCCCTACGTTGCTTGGGGCATGTTTGATGTCTTTTTTGCCGTCGTCCAATCAAGGTGGTTGTTTGGCGGGAATATACCTCGTGAACACGGTAGGTTGTTCCATTTTTGTAAAAGCGATGGGTGTTTGCTGACTGGAATAGACTGTTGCCCCGCTAGCTTTGATATTCGCGTGGACCGGTGCAAATTACAAGGGATACACCATGAAGGTAGGACGATCATATTTACATTAACCTTGCGGCAGCAGCTAATACGAACTTGTTTCGTAGGTAGCAGGAAGTACACTCGTCTCGGCCGGATTCAGCATCGCCAACATCATCGGGCCGCAAACCTTTCAATCTCGCGATGCTCCAGGGTATGTACTTCACCTGAACTGCCTTTATCATTTTTCTTACTCATCTTAACAGTTACATCCCCGCTAAGATCACGATCGTCGCCGTCAATGCCGGCGCAATCATCATCTCCACCACGCTGCGGGTGGTCTACGGCCGTCGGAACGCGCGCGCTAACCGATTAGGCCAAGCAGCGGGGAGTCGCATGGAGGAACGGCTGCGAAGTGAGGAAGATGATGAGGGGGTAGTTGACTTTCGATATGTGTACTAGTTTGAAACTGCCGAGACTAATCTATGCGACGGCTCCACTGGAGTGGAAATTACGACATGCTTTACTGTGTATATAAACCATCGTAATCCTTATTCACAACACTCAAAGCTATCTAAGATCCTCCACACTGATAGTTACGCTGCTAGTACCACCAACAACATGCTAACCCTTATAACCGGCGCCAACGGCTTCATAGCAACGCACTGCATCGCCACGCTCCTCCGCGCCGGCCACTCCATCCGAGGCACCGTGCGCAGCGCCGAAAAAGCCACGGCGACGCTTTCCGCCCTCCACGCCGCAGGCATACCCCACCTCGACACCTCCCTGGAACTGGTGGTCGTTCCCGACCCCACAGACCTAGCGCAGTTTCTCCCCGCAGCGGCAGGCTGCGACGCTATCCTGCACCTGGCGTCGGCATTTACCTATGATGCGAAGCCGGGGCAGTTCGAGGAGCGGTTGCTTCGCCCGGCGATACAGGGAACGAGGGTTGCGTGTGAAGCTGCAGATCAGTGTGAGAGTGTGAGGAAGTTGGTGATTATGTCGTCTTTTGCGGCGGTTTATGATGCAGCGCTAGGGTTGCAGCCTGGGAAGGTGTATACGGAGGAGGATTGGAGTCCGTTGGGGTTTGAGGAGGGGAGTAATACTGATAATGTGGTGAGTATCTATTTGTCTTGTTTCGACGGTGATGTGTTGGTGTTGGTTGCTGACAAGGGGGTGGTGAATGTAGGCTGTGGCGTACCGCGCGTCCAAGGTTCTAGCGGAACGTACCGCCTGGGCATACGTCAAGGGAAACAATGTGGATTTTCAGCTAGTCACACTATGCCCTGGAATGGTATTTGGGAAGATGATCCATCCGATTACATCGTTGGAACATTTGAACGCTAGTAATAGGATTGTGTGGGAGGTAGCGAAGGGCGGGAGTGACATCCCACCGACAAAGGCACCGGGTAAGTAGCTACCTAAGCGACGGAGTACACAACGCAGCTAACAGAAGAATTACTAGTCTGGGTGGATGTGCAAGATTTAGCAGAGACATGTCTGCGCGTGTTGATGGTTGATTTACCCTCCCATCAGCGGTTTCTGGTCACGGAGGGCCCGTACGATACGCAGGAGATTGCGGATGTGGTAAGAGGGGATATTCCTGCTGCTTCGGGGCGGGTTGCGGTGGGTAGACCTGGAATGAGGATAAGGGATACGCATTATTCGTGCGATTCGGGCAAGGTAAAGAGGGTGCTGGGGGTGCAGTTCCGGGGGTTGAGGGAATCAATTGTTCCTTTAGTAGAGCAGTTGTATGCTATGGAGGAGGGTGAGAGAAGAGATGCTCCGTCTGCCGCGGCACTCTAGATAATTCTAGTATGCTTTTGTGGTGCTCCTGCCTGCTATATAATCGCTTTCCAGTTGTCTCATCATTTAGAGTATCTTCTCCTGATCAATACAAAATCAATCCCGAGTTCTGTAGTAAATATTGAAACTAACATCATATGAAGACGGTTAAGGGATGCCAATATAGATCACTTGTGACGTAGGCTATCGAGAAATTGTTGCTTCTGTTGCGTTTATGCTTGGAAAGATAATAAAAAAGTTTGGAGACTACTTCTTGCGTGTCTATAGAGAATCAGAGTGGAGGGCTGATGTGTTGTAGTACAAATAGATAACATTGAGAGACTATCTATCTATTATTCGTGCAACGCCACCTTAATATGTCCTGCAATCAAATCTATAAACTGTCGTGCCTGCCAGAGATCTACCTTCTATCAGCACAAACACCAAACAAATTGAAGGGGAAAAAATATACCTTTATCCATATGCATGAACGGATGAGGGACACCCTCAAACCGTCTCACTGTGACCTCACACCCTCCCTCGACCAACTTCCGCGCATACGCCTCGCCCTCATCACGCAGCGGATCACACCCCGCCGTGTAGATAACGGTCCGCGGCAGCCGCGTGAAGTCTGGCGCCTTCAGCGCATTGGCATACCACTTCACCTCAGCCATCTGCTTCTGGCGCACATTCTCGTCCTCGCTGAGACTGCGCCACTTGAGCTGATCGAACCATTTTAAGCGCGCCCAGTTCAGGGTTGGGGCGTGCTCCATCTCCTGCATGGACGGGAACGGCGAGTCGTGGGCTGTAGTGTACACCGAGATGTCGTCGATTACGGGAGTACCTACCGCTACAAGACGGAGAGGAAGTTGATGGTCCCGTGCCAGGTGCGCAAGGATAAGTGCGATGTTGCCTCCCGCGGAAACGCCGCCCAGGGAAATGCGTGTGGTGTCGAGGCTTGGAAACTGCGCGCGGCCGGCAGGAGAGGCTAAGTGTTGGAGTGCAGCGAATGAATCCTGGATGCCGATGGGGAAGGCGTGTTCGGGAACAAGTCGGTAGGCGACGTCGACAACAGCTACTTTGGCCTTGACGGCGATGTGCTTGCAGATGTGAGATTCAGTATCCAAGTCCCCGAGGCCCCAGCCTAGCATCTAGATTAGCTTCAGGCCAATTAACAATGGGTAGGTGGGCGACGTACCGCCACCATGAAAGTCAACGTGGACGGGCCATGGTCCCGGGCTGTCGGGCTCATATACTCGGCAGGGAATTAAATCCCCGTTGTGGCCTGGGATAGTGGCGTCGTACACGCGAGCGGGCTCCGGCGCGGGACCGGTACCATAGGAGTAGAGAACGGAATATTTGGAGCGAAGGACGGTGAGATCGATTGGCCCGCTTGGGGTGTTGGCTACATGTTTGTTATAGAGTTCGATGAAGGTAGGGTCGAGATGCGGCAGCACAGACGGATGAATAGGGTTGAGAGCTTCGTGCGACATGGTGATAATTGTGTTCTCGTACGCTTGTCGGTCTTTCGCTGGATTGGTTCGGCGAGGCTTATCTTATATAAACAGATACGAGGCGCCGTCGCATCCTCGCCTCGGCAATTGATTCGCATCTCCAGCCATCCCCGCATTTGCAGCTTATCTATGCGACGGTCCGACGACGCTAGGATAAGCCACTGATAGCCGATGGATTGACGGATAACCACTTGACCACAAGCATATATCACGAGCGAGATAATCCTGATATTACAGATTATTTCAAGCGAGGATTGCCGGGTAAGCCCATCAACTATCCCATAATCACCATGGAACCCGTTCTCATTGTAGGAGCCGGCATTGTCGGATTGACTCTTGGTCAGGCTCTTCAGAAGGTAATTAATGCGCTTTTCGCGATGTAATCAGCAGACCGAATGCTAAATAGACACGTCTAGGCCAACATCCCCTTCCGCATTTACGAGCGTGATGCGTCGCCAGATGCTCGCGGCCAAGGATGGGCCATCACTTTGCATTGGGCCCTAGAGTACATTCAGAAGATGTTGCCCGAGGACACATTACAGGCTATTCAAGCGGTGCAGGTTGACCCACAAGTGGCCAAGAATGACAATGGGAATTTCCTTTTCATTGACCTCGCGACTGGCGAGCCCAAATGGAAAATTCCCCCGAGTACCCGCTGGCGGGTCAACCGGGAGAAGATGCGCCAAGCTTTGCTTCAGGGAATCGAACAACATGTTAGGTGGAATGCTCAGGTAGTCGATGTGAAGGTGACCAGTGCCTCAACTGCCCCATGTTTGGTTCTGGCAGATGGCACCCGCGTGTCAGGGAAATTCGTTATCGGCGTCGAAGGAAGTCGATCTCTGGTGAGACGAGTCCTGCGACCAGATGCATACAGCAACTCTGTCCTTCCCATCCGCTTTACTGGTGTAGCCGTGGACCTGTCCCCGCAAGAGATAAAACCCCTGCGGTCAATGGATCCCCTGCTATTTCAGGGCTGTCACCCTAGCACGGGCGTGTTCTTCTGGTTTTCAATGCTTGAGACTCCCGAGAGGAATGGTACTCAGGGAACTCCAGACGAGCATTACCGGGCCCAGATATGCATGTCATGGCCAGTAAAAAGCGAGGCAGACGAGGTGGCCGGCACCGACGCGGAACGGTTGGACAACATGAAGCGACGCTCAGTCGGATTCGTGCCTTTTTTGTGGTCGGTTGTAGAAGGTATCCCCAAAGGAACACCGGTCGTGGAAATTAAACTGGCAGATTGGGAATGTTTGGATTGGGACAACCGTGACGGTCGAGTCACTCTGGCAGGGGATGCAGCCCACGCCATGACGATGTGTGAGTTCTGTCGTGACCTTCTTAGGATATCAATCTGACTCGAGCAGATCGTGGAGAAGCCGCGAACCATGGATTGTTAGACGCATATAACCTCTTCCAGGCCTTGAGACAAGTGTACTCTGGTGAGTTAGGGGCCAAAGAAGCGTTGGATGAGTATGAGATGGAAATGCGATCGCGCACTAGACGCGCTGTCCGGCTCAGTCGACAGGCCTGCCGCGATGCCCACGCTTGGGAACAGCTGAATGAACACTCGGCCATCTTAACCAAACGGGCTGTCACGGGCGAAGCCGAGCGCTTAGAGTAAACTGGATGAGATTGATGATTGTATTATTTCCATCATAAAGTTGATTAGCTCAAATGTGATGAAAGGCCTTGATCAATGCCTATAAATGTACCGCCCTACAGCGACACCTTTTTGCTAGACCATCTTCGACCCAGAGATACCTACTTCCAATGGAGTCAATTGGCGTCATAACATCAACTACCACCTGGGGTATTAACCCCTTCCCTGGTCCAGTGCAGGGTTTTATGAGGTAGCTAGGTTGGAGCAGACCGTCTGCAATATTTCAGCTCGGCCTCATACATAGCAGCTCTGTGCTATATATTCCACGTTCTGTTGGCCGTTGACTAGTCCTTAACAAGGTGTTTTGCTTTCACGTCTATTAGCAGCAGCTTTATGTGTAGGTTGTCCTTTGGGGGCACTGGCGATCAGGATGACCGTGATAGCCGTGAATGGAGCATGCAACAGTCCACCCACAAACGGACAAGAAGAGCATTGATCCAATCCTTCCACGCTGATAGAAAGAATATTATGTTATCCTTTCTTTTATTTCGCATTGATATCAGCCCAATGCCAGCACTCCGACGGGCCATAACTGCATATTTTATACCCAACTATATTACCCAGAGCTGGAGTTATGGCGCTTACCAAAGGGCTGGTTACGTTCAGGTATAGAATTGAAGTCTTCTATAGCTAAAACAATAATGGGTTTGTATGTTTCGTTATTATATTGGAGGCGTTCAGAATCAGCAATCGGTACATTCCCATCAACATCAACATCTAATTACTATAACTACGTTGGCAACCAAATAGGTTTGCTGACATTCTAATCAATCACATCAGTAGCTGGACATACACAACTGACGATGTTGAACCAAGCTGTTCAGTACTTATGCTACTGGAAATCTTGAAGCGCCTCAACGAGAACCTGTTTGCTAGGCTAACATCCCCCAGTAGCACTTGACCCAACACACACATCTCCAGTGCAATTGAACCCAACGGTCCCATCCACATTCCCACACAGATACTCTTCTGCATGGGTCGTATTCCCCGCTATTCGCAAACTTACATTCTCGATAGTGATATCTTCACACGGGGCAACAGCACTACACTGAAAGCTCGCAACATCTGAGGAGTCTGTCGTTCCAGAGATATCGGTGAAGACAAGATCGCGAATCTGAAATTTGGAATTGGTGCAGTTCCCTGAAGCACCAGAGAACGTCGTACACTGAGAGATTGTAAATGGAGCACCTTTGAGGTTGTTGGTCTTCAAGTTGGTTGCGACGATGTCGGATGCATCTGCCATGGTAGGATGGTTAAAATCAACAAAGGACTTGGATAAATTTACGCGGACGTACATCCCAAACCCCCGCCGCCTCCATTAGGCGGGTATCCGACCTGGTCACCCGTCCAGGTCTTGAAGTACACGGCATGAGTTGTCTTCTCATATGTGATGTTTGAGATTTTAAGGCGTTCAACAGTCTCAAAAGCACCATTATATTGGCCAATACTCCCGATGGCAATGCCTAGGCCGCTAGTGAAGGTGCAGTTTGCGATCGTGATATCTGTAGAATTGGCTTTCGTGCTGATACTATCATCACCGTTGACGACTTCCCAGTTCGTTAATGTGATGTTTTTGCTGTAGATAGTATTTGCACCGTCGGTGTTCTCTATTTAAATAGGGTCAGAGGCGTGACTTGCATCCCGATTCAACATGCGGAACGGTACTAACGTGCTGAACCGCCGTCATCATACAGATTGTTCACGTAGATGGAATCGAACCACGAGTTCGAGGTGTGAATGATAGACATTGTCCTGTATTGTTAGCTACATGCATTCATTTAGCAAGATGGCGCAATATGAATAACGATACCTACCACATCTGGCTCTGCACGAATCGCAACCCCTTGAAGACTGCGCCCATTGCTCCCGAGACCGTCAGCTGGTTCGGTCGCCGTGGGTAATTCGACGTCGATCCAACATATCTATACCAGGTTTGGCCACTTCCATTGAATGTTCCGTATCCATGTCCTTCAAAGACAATGTCTTTGCCACCCAAGATCCAGGCAGTGGATTGATTCTGGTAGCCGACGGGGAGGGAGTGGTTAAGCCAGTAGGAGATGTTGGTGCTCCACTGTCATTGTCAGAAACAAACAAGAAACTAATATTACATACATAGGTAATTTATTTACCAAGAGTGTACCCTGTAGATCAATCTCCACATCATCGAGCCATGTCGTGTTCATAACGGAGTTGATATGGTAAGTGTTATTTGAGAATATCACCCGACCACCGGAACCACAGGTAGTCAACGCGTCGACAATTGCAGGCACATCATCAATTTCTGAGGATCCGCCTGGTTTGACTTCGCATATGGTTCTTGCATGACCATTCCTCGCTTGGTCGGATAGCGAGATGGAAGGGACAATGAGAGAGGTAAAGAGGAGGATTTTCAACGCTATAGGTGCCATGGCTTGATTACTCGGTGAGAATGCTGTCTTCAGGATAAACCACAAATGTAACTGAATCACAAGCACGTAAATATACTGGGCTGCAGGGCTGGACCATGACATGCAACCCCTCAGTTCCCGGGGTAGGTTTACCCCGACGTGCACGAAGCCCAGCTGTGATAGGTGCAAATCATCGCGAGCATTTCTCCACGATCTGCAGTTCCCAGGGGTACGAGCCTATCATCGTATTCGCATATATATTATGTTTGCATCCTGCAGAGAATGTAAGTGTCCGCTTTAGCTAATATTTGCCCCCGCCAGGCTCTTCAAATATGCGACCACGCGTACTACTATAGTGTAGTTCCACCTCGAGTCGAGACCCTAAGTCGAAAGCCACTCTCGGCTCGGCATATCACCCATCATGGGATCTGTACACTATACATATATTGTATGCCTGGATCATTCCATACGGACCATTGTAGTGATGATGATGATGCAATCTTCACCTATCAATCGCCATCGCCCACCATCCAGCCAGCGGCTAAATCATTAAGACCTCTCCACTTTCTGCCCCAAACGAGCCAATCTCGTTGCTTTCTCCAACGCTAACGTGCGTTTCCACGAGACTGGCAAATAGAGATAATGGCATATAAAATTGACCCTCAGCCCCGCCTTTTATCTTTGTCCTCTATATTCTCTCACTTTTTTCTCGGCTTCTCTAAGTGGACATATGCGCCGCAGGGAACGCCGAAGCAGCAGCGATGTCAACCATGTCGAACGAGAAACTCCCGACATACTTTATCGGCCACGGTGGGAGCCTCATGTCTTGAATTTGTACAGCAAGTTTACTAAACATTAGCAGGAGGAGTGAGCATCCTCTTCAAACCCGGCTACGGGCCCGTCCAACAAGACCTCCGCGAGATCGGCAAGGAAATCAAGGCCCTGAAACCGGAAGCAATTGTCATCACCTGCGGCCATTTTCAAGGCGAAGGTGATGCTATTGAAGGTAAACGATTTAACATGTAGGACCCACTCCTGGAACTCTCTAAAACATTATGCCACAGTGAACCTAAAGGAACCCACCAAAGTGTGGCATGACTTGGGCCCTTCCTGGCACACGACATTCCCCCACGTCTTCGAGTATCAGTACGCACACAAATCGTCTAGAGCCTTAGGAGAGAAGGTATTGCAGCATCTTCTTGATCAGGGGATTAAAGCGAGGGGAGTGGAGCGTGATCTTGATCATGGAATGTCAGTTCTTCCCCTGCGCTTTTGAGAAGCCGAGACAATCTCGATCTACCTAGACAAGTGGCCTAATCGAAACCAGATGGGTGCCTTTCAAACTCATGTTTCCAGAAGGAGAAGACGAACTGGATATTCCCATCCTGCAGATTTCCACCTACGCAGGAAATGATCTGAATGCACACGTTCGGCTGGGTGAAGCACTTTCGTCACTGTATGTTTTCACATTCAACTCATGCATTCAGCTTTGAAATTTCCGTATGCTGAAAGAAAAGCTAATCGATCGTCAGACCCGGGCGCATTCTCCTCATTGGATCAGGCATGATCGTCCACAACCTCCGAGCTACGCGTGAAGGAACAACAGACACAACAGTAGCTAGATCAATAGAAGATGCGGCTCTGAAGGCCTTGTCTGCCCCGACCCCCAGCGAAAGAGACGCACAGTTTCTAGCCTTCCAAGAACGTGAGGATTGGATTGACGCTCATCCGACCGAGGAACATGTCCTGCCATTATACATGACACTGGGTGTCGGGCGCAATTGGTCGGAATATAAGGTCTGGAATCAGGATCGGTATATTGTAGGACAGTCGTATCTATCGTTTCGTCTTGGAAAGCTGCCTTTGACAGGTGATCGCTTGAATGGGCATCTTTAATGGTTAATGCTCTAAATAATGCCCTCGGACGGCAGGTGATCTTGAATAATGACTGCAGCAAGATAATAGAGTCCCCTTATTCGTAGGGCCCTAGATATTTGTAGTTCTACGGCAAATTTGTTGGAAGAATATAGCAATGCAAAGTCTTTAACGGTTGGGTACAAAAAACAATTGATAGGCTAGGTATAACCATGCTTTTCCCTGAGGCCTCAATACTGACTTAATCTTCTAGGCCTAAGGTGACTTATCCTATGTGGGTTTGGCCGCTTTGATGCAGTCGCTCAGGGTGTTGCTCACTTGGTACCCTTCTCACCGGTAAAGGCCCAGTGAGCGTTCGAACTGAGCCAGAGCGTTTGAAATAGGGTGGACACAGACAGACCACGCTCATATCACAGCTTTAACCATAGCAATAATGCCTTCAATCTTTTGTTAGGACCAAGGGTAGCCTCAACTCGTTCCAACGTACCCATCATTGCATCGAACAGCTGCAATGCAGTTTCTCGAGCATGTGCAAGACTACCTACCTTTCTCATCTCAGCGACAATATAGCTCTTCATATCTAGCGACAGCTCATGGCCATTCTCTCGATGGAACAACAGCCCCCGGAGCATATCCGCCTCGGGACTCTTTTGCAAAGCATAGATAAGAGGGAAGGACAATTTGCCCTCAGAGAGATCCTCGCAGTAACCTTTTGTTCCGGTATACTATGCCATGTCAGAACTGTCTTTCACTCAATGTATCCTACTAGGTACATACCTCATCTGACGTCAGATTCAAGTAGTCATCTCGGATTTGGTAGTATCTTCCCATCAGCGTTATGAGTTGCATAAGATCAGGGCACGGCTCCGCCTTCGACTCAATCTCCAGAAGGCGTAATGTCATCCTGAAGAGCCCCCCAGTTTTGTTATCGACCATAGTAAGATATTCGCCCGTTGTCGGACACGTCTTCTGAAATTTCCAGTGAAGATCAAGAGCTTGCCCAAGGGCAAGCGTCTCTAGTTCTTCTGCAAACGTTTAGAAAGGGTTTGAAGTAGGCTTTGTTGGTTACTGACCGAGAAAGGCTGCTTTGCATGCGTCCTGTTGTAGCTGGTCTAGGTCACGAGTCGCTTTCGCGTATAAATAGGTTGCGCTATTGACAGTCTGAGCTTTACCAAACACTACATGTGCGGCTGGCTTCCCACGACGGAGCATTGAGTCATCCTCAATGTCGTCGATCCTGGCTGGCATGAGCTTATACAATGGCCGATCAGCGAGGGTAATACTGACATGAGGGTCGAGTGGAAAATCATATTTGTGATGTGCTCTATGACAGAGGCCGAATCATCCGGCAAGTGGAGCCAAGACCGCAGGCATTCGATGAATTTTGAAATCGTCTGCTTCCCGGGCGTTGATCTAGTGTATTCGTACGGAGCCATACATAGCTTCTGCTGTCAGTAGTGTGTCAGAACTAGATCCAAAGAAGTTCTTACCTGCTCCGCCGATGCCTTCTTAAATGGCGCTAAAATGTCCCCCTGACCTCCGGCTGAAGAATTCGTACCGTCTTTTCTGAGAGTCTCTGAAGATTGCTTAAATGAAGCTGGTGGAGGATAGCCATGGAGTCTGTAGTTTCTCTTGTTGCGACATACAAGCTGCGCTCGGTCTTCTGCAGTCGTCTTCAGCTTGAGTCCATGGTATCTCGGTGACATAGCCTGGGCATAACATGTCCCTCCAACACTGGTGACCCAGAGGGCCATGTATGCACGCAGGTCAGCTGACTTAAAGGCCGGAGAAGCTTTCCAATCATCGTAATTTGTAAGAAATTGTCGCTCGAGCGACAGAATTTCTCTTCTCAGAATGCTGTTTGCTTCTTCCTCCGTGTAGTCATAGTTGGCCATCAGGACAGCCATTGCATTGGGTATGACATCAAGACTTCCACTTGTGGCATGCTCCTCGAAGTCTTTATAAAAACTTTGATAATCGTTGGCTAGCCCGGTAATCAAGCTACCAAGCTTGATGAGTGATGCCACCGAGGCCTGTTCATTCTCACTGATATGTAGGTCGTGACAGATAGGAATGACCAGTTTAGCGAACCTTTACCCTATGTCAACGCTATGCTACAACCCCACGCAACCCTAGACACTTACATTCCAGCATTACTTTTACTTATCTGTTCTTTGTATGCATCAAATGTTATTTGGTTCAGAGAGGGCATCGGCTGAGATCGCAGTATCGCCAGGAATTCTTTCAGAACAGTATTCTGCTCATCATCTCGGCACCCAAGCTGCGGAAGTATTCCTGTAAGTGCGCTATAGTAAATATTATTGATTTTATAATCGCATGCAATTGAGGTGCCCGTCTTGACCCTAGACATGATTGCCAAGGCAAGGTCATCCACAATTGCTTGGTGCTGGCGCAGGTCAATAATAAAAGCAGTGGCATAAACCCGGATTGAGGCAGGATAGGTGGGGAAGACACATAACACACCTCATCAGTCCTAAGTGTGGCCATTTCTTCTGTACTCTCTCCATTAAGCTATTGCACTCACTGTTCAAATACAGGAACGGAAGAAGCGTGACATACCGTTCCACAACGTGGCAATGGTAACAAATTGAAGCATAAAACCCCTCTTGCTTGGTGGACATTCCGGGTATACATGTGGAAAACTAGAGAAGTCTTTTTCGTCCAAAAGGGATACAGAGAGCTCCTTACCAACAGCTCGGCTCCAGTCATCCTTTGCCCTGTCGATGACGCTGCTGTCAAGAGGGGGAGAAATTAGGCGACAAGGAATAATATGAAAATAGCCATCCGGTAGCTCGCTAGCCTCAACAGGCCGCGAGTGGCGGAAGGGATAATCGTCAACCGACATTGCGAGTCGTGGCTGGGATTCTTGTGGATTCTCAGAATAGAAGAGAAAAGTTGCGAAGGTGAACAAGAATGGTAGGGCTTAAATGCCGTTGCCTGTATTTAATTAAGCTAATGTGCAGGTAAACAAGCGATGACGTGTCTGAGCGTCTCGCCTTCCCCACCGATGCTGTTCGGCCACCTTATTTATAGATGGCCTATCTTTTTATTTATTCCTTAGTTATTATTATTTTATTTCTACCAAATTCCTTTTTCTTTTCTTTTTTCTTTTTTATCTTTTTCTTTTTCTTTTCTTTTCTTTTCTTTTTTTTTTTTTTTTTTTTTTTTTTTTTTTTTTTTTGGTTCTTTCTCTTTTCGTAGAGCACAAAACCAAACCCATCTAGACCAGCATACCTGCAGACTCGACAAACCCGATCTGAGTAGACCACGGGATAGATGATATGATATGCATCAGACATACTTTCATGCCTAAGACTTTATTGTTGAATTCCTCATCGAGATATACTGCCATCTGAACGGTTTGTCTTAACAAAAATACTGCCTATCACTAATGTGTCTTGGCAGCTCACAATTGGTGGAAATGTCTACACAGGTAGACTACACCCATTGAGGATAGACAATATTGCATATCGAGGAAATTATATTGGTAGAATTCTTAACGGGAAAGATTTGCAAATCAACCCGGAGAAATAGAACCGCATGACTAACACAATGCTTCAGTCGTGTCATGTGAGTAATTGATTTTGTGTAACTGGATGTACAATCCCTGCTACGCCACTGTCACTCAAGATCAGAAGCCGTGGGGCTACACTCCCAGGCTCGTTCAGGTACTCCGGGTTGTCCCTGTTGGCTACTCCGTACTAAGCGTTCTCCTCATCAGTGGACAGAGAATAGCTGCGGATATCTCCGTCTTCAGGGCCGCTTGGACCCGATGGGACCCAATAACGCTAAGCCTGAGTCGGTCAAGCCGGCAATGCAACTCGCCCGGGTTGGCAGTCAGATCAATCACCTCTCTCGTTCAGGTCAAGCTGCATCTGCGTCTGCATCACTAGCCGCTATCATCGACGGATATTTTAGGCGTAGCACACGTTATTGGGCTCTGTTACTCAATCACCGTCTTTGATGACCATGAATTCATCTTGGCTTGCAGAATTACGAAGAACTAATTTTAACTAGAGCAGGAAACTAATGCAGATACCGCATCAGCATTGTGTGGCTCGATTATTGGAGAACCTCGTCGTTCCATTTTATAAAGGAGTGCTCACCCCTGTTCGAATGATAGGTGAATTCCACATTATTAGGTATCACATTGGCCATGTTGCTAACTACTGTCACCCAGTCATTCCAGTCTTATGCTCTTCGACTGGTGCAAGACACCCTACGGCGAATTTCAGCCCCGGTAAAATTGATCGATAATGTTAGCGAAGAGGAGAAAATACTGTACGATGACTCGGAAATCGCAGATTCCGAAAAAGCGATTGTCCGCGTCAAAGATGTGAACTTTTGGAAAAGGGCGTTTCTCGATTTCGATCTGGTACGTATCCGGCAGATTCATGAGGGGCTTGCTATTAACAATTAATACCTGCAAGGGGTTTGCGGAATTTTATATGTTCCAAGAAATAGAATGTGATCAACTGAACAAGATCTTCGATGTAAGCCATTCCATATTCACAAATCAACGCCGCAGAACAACTAAGACACCAGCCAAACAGCTATACATCCTAAACCGTGCCACGCTCGACTCGGGAAGCTCACCCTTCCATCTCATCGTCCGTCTAGCTCAATGGTGGCGACCGAAAAACAGCATTGAAAATGCGCGCAGCAACATCGCATCCCACTACGACACCTCCAACGGACTATTCACCAACTTCCTGTCTCCGGACTTGAATTACTCCTGCGCACATTTCACTAGGGACGTGACAGAGCCCCTTCAGACAGCCCAACGACGAAAAGTCCACTACATGATCAAGAAAGCGCGCCTTCAATCAACTCACCACTTACTGGATATCGGTTGTGGCTGGGGAGATTTGATCATCGAAGCAGCGCGACTGACCGGCTGCACAGCGACGGGAATAACTCTGTCTGAGGAACAGAAGAGTCTTGCGGACGAACGCATCCGCGATGCTGGTCTGCAGGACCGCATTCGGGTTTTGCTGTGCGATTATCGCAACGCGCCCCGACCTGAAAGTGGATTTTACGATCGCGTCATCTCGATCGGGATGTTCGAGCATGTCGGGGCTGAGTATATGGATCAGTACTTTGAGGTGATTTCGCAATTATTGCCGCCTCGGGATGGTGTGTTGGTTATTGATGGGATAACAAAGATACAACCGGTATTATACTCTCCCACTTGAAGCTTGCATGAAGAATGAAATATCTGAGGTTTGGCAGTTCCACGAAACAAACCCCCGGATGGGCGACTACATCGACCGCTACGTCTTCCCGGGCGGATACCTTCCCACCCCGAATATTCTCTTCGAGTCTCTGCACCATGGCAGTAAAGGATCACTAGAAGTGTCTTCCGTGCTCAATTCAGGCCCTCATTACGGGAAGACCTTACTCGGATGGAGGGACAATTTTCTTGCGAATTGGGAAGATATCCGATCGGACTTTTGCGGTCGGCATCCTGAGGCTTCCACGAAGGAAGTTGAGGCTTATCGACGGCGTTGGCTGGTGAGGTTCTCCGATCCCTTATTTGAGATTTCCACAGGGTGCTAATGAATTATTAAGTATTATTTTGAGTATTGCGAAGCCGGGTTTCGTAATCGCATCTTGGGTAATTATACTATTTGCGCAGTTCGCGCCCCTGAGCCGGTTGTGGGGTATGAAGGTCTGGATATCGGTGATGCTTAGGTGTTTATATGATATTTATAGCTTTGTAGTACGATTTTATTACTCTATTAGACTGGACGGATGACTAGGCTTTATGGTTGGGAATTGGGAGATTCAAGCTACTTAGATTAAGAACATTGAATTGGGCGAGTTAGTATTTACTCTTGCAAATATTCAATAGCATTATAAATCTACTATATCCACGAAATTTGTGCAATTTGATCAAATTCTTGATCTCTAATCCATTTTGAGGTCTGGATTAATAGTCTATAGTACATGATTCCCAACCCCATACATCAAATTCCAATTCACTTATCTGGCCTCCTTAATAGGTGAACTCGCAAGTAACTCCATGGTCCCTCTCACCACAACCATCCTGCAAAGACTTGGTAGTGGTGCCGTACTTGATGTACCCGCCCTTCAGGTCACTGGCATCATAATCACATCCTTCACCGTTGTAAACGGCAATATCTTGAGTAAGACCAATGCTGGAGGCATCGAATGTCTGTTGTGAACTCCCGCCCTCGAAATTGGTGCAGACCACTGCAAACTTGGCGGATTCCCAAGATCCGTCCTTGGAGTTGCAGACGCGGATCTGTCCGAGTAGAGCTGTTAGATTCCTTTGTCACACGAAGCGTTTTAAGGGCAATAGTGAGAACTTACCCATGGCTCAACGGAACCTTCACCATTAGGCTGGTAGTTGCTATCGCGGACGGAGGTGTAGTGAACCCAGAAAGTGCCATCGGCGGGCTCAACTCCTAGGTCACTGAGTCCGCTGTCGCATTCCCAGAGGGCTGATGCTAGCTGGGGGGCAGCTGTGAGTAGGAGAGCAGCAGTTGCGATGAGCGAAGGAGGAAACTGCATTTTTGTTGAAGTAGAGAGGATGTACACTGTTGTTTTGGAGAGTTTGGATGAGAGATGAATGCGAATGATTGCTTGTTCTCGTTATTGTTGCTGTTGATAATTGATTTCAGTCTTGGGGAGAATGCATCCTTTTATCTCCCATTCGCGAAGTAGGGTAACCTCTCAGGGTGTGTCTTCAAAGGCGCCTTTCTCCTAGCTCCCATTGACAACATCTCTGACTCTGGCAAAATATTGCAGGTAAGTATTACGCCCCCAAAGCGATTGACAGGGGCGAAAATTGAGATCTATGTCTACCACTGTTATCAGAGCACTTGCGCGGCACTCCAAGCTTCAATGATATCCAAGCACGATGTTTCATCATGTTGGTTCTTGAAATTTGGCCCCATTGTTGCTTGACTGACGCGTGGCACTAGTGGGTAGACGAGTGGCGGGGTGCCGTTAGCCCCCACAATGTTGCGGACACACCACTCCCGGATTAACCCCGACTGAGGAATCTTGTCGTAAACTAGAGATTAGCTGCAGGCTGAGGCTTACTGCAAGGTTCGGTTACCATCGAAGCCTCGTCTTACATGATATGCACAGCTTGGCGAAACTTAGGGGTTGCTTGATATTTCCTAACCCGCAAAGGCGCCCCGCCCCGGGAAAAGCTTCATTATGCCAGTTTTGGAGCCTACGGCCGAGGCTATGGTTGGCTGCGCACCAATGGCATTTACTTGTGTGCCATAGCCACCACCGATGGGGTTATGATGTAGCCCACTAAGCAGGGTAGCGATATATCTCGGACGTACCTGAGCACTTGGCACTGATCTGTGGTAAGAAAGAATCAAGCGTAACCGAAGCCTGGGGCTGGGCTTATTCGTGCCTCGCATTAGTCGCTCGTGGCCTGGCTCCTTGTGATTCGGGTGGAATCTTCAGAGTATGTCTTATCGAGAAGTTTTTCGCCCGATTGAGCTCGGACAGTGTATTAGGTCCTTGAAGTTCTGTCGCAACCTTGCCCGTGGACAATTGGCTCCCTAGAAAGGGTCACATCTTGCACACGACTCTGGCCCCTATTAGAGCAGGTAATACCAAATCTGCCATCAGATCAACGTGCTCCGTATCTCCGAGCCCGTCAACAATGGCAGCCCAAGCTGATAAGGCCTGATCACCGCAGTGTTGTGCAGCAATGGACAACAGTGTCTTATTGGAAACTCGGCGTTCAGTAAACAGTACATGGGCGCAACTTGGCTTTTTCTGCTGTCTCCTGCTCTTCTTCCTCCCTCATCTGGTTATACTTCTGATACCAATCAGAAATGCACAGCATCTGTCTCATTCATTGGTCCTCTTGGCTCCTATTTAGATCATAGTACCCTTTGTCGCTCCTTTCGCCTCTAAGAAGTTACTCTTACCTTTCGCTTTTTTCGGGCTACGTGGACATTAAAACCCAACCGACCAGTGTTCTCGTCGAGATACTCCCCGATAAAAAGGATTATTTTTCACGTCAGGCATAGCAATTATTCAAAACAGGTTACACTGGGATATATAAACGATGGGTTATAAAAATGCTGCGACTAACAAAGTCACCTGTCCACTTATGTGAGACGAACGAGTCTACCGACCGAAATAATGAAGAACTCAAGCAAGAGGCAAGATCATGGTTAGGAGTGTAGGCTTATGGGAATATCAGCATCACTAGTGTCAAATATCCCGATCGGCGATCCGTACTCTTCCGGTTGTTTGACTTGGGTCATTGAAGCATGGTGCCGTTGTGGGTATGTAGGGTCGATGGTGTTGCCCAATCGACGCATCTATGTCTGCGAAACGAGACGTCATTCCTAAGACATAATTTCTCGTTCGCTGCTCACGTAGAGTTCTTCTTGACTGGAGAGGCATTATTTGAAGAGGATGGTAGGCCCAAGTGAACAAGATATTACTCAAAATACGGCACACAGCCATGATTCAGGCCCCATATAGTACAGCGAGATCGTGATACTCATGGGTAAGTCTCGGCTAAATATTGAAATATGGACTCAACAGAGCTGCGCGATCATTATCTTTATGGTCTAGGCTTCAAAATACAGTGGAGACGAGATCGTCGATCATATCATGGACAAGAATAATGCGACTGAACCCTGGGGGGCCACACAGCATACTAGTTTACGGTTCTAGAATACATGCCTGTAGGTCGGTCGGAGACCACTGCATCAGAAAGGGCCCACCGAGAAGAGTTCCTGACTAGTAGGAAACAATTAGGGATTGATGAGCTGTGTGAGTTTGTGAACATGCTAAACCGAATTTCGGGCGGTGGAACGCCCCACAAAGAGCAGCTTAGAATGTTAGATTTTGAGTGGAGTTCTGGAATGTTTCTCCTTTGGGCACGTTTTGTGCGATCGATAGCTTCGGAGGTGGCGGCACTCGCCGTACATCCCGTCCCAAGTTTGATAGCTGGCAGTGACGCAAGAGGCAACACTCGCAGCACGTAGTCTATAGGCGGATAGGCGGATGGCTTTGTTCAGGGCGGATGTACCTTTTCACGAATTGCCCGAGAAAGGAAATGGTGAGGAACCGGTCAAGCCAACAAGATAACTTGGACGATTATTGGCCTGGTAGTGCCTTCCGCGCCGTTGTGGGCCTGCGGGAGATTGGCTGGAAGTCATTTCCATTTGTTAGCGTCCCCGCCAGTATGACCACCTCATGACCGGCCGCGGAGAAAGAAGCATCGAATTTGGAAATCCAGCAAGGCAGGCGCCCTTTATAAACTTGCGTGACTGTCTACCTCACACTATCTATCATGCTTATCACTTTCTTATGAGTTGGAGGCTAGGACGTCCATTATCACCAGGTGAAATAAGGCTGGAAGATATCTAATCTATGACCTCGGAGAGAAAGCAACGGATTCTGGCCCCTGCAGCCCCAGTTAAGGACCCCGCGCCACGAGTTTCATCGAGAAAGGTTTCTACAGCTTGCTCAAATTGCCGCCTCAAGAAGGCGAGGGTCTGTTCCCACATTTTCTCATCCTATGTACTTTGAGTGTTTACGAAGTTAACCCTGCGTCTCCTCCAGTGCAGCGGAACAGCACCATGCAACTCCTGTGTCAAGCACGATCTCGAATGCAATATCGACGAGGCAACAGACTCTCGCCGAAAAATTCACCTTAAACGCAAGATCGACAGCTTAGAAGGCGACCGCGATCTGTTCGTGCAGGTGCTGGAGATATTACGAAATGGTGGCGTCACACGGGTGCATTCCCTATTGCAGTTGATTCGCAGTAATGCCTCGTTGGAAGAACTTCAACTATTTTGCGAGGACAAACTCAACGCTACCAGTACCCTTGATTCTACAGTAGATGAGGTCCGGTTGTCAGATGAGTTTGTCGTTAAGATACCACGGAGAGTGCTCAACATCAAGCGGCTCGCCGATCAACCTGTCTTTCGCGTACCCGCAATACCCTGGACTAGAATAACCGATGATGATCACCTTGTTTCACACCTTATTTCCATTTATTTCACATGGCGGTATCCTTGCTTTCCCTGCCTTGATCAAAATCTATTTATACGCGACATGAAAACAGCCAAGCTCAGTTCCCAGTTCTGTTCGCCCTTTTTAGTCAATGCCATTTTGGCTGATGCCTGTGTAAGCCGCCGACCACTTCTATTAGACGCCGCCTTCTACTAGACATGTTATTGACATACCCATTCAATTAGGCATACTCTGACTTCGCAGAGGCGTACGAAGTCCCGAATGATCCGTCTACGCGAGGGTTACATTTTTACAAAGAAGCAAAGAGATGTTTCGAACAAGAAGATGGGCATTCAACCATAGCCACAGTACAAGGGCTAGCAGTATTGTCAACTTGGTACGACCCATTTGTCTTTCAACTTCTATACGACCTCGAAGTGTTGATGATGAGATTTAGTGCATGCTTAATGGGCAAAGACAGACGGGGATGGATATACCAGGGCCAGCTTGCTTATGCTGCGAAAGAGCTTGAATGCACGCTTCGCACAGTATCCTCCGGCTCTCTTACTGAGGCATCTGACATACGACGAGTTATCGAGCTTACTCTTTGGGGGTTGTACAACATGACAATGTATGTTATTCAATGAATTTATGTGTGAAGTAAAACTGACTATTACCAGCGCAAGCGCCTTCGCTTACCAAAAGCCGCCGTTGATCGAAAAGCCTAGCCGTCCATGTCCGCCAAGTACTCATGACAATGATGACCCGCTATGGCACCCTTATCCGCACGACAACGATGGTCTCCAGGCGCACTACATGTGCTATTTCCACAGCTTATCTGACCTGACAGCCATCGTTGACGATTGGTGCACGTTACTTTTTGACAGTTTTACGAAGCCGCCGCCCAATGAGATCCAAGACATGGAAATCAAAGTCCGTAAACGTCTTGCGGTGTGGGAGAAATCTCTCCGAACATGTCTCAGGATCGAAACTGGGCGTGTGATCCTTCCTCATGTATTATGTCTACAGTATGTCAATTCTATGTATGACAAGGTCCTCGGCTTTAATTAACAGTCTAATGTAGTATGTATTATCACAATATTTGTATCACCATTTCGGAGCTTGCCAAAGCAGCAGAGCATGGGGCAGAGAATCAGCATCGGGGGCCGCAAGAATCGTCTCTCTCTTCTGCTCGTCACATCGCCGGTTTGATGGAGTTACATCGATCCTCCTGGGGCATTGATATGTTTCCGGCATGTTATATTCATTGGATTGCAGTGTCTATGTTTACTTTAATGGGCCAACTTGACGTGTTAGCGAACCAAGAGGCATTTATCAATCTTTGTGTGGCAGCAAAAGTGGCCTCTCGACGCTGGCCTCTTGCAAGGGGCACATTACGAACTGTTCAAATCACGGCCAAGAGGCTTGGAGTAAAGCTTCCGCCTGAGACTGATACACTGTTCCTAGATTTCGAGAAGGAGATTTGGGGGCCCAAGGGTCGCAATGGACTCAGCAGCCTGTATCCCAATTTTGCTGTTCTGACAGGATCATTACGAAATGAAGCCGTTGAAATGGACAAATTCCTGGAGAAAGAGGATAGCTTGGAGGCTCTCGACCTTGCGGAAGATGACGAAATGATATCCTAGTAGCACAGAGACTACAGTTGATCGGGGCGTATGGCTATTATGGGAAGCACAGGGCATGAGTCACATCATCAGAGATATGTATCATTAGCGAGACAAGAACAAGAAGTCTCACTAATCAGAATGAGATTAGAATAGCAACGCGCACTTTGCGCAATGTGCAAAAATAGATGATTTAAAATGCGTTAGCTGGGAGTCGAACCCAGGGCCCAACCTTTCAATCTTTGCTTTCGCAGGAGATCATGGAAGGGTTGAATGTTACCGTTACACCACTAACGCAAGGGGTGAAAAATGAGTTGCCTTCTTTGCTTCATAGGGAAGAAAATCTTTTCTTGCACTCATAATTCCTGTAGCTTAAGCTTGGTAGAAGTGGCAACACTAAGATGGATTCAAATCAGAACAAAAAATAATAGAAGGCACACACGTCATAGAGAGTTAATAGCTTACTCTGCACTCGTCAGCCTAATCAATAATAAGCTTGCCTATCATTCGCACCACCTTCCCAGGCACCACCCCACCCATCTCTTACCCCTCGACCCAACCTTCAGGCGGCCCCTCAGATAAGCTTTAAATCTATACAAAGTAACCAAACACACCCCTGGGTACTTCTCCTACTAGTACCCTAAGAGGAATGCCTCCCTACCCGACCCCAACCACCCCAATAATTCACCTCCTACCATAGACAACCACCACTTCTACCGCCGAAAAGGAACAACCGAATGGATTGAATAAACGCCCGAAACTCTCCCTCCGCCACCTGAGCAAGACACTCGGATAACTAATAGTACCTATCTCCTCTCCCTCTTCCAGGAAAAGCAGGGACCAGGTAAGTAAACCTCTCCACTGGTCTTTTTTCGTGGCGCGGGAGGATCAACCCGTGCAGGTGTACCAGGTTACGGGTGATGCGGAGTTTATGGTTTATGAGCCGTCGGAGGGGGTGGTGGCGTTGAGTGAGATTGAGGAATAATGTAATGTTTTTGTGTTGGGGGGAGGTAGATGGGGATGGGGCACAGTTGGTGAAGAGCATCGCTGGGAGTGCGGTGCCGCCTAGGGCGAGGAGTAGAAGGGAGGTGAGGGAGAATTGTCAGGGGTGGGTGGTGAGGGTCGTAGAGACTAGAGAGGTTGACGGGAGTGGGGTTGGTGGGGGAGGAGAAGGTGGGTGTTTTGAGGGGGATGATGGATCATGGAGGATGCTTAGATGCGGGGTGTGGTGCAGGGGGGAAATTGTGATTCTATAGTGGTGCTGTGATTTCAGGACAGGATGGATGGTGATTGTTGTGGCTCGTCTGATGTAGGCGATTTATTTATCGATGTTTTCTTCGCTGACGCCTTGCTGGGGCATTGGTGGTGATGCATTCAACTACTGACGTAGTTTGCTATGGACATTACGCTCGCCGTATTGTCACTGTGAACAGATGAAAGGTTATTGGTTGTTGGTGGGGTGAAGCAAACTGCATGAAACGATTGTAGCCTTGCAATCATCCATAGGTGATGAAGGGAATAAACGGTAGACCAAGACTTGTGGGTGGGTAGGTGGGCAGCCGTGCCACAGCCCACCTCGGAATTGAGTAAATTCACTTCGAAGTAGCGAAAACAAAGGCGAGGGGAATGTGATTGACGTCAGACAGTACAAAAAGTTAACTTGGGAAAAAAGGAATGACAAGAGTGGGATTCGAACCCACGCCATCTTACGATGATCAGGAAGCTGTGAAGCTGGGTATTAAGGTGGACCTTAACCTGACGCCTTGGACCAACTCGGCCATCTTGCCGTGATTATATAAGGAGACGGGAATATTGTGCATTATCAAGGACCTTCATATCTCACAGCTCATCTGCTTGGTTCCGTTCAGCTTCAGCTCTCCCGTCGGCAGGCGACGGGTGGGTCAGACAGCAAGTTTCTGAGGCTCGAAACGTGGGAGGCACCGTCCACATGATATCATAATTTTCCGTGAGATTAAGGTAGTCTCATCTAATGATTATCATCTCGCCTTTGCATTGCCGCGCAATACTGATGGCAACCCATTTCTCAGTTACCGTACCGTGCTCGTGTGTGAAAGCATAGGGTACGGCCCGGATATATTTTATGACCACTGCAGTCGTGATACTTGTAGTAAAGCCGACCACATCATCACACCCAGCAACTATCACCATGTGCCACTAGTGTTTGAGAGGCTGTCAGATACTAGCAGCAACGTACGAGAAGAGCACCACAATTCAGACTACACCCCATCTCCCCGTGCGACAGAAGTAGGCAGTCACCTATTACTAGTAGTACCAGTACATCTTTACCCCGCAAGTGGTATGCGAATTCTTAGCACACCAACTATTAATTGCTACTATTCCCCATGTTCATGAGTCACTCACTCACCAGGGTTAATGATTACCAAGGAGTATTAGTACTGCGTGGAGCTACCTCCTCTTTCGACCCGGGATTATAAACAAGCTGCAGCGTACTAGTCTATTTAGTACCTTTCAAAGCAAACCCCGATCGTGCCAGGGGCTTCTAAGTGGCCATGTTCTACCACAGACCCATCCGTGATGGATAGCCTTTATTACCTTGTGCCTTGAAAGGTACCAATAATTTGTTAGTTACCCGCCCACCTCGCCATAACACGCACATAGCGTCATGATGCTCCTACCTGGATGCTACTAGTACTACCTTCCTACTATGTACCACTCCTCTGCCATTGGGGTTCGATTGATGCTTCTCATTTTGAACGGTATGGTTTAAACAAATATGGGTAACGTTGGAAACTGCGTCTCGTCTTTCTGAGTCCTAGCAGAACTTCCGGGCCACGTCTTCCGGACACACTATCCCTCCCAACCATGTCAACTGTGGCGTCCGATGGTGCCATCAAACACACCTGAGCGACCCCATTCCTCTACCGCCGTGCTATCGAATCATACTATATGCGGCTAGTCTAGTCCCCCCAAACAGATTTTGAGCGCATCCAAGCTTTTCCACTACGTTTTCGCAAGTCACATGCAACTTCAATGATGAAAAGGGTGACCTATCCTGGTTTAATCAAATATTGACGGCTATGTGTTCTACATATTTGAGCGGAATAAAAGATGAACCAAGCGATAATAGGAAGGTCTTATACACGCCCATAGTGGCTGGGTCCAACGAGACGATTGGAGCTGAATGAATTGGCAATCTCCCACTGGCGATCCGAATGGTGGCGTCACACCCCTTTTGGCTGTACTGGGAAGACAAACGTATGCCAACACAAGCCACGGGCTTTGCATCACTGAAATTGTTGACGAGAAGATCATAGCCTAACGTTATCCCATTAGAGTGATACCAGCAACCTAACAGGGCCATGTCGTATTTCCCAAGTTAGCAATTCTTGTTGCCACTTGTTAATATTGTGATCAATGCTGTGACCACCTTGCAAGTCTGGTCTATGATTTCGCCCAAGTGTCCTCTACGCTTGACTGATCCCTCCCAGAAGTACTCTTCATGCGAAGGTAAGGTACAAGCCAAGACACGACGTGAAAAGGATGAAATTATCTGCCTCCCTACCTAACGCGTATTGCAGAATTTGCTGTAGGTCCTTATCTATCCTGCTGCGGAGCTTTGTCTGTTCTACTGCTAGACCAGGAAAATGCGGGTTTCCGGTTAAACTACGATAAATCAACGGGTACAGCATTTAGGCAATTGATCATACTCCCTTTGATTTATGTCAGGAATCACGCTAGCCTGGATTTGTGGTCGTACTTGGCATGAAGGTGAGCAAGCATCTGTAATTCCGATGGTTTGCTAGGTTCGTAGTAGTGATGATTGCTAACCCTGACACAGTTTTAACGCTAGCTATTATCCACGTGAAAACATTGCGCTTTCATTCCATCCACACCACATGCAATAATTGACAGCAACCACCAGTCTACACATAACGAGCGCTGATGCGATTAAAGGCAGGCGAGGGCTTATGATGCTTCCAAGAGGAGGGAAAGCATATCAGAGATCCCTTTTCCGGTCTCAAGCCACAAATGGGGCTCGATGGCTTCGATCTCCATCAAAACAAATGGCCGATCCTCCGTGATGAGTCCGTCAATCCGCACGTAGCCTATTTCCCCGGAGCTCACACCCTCTGTCGACTTGTATCCGAAGCGGCGTTGAAGTGAGTTGAACACGTTTTGAACCGCTTGGAGACTCTGTAGCTTGATGTCGAGGAGGTTTGCTAGCCTAGCGGATCCACCATACTCGTCCTGAACTCGGAAGTCTCCTTTTTGGGGGGATTTGAGCATGACATGGGTAAGATGTGAACCCACGAAAACGAAGGAATACTCTCCTGTTGAAATTGCAGGTTCGAACTTCTGAATGAGCAAAGAGCTCCGGAGACCCCCAAGAGTGCAAAGCTCGAGGAAGGTCAAGTCATCCGGGGAAAGTGTTGATGTGTTTGTGATCCGCCGGGTTAGCGTAGAGGATGCAGACATAGATGGTTTCAAGACCACAGACTCTGATGGAAGGAAATCATGCACCAGAGCGTTCAATTCAGCCACGCTGTACTTCCGAGGGTCCACAATTTTGGTCTTAGGAATAGTGAAGCCTTCCTGCTCCATATCTAGCAAGTACCGTTTGTCCGCATTCCACCGGACAAGTTTGGTGTTGTTAATGATGCGAGGAACGTTGGACAGAGGGGCATCTGGCAGGCTCCACACCGACTTTTCCGCTTTTTCAAGAAAGGCGAAGAACTTTTTGGGATGCTTATAGTACTCATTGCACCAAAGGAAGGTGACCACATCGAACTGACTGAGCACTGTTAGGATATCCTCATCCATCCAGCATTTGAGCGTGACCTGGGCTCCTCTTTCCATGAGGAGACCAGGCAAATCGTAGTTCTGATAAAATGGCCATTCTGCCCTTATCGTATGGGGCTGTTGCGTGGTGAGGAACAAAATCTTTTGCGGGGTGTCAAGGATTGGACGCATTGCGAGGACAAATTTTAATAAGAATGATAGGGAATTAACTGAGGCCACGCAATTTCAGGCTAACAAAAATGCTATGACATGTGTCTTTAAGCTCTTGGGCTTGAACTAGAGCGATGCTTTAATACTTGGTCCTCTTTCATGGATCTGATGGATCTGAATGAATGCCCGCTCTCTGATCCCTTCATACTTTGCTGATGGGGCGTGTGCAGCCAGGAATGACTCTGCTTGGTTACATGAACTATCAACAGCATGGCTTGATGACGCCGTATCTCCCATGTTCCACACAATTAGTACGTGCATGGTGGCGACATACAGGAGCACAACTTGCGTCGGAGTTGCCGTTCTGTCTGCGACCCAAACCCCGAATCGAGCAGAATTAAGGACAAGGTCCAGGTTTCATTGACTAAGAGATTCCCGAACATTTAATATCGACCCATAGGAGGCAACAAAGTATTTGCAATAGTATACGATGTCAAGACGAAGGATCAAGGATATATGGAACTGATCTATCTGATCTCAAGAGGATGGTTGGTGGTTGTTGGAAGAGGTGGTGGTCGGAGACCACGCAGGAAGAAAGGCGAAGGATCAGCTGACAGCTGCCTGGCTGCAGTGAATGTCTCAACATACGATAGTCACGCTTGACAGCAAGGCTTTCACCTCGTGATAGCAGACCTTGCGTTCAGTCCAGTACACTAAGACTATCTGCCGCCGGAACATTGCATAGCCGTCTCCAGAATTTCACTGGGACATCTAGAGCCTATACAGAGCACATAGTAATTGATTACAACACTTAACGCCATAGAGAAACCATGGAGATCATCTACTTCACTCCCCCTTAGTCCGAGGCTCTCTCACCATGGACGCAAGTCCGCAGGTCATGCTCCGAACCACGAAACCGAAACGCTCGTAGGTCGGTTTTCCAGCTTCGCTCGAGTCAATGTAGATTAGAGCATCCTCTTGATCCGCTACCTGACATCCCCATATAAGGAGTAAACGCGCTGCTCCCATGCGTCGGTAATCGGTATGCGTCGCGAGCATATCAAGATCTACAGATAGGTCAGATACTTACACGTGAGACTTTTGACTTTGCAAACTTACAGAAATTTTTCCTGCCGTCTCCAACAAGGTGATTGCGAACATCCTCCAGTCGTTGAAAAAATTCCTCATTACGACGGGCATCCATGTCCGGGTGCCAAGGGGGAAACCGGGGGCCACGCTCCTTGGAAGTCTCAAGGGACCATTTGGCATAAGCGGCAATACGCCCAGTCTGGCTGTCAACTACCTTAAGATATTTTTCGCGTGGCTTGTGTAGCATGTCATAGCGAATGGCTGACTCCCACCACTGCCGTACTCCCGGAGTGTCAGGCCAGATAGCAAGCAGAGAAGGAATGCTGAAGGCATTGTACCACAGGCGTACCAGCTCAGGAACGTCCTCAATTGTTGCCAATTCGAGTTTGAGCGGTGGTTCTGGTGTCGGAGTGCCGGTAACTGTGGTGACTGTGGTTGCCATAGTGGGGGATTGATAATCAAAGTAAACTCCGAGCTGCTTGTGCAATGAGCTGTTGATTGGGCCTTCGCAGTTGTGATATGGAAAAATATTCAATTGTCAAACGCCACCCAAGCACGATTGCTCAAAGGCTACCTGACAATAGAAAGCAAGAGAATCACTAGTGACCATCTTCATTTACGTCGATCGAGCGATCTCATCTGGCGGCCAAAACAGGTTTGCTTATATTAATAGTGACCGCCATTATACTTTCCTAGGGTATCCCCGAAGCGCTACTCCGCACCGCCTTAATTATGCAAGAGGTCAACTAGTGTCTATTACGGAGATTGGACTGCCAACCCCTCACGGCCGATGGGTCCCTTAGCTGGAAGGAATCCCCGGGGTCGGCCCGCCGGTGGATCCTGCCGAGTCATGTAGCATTGCAGCTAGAACCGGCCAGTGAAAGCTCGCCTTGCAAGCCCAGGCACCACTTCGGATGCACTCATCCAAAAAATGGTAGAATGATTGGCGAGCAGCAGAAAACGGTGCAGTTACTAGGCATTGCAACATGGAGCCCCCCGAGCACGTCGCCCAACGCGCTTACTGATGGATGCCATTTCAAACCCCGAGTGGCAATGCATGAGCTTACCATCTAAGAAATGCAGGTTCAGATACACACTAGTGTCACACGTTAATACCGATGGCAGGCCAGCTATGGGAATCTGAAAAATCCCTCGGGCAATACAAAGGTCTGGAATTATGCAATCCCGACGACTCACCAGCATTGTCGTGGCACTCTCGTGTAGGCATCTCTGGAAGATTTGTGACCTGGTTGTGTAGCCTGCAGAATGAGTTAATCTAACTTTCTTCATGAGCCAAGACCCATCTGTGTCGTGGTGTGGTCCTCAAGTCTTTAACTGGAGGTTTCTACGAGCTCTACAAGCCCAGTCGAACATTTCTACCATACCATTGTTCTACGTCGAGGGAAAGAGAAAGTAAAGAAAAAGAATTCTATGTATGGCTGAATAGCCACAAAAGCAAGGGCTGTGACTGAAAGGGAGAATTTTCGTTGCCAACGCGCTATAATTGAAGGTTCATCCATCCATAGGTTATTATCCACTCAAATGAGGGCTGAATCGACGAGGTTACATCGGAAGCGGATCATCCAGCACAATCGCGCCGAAGCAAACATAGTGACAGGTTTACATCCCAACCTGATCTGTCGTAGGAAACAGCACAATTCCAAGTATAGAGTCAACAGATCCCGAAATACCTGCATCTAGGCCTGTACCTAAATTGCAATGGTGTAAGAATGCCAAACGATTCGTCACTCAGAGACCGAGGGCATCATGCTGGCCGTTGCGCGAGATGCATACCCACAAATGGTCCAGAACAAGAACAAGTCGAGACTCAAAGCCCGAGGCCTTGCGTATGATCATCAAAGTTGGATCTCTGCTAGGCAAGATGTGGCGAATAACTGATCACGACAGAGAGCATGCACATCGATGACAGAATTTAATCGCTTGCATGATTGATGCAAAATCTTGATTGCATGCTCTACATGCCAAGCTGCTACTGTGAAGTACGTTTTGGTGGCTGGTGGCGTCAGAAAGAAGTCCTTTCTGGTTGCTAAATGAGGCTATAAATAGGCTTCCTGGCCGGTGCAATGAGAGCTCATCATCGGAACATCGGAACACGATCTCTCAAACTATCATAAACTTTTAGCTTTTTCTATTCTTCAATTCAATATGCCTACCATCGGCCAAGTTTACCAGCTTTCCAAGACTGAAGAAGATACTTCAACGATTGGTACTGCGTACGGAGATATCAGGTATATTCAAGATATTCTTTCATATATCCTTAGGGGACTAGCTGTAATTTGGGAACAGCCATGACGATTGAATCCCTGCCTTCTTATTGCATCACAACTAGTCAAGCCATACTAACCTCTACAGCATTCTCGGCCAGAAGGTCCGCAAGACCCAGTTTGCCAATCCTTTGAATCAAGCCATCCTTTTTCTCCATCCACACTTGACCCAAACCTACAACCCACTCAAAGGCCGAACTCTGAGCACCAATGGCCCTATCCGCGCTGGAGAGCTCCTCATGGCCGACCTCCCCTATGCCGTGCTGCCAACCGTGGCCGTTGGGGGTGGCGACGACTCCATTTGCAGCAACCTGGGCTGCAGTCGACGCGTTTCCCGGCATGCAGCAAATAGCGTTACATGCGAGACTGGTTGCTCTCTCGATATCTGGTGGTGTAACGAGTCCTGCAAAGATGAAGACCAGGCCCGTCACGACGTCGAGTGCGCCTGGCTGAAGAAGTACAGCCCCGTTCTCCGCCAGGAACTCGGCGATCACGATTATTACATGCTTTGGATCATCATCCGACTCCTTGCAGCCCGGTACCTCGAGCTCCAAGGCACAACGCCAACCAACGTTCACCAGCAACTCACATTCCAAGATCGCTTCGTTAGCGGCTGGAAAAGGCGTCCAGCTCCTCCGAAGCAACCGTGACTCCTGGCCTACATCTCAGCTTCAACACTGGTCCACTCTAGCCGAAAAATATTTGCTACAATCTTCGCTCCTCCCGGAAACCCTCGACCTCGATACCCTCGTCGACCTGATCTGCGCCGAGGAAACCAACGTTTTCGAACTTTGCCCCGGCCCGACGGAGATCATCCCACACCAATCTCCGGGCGTCGAGCGCGGCACGCAGTACGGCCTAGCTGTGTTTCTGCGCATCACGCTCGCAAATCACTCTTGCGCGCCCAATGTAAGTACACATCCCACTTCCCGCCCAACTGCGTGTCCCCAAGTTGACCTGTCGCTCACTAACTCAACCCACCACGTAGGTGACACACCAAGCCGACGACCGTGGTCGAATGATGGTGACTGCACTGCGGGACATCGCGCCAGGCGAGGAGTGTTGTACCTCCTACTTCGACCTGTCTGAATACGTTGACCTGCAGGCACGTCGAAAGAAAACTCAGGAGTTGTTCACATTCACGTGTACGTGCCCGAGGTGTTTGCAGGAGGAACGGGCCCAGAATTAGTATGTGATGGATGTTATTGGAGGAAGAAAAGTCCTCATGCAGGTGGGATACGTTTTGTGATACGTCGTTTTTGCGGGCTTAATTTTGGCTTGGCTCTGATTTGCCCAGTGGCGCTACTCCGTAGAACATGTGTGGCCCGTGCTTGTGCGGGATTTGAGACATCATGTTTTAGCAGATTGCTCGTTGTACCTCGTTGCCTCTGGTATATTGAACTAGTAGCACCTAGAAATATATTACGGGGAAGAGTGGTCAATAACTTGCGCATGGTTGTAGACTCGTGGGTAACACATGTTGTCAGGCGGGATGGCTGGAGGACATAAAATGGCTCAGCCCACCCCTCTTATCTCAGTGTGGTCAGCTCGTATTCAGCTTTTTGTGAAATACCTGCTGTCGCGATGTCGTTCCTCCGCTCCGCCTTACCCTTCCTCGGGCAAATCACAGTCCGCAAATGTCTCGGCCAACAACAGCCCTTCTACACCCCATTTCACCAAATACGACAGTATTCCCCCTCCATCGACTACCAAATTAGCGCAACAAGATCTACCATCGCCCAAATCCTCAACCACATTGACTCTCAGCATACTGCAGCACAGTACCTCTCCCACTTCACTAACTTCCATTCTCCTACGCAGCAGCCCTTCGCTGTGATTAAGGTCGGAGGCGCGATACTCGATACTCACCTCCAGACCCTCGCATCAAGTCTCGCCTTCTTCAGCCGCATGGGCCTCTACCCCGTTATTGTTCACGGCGCCGGACCTCAACTTAACAAGATCCTCGAGGATGCAGGCGTGGAACCACACTTCGAGGAGGGGATCCGCGTAACAGATGGTCAGACCCTGTCTATCGCACGGAGACTCTTCCTCGAAGAGAACCTTAAGCTAGTCCAAGCGCTAGAGGAAATCGGGGTTGCGGCGCGGCCGATCACGGCGGGCGTGTTCCAGGCAGAGCATCTCGATCAGAAGAGATATGGGCTCGTCGGACGGATAACGAAGGTGGAGACAGCGCCTATTGTTTCGGCCATGAGGGCGTCTTGCCTACCTATTCTTACGTCTATGGCTGAGACGAAGGATGGGCAAGTGCTTAATGTGAACGCAGACCTTGCGGCTAGTGAGCTGGCGAGAACGTTGAAGCCGAAGAAGGTAGTTTATCTTGCTGAGAAGGGTGGGTTGGTGCATGGGGTGACGGGGAAGAGGATCGAGAGGATTAATTTGAGCGAGGAGTTTGATGATCTCATGGCTCAAGATTGGGTCAAGTATGGGACGAGGTTGAAAATTCGTGCTGTGGAGGAGCTGTTGCGTGGGTTACCGGGTACGTCTAGTGTGTCGATTGTCCATCCGGTTGATTTACAACGGGAGGTTTTTGCGGCCTCTGGTGCCGGCACATTGATTGAGAGGGGGACAAGGATCTACAGTACTACTTCTGCGGAGTTTAGGGATGAGGAGAGGCTGGTGCAGGCTTTGGCACAGCAGGGGGCTGGTCATGATGAGGTGAGGTTTTGCGTGGATGAGATGCGGAGGAATCGTCCGCTCAAGATGTATTTCAATGATCCGTCATCTTTGAGTCCATTGGCTGTCGTTGCATTTGGGTCTGGAGGCGTACCGCGCTTGATTACATTTCCAAATGGGATTATGGGTGCGGGTGTTGTTGCTGATGATATTTTTGTTCGGATCACGAAAGATTTTCCCAAGTTGGTGTGGAATGTTCGTGATGATGATGACAGACTTGAGTGGTTTTCGGCTCGCGCAACTGGGAGGTTTCAGCATGGAGGTTGGGTTCTGCTTTGGCACGGATTGAATCAGCAGGAGGCTAGGCATTTGATATTGGGGTTCCGAGATGATTATGAGGCGGATGAGGTTGGATTGGAAACGAGTGACACCTATAGACTGGCTGCTCAAGCTTAATCTGTGCTTTGTGATGGATTGTGGGAGCCAGACTGGTTATGAGTGACTATGTGCAACTCATATTGTTTATTCAACTCAATTCAATTCAATTCAATTCATATTCTTATACTTGATCGAGCCCGCTAAGTAAGATGCTAGCTATGCAGGTGCTTCACTGTTTAAAGCAGAAATATGGTCCCGAACACTGTCAGATCTCTTAAACTCGTAGTAAACACACCAAAACAACACATACTACGACGTAGAAAGATCATCATCGTAGTTTAATATAACTAAATATAATAAAAGCAAAATATAATTATATAAAAACAGATATAAATAAGTATTACAGCTGACTGGCCAGCTGCCTGTAAATTACTATTCTATTTATTCTTTATCTAGACTCTGCTTCTAACATATATATTCATTTTATTATACATGGTCTTTCCTGCTAACTTAAACAGAATATATATCAATCTTTTTATTTAGTATTTCTAATATTTATTTTTATAGTCCTGAGGCCTACATATTCCTGGCTTAAATTAGAATTAAAATTAAATTTAAATTTGATCTAAATGAACTGCCTGAGTAAGTTTATTTATAATATAAATTTAGTAATATAACAGAATACCTGCAGGTTTAATATAACAATATTATAAATGATAATCTTATCTCTCGGAGTAGATTCATATAATATTCTTATTAAGTATCTAATTTCATAACTTTATAAAACAAGAATATACTAAAAGTATATATTTAAAAATCTAAAATCTTTTTTTATAATTGTATTAGTTACTTTTTTATATATCTTAATCTTATAGAGAAAGTGTACGAGTCTAATTCTCAGTATATATATTTATATAATTATATATATATATATATTAGAAATATTCTTGTAGAATGTCAGTATTGTGATATTTAAACTACAGCCTGGTTTTAGCCCTTAACTTGAGTGAAAGCTAACAACCTGGAGCAAAGATCAGCTTTAAAGGTTCAATGGCTATGGTGCCCTTTGCATTGCCAGAAAATCTTGACTAGTGGGCTTGGGCTAGAAAGCCAACCTCTCTCAAGTAAGGTTGCGCTCTGCCAATCCTCTAGCTTACTGCTTCATCCAATATTCGCCGGAGACTTGTTCATGGTCCATGTACGTCCCATCATAGTGCTTCGCCTCCCGATCCTGCAATGAAACTACTTACATGCCACCTGTTCAACATGAGCAACAGAGCAGTTCTACTAGCAAACAGTTGAGGTTAAATTATTTGCTTTACAAAAAGCCCACCGGGCCTCTTTGACTAATGATCATCGCCCGGGAGTTCTATAAGAGAAACCGTATACAGTTTGATGAAAGGCCTTAACCCAGAAGCACATAAAAATCTTTTTAACTACAGGCTATCGATCTCCTTGTCTAATGTACGGGCTAGGAGCTCCTGCAGGCGCTCCGTATTTCCCTGTTGCTCGAGGCCATAACTCTCGGGATCCATTTTCAGGAATCCCATGATGGGTTGTCCGTCCTCAGCGACCGGGTTTGCATGCGTGGGGAGAGCTAGGCGTTCTAAGCTCTCGTTCAGTTGGTCCGCGTTGACCATGATGCCGCGCCAGTTCAAGGTCATGGAGTACTCGATCAGCTCTGCCCGGGCAACCTCCCACTCTTTCTTGGCTCCAGTTAGCTTATATCATGAAATCGGGGCTGAAACAACTGAGTTCGGACAAACCTTGTCCAGGAGGAAGGACAACTGCTCCGACCTCCTCTTTGAGCCCCCACCATACCTGTGCGTCAAAGTGCTGATCATAACCTTTTTCAACTCTCGGTAACAGAACATGGCGGAAAATAGCTCAGTCTCATCACTCAGCTGGTTGCGGATGGCCTGTGTTGTCAGATACCTCACTGAACGAAATTTGGCATTCTCCCGCCATCTGAACTTTCACGTTCAGTGGCCCGAAGGAAGTAAACGCTTGTAGTTTCTTCATCTAGTTGCCGTTAGTGAGAGTTATGGAACGAATGTGAAGGTTTCTTGCCAAATAGTCAAGGTCATTATGTACGGAGAGCTTGCCCCTGAGGCAGGGGCCCGCATAGCCCACGACCAACTTCACAACTCCGGCCCAATTCTTTTGCTCAAAGCGTGCCAAGTACGTATACATGGCCTCGAGATCGGCGCCCTCTACACTTACCTCCTTTTTATCGGTTGGTAGTTTTAACTAACAGTATCATAAATAGTTATTAGTTCTCTCTCTCCGGACACAAAGCAGATTGACATACCTGCTGTTTCACCACGGTAACGTCTCTCCAAAGAGATTCAGTCTCGATGTACGTCCAAAGTTGCTCCATGAATTTACCGATATGGTCTGGGAGAGAAGTGATAGTAAACTTTGGTTGGATATCAGTCGATCCCTCGTCAACATGTCTCCATGGCCGTGGGTTAACCTCTGCTCTAAAGGCGGACTTTCCTAGTTCCTCTACCCAATCCCAATTTTTCAGGGCGTTGGATGACGATCTGGGGTACGAGAAACTCTGATCCGTCCAATAGATCACATGTTGAAGTACTTTCTTCATAGGCTGCGCTATTAGTCGGTTCGTTCGAACAAAGTCACCCCTATATTTGTTAGCAGGCATTGGGAAGGTTTTAGCTGGAGCCCGCGTACCATCTGGGGCAGGTTAGGCCGGGGTTTTGTTGCATGGTGATGAAAACTTTATGATACTCGACATCGGAAAGTTTAGCCAAGAACCCGGGACGTCTGGTGTTCACTTGAGTTGAACCTGTAGTGAACGTGTCGCCTGCGAGGCGGGGCAATGTCCACTGATTGAACCATTTCTGGTTTAACAATAATAGGCCAGTCAAACTGCCATCCTCGTGGTCTGCCTTGGTCGGAAAGAATAGTCTCCTCAAGAAATCTGCTCTTGGACCCTTTTCCATCGCTGCCAGAACAGTTTCCCAGTCCGCAGATGTCACCTTTTTACCCTCGAAAATCCGATTGCCGAATGTCAGAACGAAATCGATTTCTCGCGCCCACAACTATACGAGAAAAACTATTAGTATCAGACTAACTTGGAAAGACCATCCGTGACTTACTTTTTCCAGCTTCGTGCTGGCGATATCCTCCGCAGTTGTGAAATTAAAGTATTTCTCCCCATAAGGTGTCATAACGTAGCTGCGCCACAAATCTCTCCAAAAGGGTGCCGTGGTAATCGCAAGAACTCGGGGCCCTTGTGATCTGTTTAATCCATACGTACTTTGTAACTAAGGCCCGAAGTTTCCTGCTTTCAGCAATTGTTGCCGTTCGTTCTCGGTCTTTGCGGCTAGATCGTCTAATATGGACATAAGAACATAGCCATTGGAATCGCTCTTGTTCGGATCGTCACGGTTTCCTTCAAGGTGGCCAAAAGATCGCTTTCCATCTTTTCTTGCTCGTAGATGTCGAACGCCCAATAATAAGCCTGGTTAGATGTAAGTCTTCTGACTCAAGTTTAGTTTCGTTATGCTTACCTGAGGAGAAGGATGAAGAAGAGGGCTGCCATCAGGCGTGAGTCCACCTTCGGTCGCAGCTTTCTCCTGCTCAGCCAAAAGTGTCGATAGTGCGGATCGCCTATGTTGCCCCGCAATCAGTGCAGGAAGTGGTAGACCTTCTGGCCAGATATCCAAGTGAACAAAATCATGTAACTGCCCGCCGTCAGCGATGGTCGCTTGGCTTCGCGCCATATCGACAGTCTCTGGACAAGAAGTTGGACCAGCATAGGCCGCGAGGAAGATTTGTAGTCATCTTGCTTCATGCAAGCTTTCATACGAGTTTCTCGAAAGAAGCGACGGACGCCCAGCTTGAAGCTGGCAATTAGTTCGCCGACATGTCTCATGTCAAGTTCCCTGTTCGTGTACGTCTCAGTATCAAGGAACCTTACGTCAAAGGCTATAGTGCCCAGGTAGGCATCATGGACCGCTTTCTGATTAGCGTCATCTTTCAGCTCGGTGACTGTGGCAGCCTCATCTAACTCGAGTGTGCTGCGCCGACGCTTCGCCATCGTCATTAACAGTAGATGTGCTTTTGGAGGAGCAAAAGAAGTAGTTTAGATGCTGGTACTACAGTAGTGAAGAAAACGTAGGATGAGAAGCTGAGGTCAGGCTAGGTTGACAAGGTGAGAGAAAGAAAAATTGAAAGGTAGGATGAGGAGGTGAGGTCAAGCGACGTGGATTAGGTGAGAGAAAGTCACAAGAACGCAAAACAACAGAGACAGAGATGGTGTTACTCCCAAGTAGTGAATTGCTTTCGTTTGGTATGTGCTTTCCAGGGACTGTGTGGGACGCGTTGCGATATACCCGGCATGTGATAAAAAATGAAATACCGTTAGGGAGATAGCAAACCTCCTACATTGCAAATCTTCATCTACGATCTACGGCCAAGACCCTGGGGACTGCAGATTCTCTTTCGATAAACATAGCTAGAGTTAAGCCATCGGCATCATATAACAAGTTCACTAAAAAGCTCAGTAGGCATGATCGACATTCCACGAGCTGAGTGCATCTGCCATGGCCTTTTGGAAATAAGACTTCTTAACCTCTCTCAAGTGACATTTGCTAACCCGTTCTGAAATTGGTGTAGGGCTTTCAACTGAATTATCGAGACACAGATCGTCATCATCATCCTCATCATCGTCTCTATCGGCTGGCTGCCAGCCTGCACCAGCGCACATTGCAGCCAGCCGATGGAGTGTCCACTGGAGGGCAAAGAAACCTTCATCAGGAAGCTGTAGGTTTTGGGGATCTGGTGTTGTGATAATAATGGTATCCCCTGAGCAGATGACAGTATCTGAATCGTTATTGTAGAGTTTCAGATTAGGAGTGGCTACATCAACATGGTGCGCTCTTCCTCCCTTCTGGCCTGTTTCAGGCATCATTATTGGTGATATAGTAGAATTTCCTTCACTGTCATTGATCAGGAGCGATGAATTGCCGGTAGCGGGAAGTCCCTTGCCACATAGCCAGTAAAAATGCAATTCCATGGACTTATGGTCTTCTGATACCCGGAATGGCATCAAACCAAACAGCGCTCTGTCCCAATATGTATGACAAGTGGGACTCAGAGCTACTAGATTTCCTACTGACATGAGGATACTCTTCTTGCCTTCGAGCCATCTCTGGATTGTCTCTTGCGACCAAAACATCCTCAGCAAGGCTTTAAATTCGAGGAACTTGAGCTTCTTGGTAGGTGTAGTAGTGTCACAAACCGAAGCCGGTATTATATGGGCGGCATGCAAGGGATCTGTCGCCTTGGAGATGATACAAACTCGATCCCGATCAAGGCACTGCACCTGAGTTAGAGTCAGAGCAAAGGGGATCACAGGGAAACAAGTACTAACAGCCTCACTCACATCTTTCCTGTTGATCTCCTTCTTAATCTTACTTGATATACTGGGAGAGCTAGGAGGCTCCATAGCTTCATATTTGCGCTTCTTTGCGACGGGCTGGGCTGGGGAACTTTCTGCAGGCGTCGTTATTGGCGCTATACGAGATGCCGTAGGACTGTTTGCTAAGGAGCTTTCCATACTCCGTACTGGGGTGACTGCACCTGTCCCTGGTTGTGACGCTGCGAACTTTTCTCCTGTTCCAGACCCGGGTAGATCTATAATCCTAGGTGAGCCCATTTGCTCGTAAGCAAAGATACTATATGTACACATTGTAAGAATTCTTGCGAAGCTCCCCCCGTTGTGTCGCAACAACGTCGTCATCACATCACGATCAAATTCTCGGGAATACCATTGGAGTTCCGATATATCTGCGAGCCACATCCCAAACCAAATCGGTGTACTGATCTGTAGGGTTCCTTGGGGGATGTCCGCGGCTAGCTCGTATGACCTTATAGATTCTAGAATTCCCGTTATTAATTTCAGACGTTCAGGATCGTTGAAGCCCATGGAAGGCCCTGAAAGTGAAGACATCTTTGGAAAATCTTCTGGAGAGATGATAGATAAATGCTCGAGATGAATGAGTGTTCGACGTGAAGACTAGTGGTTGGATGGGACTTGTGTCAATGATAGAGCAACAAAGTAGTTAGAACTGAAGGGAGTGTGGGAATGGTTCCTGGCACGTGACCATGCCATTCCGGGATGTCAGATGATCCGCCGCTGCGCCCACGTATTCTGTACCGCAAAATCCACAAATTACCTTGCTTATCTCTTTGGTTTTGGTGTTGACTTTCCGGAAAGGAATTCTAGCGGGAAACAGGGAGATACTTTCAAAGTTCGTACCGCATAAGTAAAGTAGACGGAATCCTCAATGTAGTCTCCAAGAGGCGAGTCTGGTTGTTTCTGCTCTTACGCTCAAACAGATTTAATGTTCTGAGATAACGATTGTTGTCTGTCTTGGGTAACATGAATGCCTGAGGTAGTGGAAAACACCGGGGATATTTTTTTGCTGAAGGTTCGAATATGCTCTCTACTAGAAGCGTAAATGGCTGTAAAAGGCCCTTCCCCTCTATCAGGTAATTGATTTGATTACGTTGAAGGTTTTGAGACTGGTGAGGAATTCTGCTGAAGGTCTTCGTGAAGAGAACATTGTTGCATGAGCAAATGCAAGTGTACACAGAGCCTGGTCAATATGACGATATGCCTCCCCAGCCATTTCCACGCCAATGCCAACCCACCAAAAAATCAATCTTCCAAATCCCTCCTTAGGCATACATCCTCGTCCAATCTCTCGCAGCCATCTCAAACACTCCCGGATTACCCATCCACATGCTCCCCGCCTCCACATTCGCAAAGCCATACACAGCATTACCACCTTCCACTGCCATTCCCGGATCCCCCAACATAGCAGAAATCGATAACAAAACAGTCCTCACAGAAAGTGCCTGACTCCACTCATCTTGCAAGATATTCAAACAAACTTCCCCGTATGGGCCAACATTCGGATGCCAGATCTTCGTCATGAAAGTGCATATCGGCGGTAGATCCGGGTACAATGCTGGGATGCGAATATGGATGTGAAAAATACCCCCTTCATAGGGAGAGCCGACTGGACCGGCTATCGTGCCGATGATATCGAAGAGGTGGTCGGGGCTGAATGGGCGAAAGGAGAGGAAGTCGCATTGTGGGGATGTTGGCCCGTTTTTTGTGGCGGCGAGGTATTCGGCTCGGATGCGGCGGACGGAGTAGGATGGAGTGGGTGTGGTGAGGTGGGAGAGGGCGGTGGTGATGGAAAGGTGGTTTTGGTGGTGGATGATGTTCATTTTGGGGTGTTTCTGTTTGATAGTTTGAAGTTTAGGTAGTTTGAGCAAGTTGAAGGTGCTATTTCTTTGGTTTCCCGAGATGACGTGGCTTGTATAGGCTACTTGATTTTGCTTCTGTGATAATTGTTCCCTTAATAATAGAGGAACTGTGAGGATAGGAGAGGATACATGACTGCTTTGGGAGATTCACGTCCACGTGGTAGTGAACTGGACTGTCACAAGCTTCCAGTTAATCATCGGTCAGAGCCAAGTCTTATTCATTTGCACATTCATTCACCTGCGAAATTTTGTCCTTGTTGGGCACTTCTAGTCTGTGAACGCGGGTCACAGATACTAGAGTTTCATGTTACTGTGTTATCTATGTAATCACCCACCCATCAATCTTGTGAATTACCTATCTTATAATCTATCCCATCTGTGCAAGAAAGAGTTCCTTTCGAATATCATGATCGGAAATGATTGAAGACCTTTGCAGACTAGCCGATCGACAACCTTCTTCAGGACAGCTAATTCCAAGTTGTGCTGATTACCATTCGTTGTGGCTACCGCGTAGGCCACCTGAAGAGGTAGGATTGTAGAAGCAGGACCGAAGAGCTTCATTTCTTCTTGAAGAAGATACTCCATGCTTTCGCATATCTGCCTCAGCAGGTTCGCAGAACTTTTCTGGACACTTTCAATGTGGTGTTCCTTCAGAATCCTCGAGTAGTCAAAGTTAGCCTGCGGGAGGGAAGACGCAAGACGTTCCATCTCGTAAAGACATATGATGCGAAACTCCCAGATATAGGTAATCGCGTTGGCCATAGTGATACTGGGAAACCAGATACAGGGGATTTCCGAAGCCTTTGTGCTCTGATCTCGGTACCAGTAAAGGGGAGACGTCGCATTGTTTGTTTCAGACGCCTCCCATTCGTTTAGGCTGTTAAGCAAGTCACCGACGCTGTTCAATATAGAAGTCGCTTCGGATTGATCTCCAATGGAAGCTTCTCGACCAGATATGTTGTCAATTCTATGCAGAAACAATGGAAGGGCAGCGGCCTGACTCAGAAGGCTTTGCATTGGGGATGGGCTAAGTATTGCAAATGGAATCATCTTCCAATTGTCTGAGCCCAGAAACGACGGAGTCCGGCATTGAATTGCGTTTATCATCTACAAGACATTAGCAGAACCCTCAACACTGTGATGTTTTACTCACCAATAAAGGGCGGAAGCCAATAAATAGCCTGTGGGCAACTCCGGTTTGATAGCGCTGCGGCCCATTAGCCTGAAGTATTCGCGCCACGGCATCTATGTGCATCCTTAAGCCTTCGGTTGGGCCTGGAAACATAACCTAAGAATCATAAGCAAAGCGCTCGTTAAAGCGAGATGCAATGGAGCAGAACTAACTTCTGCCAAGCTGAGGCACATTATTGATGCCAGTAGCTCTCGATCTGACGATTTTTTCGCCATTCCGAGCTCCTCTCGCATCATTTGAAGAGCTGTAAGGTAGCTGCGTGTGCTGTCGATACTAGAGGCCCTTTCTGAAAGCCTTCGAGACATGATTGAGGTTGACAGAGCGCTCGCGGCAGCCAGAATAATATCGGAGTCAGGATTTTCACTCATAGCTGGAAGAACTTCAACCCATGATCCACATATGCGAGGCCGTGGCTCATTAGAAAGCATGTCAAGGGGAGATAATTCTTCATCGGGCACATAGCTCCGTATGATGAGATCAACCTTCTCGGCGCGACGCAATTTACAGGCTGCGCCTGGCGTTTGGTGCAGACTGATTTCGTTAGATGGCTGACAAGCAAAGTCCTCTAAATGTGAATCATTCGATACATTTTCTTGGGAGCTGAGAACTTGGTTTGGTACGCTGGATGGCGATCTTCTGCTCTGGGCGGGTTCTGACTGGCTCTGTACGAAAGACCATTTGGCTGGGTACCCTGGACATTGGCGTCCTGTTAATAGACACTGACTACACTCAGGAAGCTTTCCATCACACTATGCATGGCATGAGAATCTTGCCTTTCAAAGTGAAGTGGTAGCGCACGTACACCGAGCTTCTTAGATCGGCAGTTTTGGCAAACTGACCGTTGCCTGACCCTCATTGCACGCTCCAGCGGCAGTGAACTTTGATAGTAAGCATCCGACTTGGTCCAGTAGATAGAAAATAGTCGACTAGAGGTCCTTGAGGAAGAGGCCAGACGACAATACTCAGTGGGATTAGTATGGATGATGTTTGATCCAGGCGAAGGCAACTTCTCGGTTCATTGGGCTGCTCAGGATATGTCAGCTATTACCTAAGTAGTGACAAATAGTTATCCGGCCTGAGGATGTATTGCCGGTGGAATGCAGTATAGTGGCTCCAGAACTGATTATAGGTGATGACCGACATTTTCGGAAAGAGTTCCTTATCCAGATGGGCCGATTCTCAGCGATCATATAGACGATATGGAAGCCTAGGCAAATGGGTAGCCATGCAAAAGTTCTCGGATCAACTACAGAAGATCGTTGCAACGAGTACACAGTAGCACTACAACCTCACCGCGAAATTACTGGGCTGTGATTATTTAGCAATGCCCACAATCAGACTCTCAAAACCGATTATATCCTTGATTTCTATTCGTCTGTCTTTATCGGTGACGTCCGCACAAGAAGCCGAAACGCATCTGTTGGAAGAGACTACAAAATAGAATCAGCTGACCCACCATGTTTGATCTAACCCCAAGAGGAAGTATATTCCGCCAAGAAATCGAGACGCATAAACAAGTGGCTCGGTTCGCCACTTTCTGCTTCTAGGCTGATCCAGTCATCCACAATACCAGAATGAGACTTCCTTTTCATCTACCCCGCCTCTTGAAGTGAGGAATATTGAGTAATATAATAAGCCGTGTCTGTGTATAAATAAGTCTTCCTTTTCTGCATTTCTCTAAGGTAACTTCAGATTCTCTTTCCTTTCCATATATCAGATATAATCAGCTTTCTGCTTTGCAGTACTAAAGTAACGATCAACATCCACAATTGAACCTTGATTAACAGTACTGTTCATCATAATGTCTTCATCCTCCCCAGCAAAATCCCTGCGCCAACTTCTTGGTGCTCCCCCGTCAACCGCATCAGTCCAAGACTCCACCCTGATTATCATCGACGCTCAAGACGAATACGCATGTGGCAACCTCCAGATCGAGGGTGTATCCGACAGCCGCAAAGTAATCTCGGATCTTCTGACCAAATATCGCACCAACCGTACTCACAGTGGTCGCAACATTGTCCACATTGTTCACCAGACCCCACCAGGCGCTCCCGTCTTCACTCCGGGCACGCACCTAGAAAGGGAATTCGAAGAACTCACTCCTGTGTCTGGGGAGAAGTTGATCACAAAGAACTTCCCTAGCTCTTTTGCCCAGACAGAATTGCATGAGTACTTGAGCAGTCTTGGAGATGTTGGAAAAAAGATTGTACTGGTCGGCTATATGGCGCACGTGTGTGTCTCTACGACTGCCAGGGCTGGTAATGAACTAGGTTTTGAGGTTGTGGTTGTGCGTGATGCGGTGGGAGATCGGAACATCCCTGGTGTAGAGGCTGCAACTTTGAAGGATGTGGCTTTAGGCGAGCTGGAGGATGCTTTTGCAACGGTTATAACTGCTCACGATATCACTGCCTAAAGCTATATGTAGTTCCGTGAACGATAATGATTAATTGGGCTTTCTGAATACAGATACATGCTATCATTGTTCTTTAAATAGTATGGAAACCTGAAGAACAGAGTGGATGCAGCATTTATCTATAGAAAGGCGTCAATTAGATAGGGGTCTGAACAGTTGGTACTCTCTGATTGCTCCGTCGAGTCAGTTAATTGTAACAGGTCGTATCAGCCTGGATTCGAGTCCATGATATTCAACTTAACTTACGTATTCATAAACTATCTACACAGCTACATGACGTAACGCTCTAACAAGCGACATAAAGTCGAGAAGTTATTCCAAGCGCTACATCCCACGTTGCCTGTGCAATCTCCTAGTACTCTAGTACTAAAGGTAACTTCAAGGTTGAATTCTATCTATAGAATAACGCTCTCGAATTCCGTCTCTGTTTTCATTTGAAACGATCTCAAATACACCAATGTCTGTTCCGAAGCCTGGATAGTACCCCGAAGGCTTCACAGTCTTTGACCCATCAAATTACATACTTCCAGATAGAACCTAACGCCCAGCCTGTTCTAGAAAACCCACAAATGCCTCGGCCCCCCCCCCGATGTATGGTTGTCTACAGTTCTTTCTGAAAAACTGGAAGTTGTTTTATTTGTTGCCTCACAGCAACACCCGAGTCTCAACGAAGCGCCTGCACCTGCTCAAGCGGACTAATTTGAATTCATAATGGGAATCATGGCGTGATGCAAAGTACGTGAATGCTAACTGATCAAGATTACGACTGAATTCATTGATTTTGACTACCATATGTGGCACCCCCTCTTGATTTCAGTCAATCCATGCGTGGCTACATGGTTATTGTCATAACAAAATTGGGAAAGCATTTTGGCCAAGAACTTGCCATCGCGTGTGCCGATAGCATTATAACCAGTCCCCACACGGGAGAAGCAAAAGCATAAGCACTAGTAACTATTCTACGATCGATGCTGACAATAAGCACTAATTATGAACCTAAATCTGTCCTTCCATGTAACAGGATAAATAAGCCAGTCTCTTCCCTCATATATATTTCGCCAAATTCATCAAGACGTATCATACCACAACCTCGAGTATTTTCCTCTGTAGCGGTGTATATCTTCTGAATCCCGCTATCCCAAACCAATCCCAACGCGATACCAACTTCGTTATATAAACAACACTAACACAAACAAACTCCAGCAATGCCGACCGCTCGATACTTCGCTCAAGCTCCCCCCTTTCCGGCTAATACACCGATCATTAACCTTCCCATTCTCACATTTTCTCAACTACAGTCTGGCAACCCAATCGAAGCAGAGAAATTATTTGCCGCCTGCCGCGAATGGGGGTTCTTCCTTCTCGACCTACACGACTCCGCAGACGGCAGGACTCTCCTTCACGATGCAGAATCTATGTTCGATCTCAATACCGAACTCTTCTCGCTCGACCAGTCAACACTCGACCAATACGCCTACAACGCGCCCAAAGACTTAACAGGCTATAAACGGATGGGCGCACTAAGAACCGACGACGGCAAGCTCGATCACATGCACCTCTACTCCATAAACCAGGACGATATCCTGGGTAACCGTCCTCCCCGCACCAACGCGCCCCCGATCGAGGCGCATAGACCCCAGATCCAGGCGTTCATCCGCCACGCTTCGTCGGCCTTGGATGTAATTCTTACAACATTGGACAAGCAGCTTGGCCTCGAGCGCGATACCCTAAGCGAACTCAGTCCACTGGATCATGAGTCCGAGACTTCTGTCCGCTTGCTATGCAGTCCTCCCCACACATCCGGTGATGCGGAACACGAGCGCATCTCGTTAGGCGGACACACGGATATCGGCACATTGACGCTGCTATTCCACGTTATTGGTGGTCTGCAAATCGTCCCCGCGGGGCTCGAGAATAACATGGAGAATTGGCGTTTTGTTCAGCCCCTGCCAGGTTGTGCGTTGGTCAATATGGGAATACGCTGGTTGAATGGACTGGTCAGCTACTGCGGAGTTCCTTGCATAGGGTTTTAGCTGCTCCCGGGGAGCAAGCATTCGTGCCGAGGCGGAGTGTGGCGTATTTGGTGAGGCCGGCCAAGTCAGCGTCCATGCGGAGAATTCGTGGAGGGAAGATACCGGCGGTAGCTGAGGGAGAAGAGGAGACGAGGCCCGTAGATGAATGGGCGGCTTGGAGGTCGAAGCAGATTATGTTGGGGTTGTTGAAGCCGCAGACGAGAGGGGGTGTTCTTGATGTGTAGGGATCTGTATCCCGGTTTCATCTGGACAGCACACATCCCACCAGATGCCTTTACAGTGCAAGAAATTTCGAGAAAAGAAAAAGCCAAAAACATACAACAGAAGGGATTCGCTGGTGGTCACCCACCCAACTACTAACCTCCCGGCGTGTGGCTTAAGTACGGCTGAGCGGACGGGAAGCCCTGTTTTCCACACCCTGTGGTCGTATGTGCTTGTTTGATATTGTAGCAGACTTATATAGGCAAAATTCTAATAAAAGCGATGACTTGGTCTAGTAGCTGCAAGTGCTTCGTGGACATAGCAGAAGGCCTCGATCAGATGCCGTATAGTGAAAGGACATGTCGTTTTGCCTTTGATGTTGGCGAGGAAGCTTTCATACGAAGATGCGTGCAGGGCGACGCGCCTGAGCTTCGAGGCTAGTCAATCGATCAGGCTTTCAAATCTTCGGCTGGGCTTGAGGCTGCCGTTTGGGGTGAAACTTACGGGAAGGGTCGGTGCGAGCGAAGAAACTCCTTGGCTGGAGGTTACAGGAGAGAAGTTTAATCGAGGAGTTGCCGGACATTGTTCGAGCTGAGGCGGCAAGAATGGGGCTTTGATTACACAGTCGCGTCCTGTAGATATACCTAAACGTGAGAATCATTATCTTAACTGTTCGTCCTCCAGCGGATTATCCTTTCACCTAACACTGACTGGACATGTGTTAAGAAGGTGTAAGAATGACCAGATATAGTGACAAGTAATAGTGAATGAGGCCGTTACTAAAGACTTGTCAGTGGAGTAACCAGTACCCTATCTCCACGGCGACCGATAATTGGTGTAATCACTTGTTCCTTCATGAGTTACGCCTGGTACTGTATTCTTTCACATTTCCACCTAGGATAGCAACAACACAGACCACCGTTTACCCGGTCCCTAAAGTCATTCTCATTGTTGGCAGACCGAGCCTCCATTGGAGCTTCTATCTATTTCAGCTTGTCCGAAGCAACAATCACCACCTCGAACAGCCCTTCTTCAACCTGACCGTCGAATCATTTCAATAATCATGGCAGCACGAGCTGTCGACTTCCCTCTCTTTTCTCGCCTCCCTGCTGAGCTCCGCGTGCAGATCTGGGAAGAGACCTTGCCGAAGTTCGTACGTCCTCTGTACTTCTACAGGGCGGGTTGTTGGACACTAGAAGATGTGGGCAAGAAGGAAGTAGACGTCAGGTTCAACCATCGTTTGCTAAGCATCGACTTTGAAGTTCCAATCCTATCAGTTAATCGGGAAGCATTTCGAGTTACACTCAGTTCGATGAAGAGCCAGGGTATCAACGCCCATGTCACAGTCAAGAAGTCGATCGTCTTCAGACGGTCTTTCAATCCGAAGCTTGATACATTGTTTATATCCGAAGATCAATTCAGGGAATTTTTCTGGGAGCCAGTCAACGTTATCCTTTCTGAAAGAGGATTTGAGAATATTGCCATCAGCTGCACCGAACCTGCCCCTATGTGTCTTGCAGTGTCACGTCTGATCGGCGAAACAGAAGATTCATTCCTTAGCGAGCTATTCCAGCACACCTTCCATCGAAACACCCAAAAGCTGGTTCTTGTTAACAATGCCGGAGTTCTCTCGAACAAAAGACGAGCATCACAGCAGCACTGGGAGTTGAATAGCGCCCTCAGCACCCCAAAGTTTGTGTGGAACAACGCCGGTGACCACTTTGAAGGGGCTGAAGGAATCAGCGATAGCGAACGGAAACTCTTGAGAGGGCTGAATCGAGGTGCCGCTGATGGGATGACCGACGGGTTGGGATGGGATAAGGATCACAAACTTGAGGTCCACCTTGCCACCGCTATCAAGATGAAATTATAACTGGTGTCGACTAGCTGAAGCTGAAATGGTCTTAAAGACATCTAAAAACAATACAAGTTCTTCGCAGACTTCTTTTCCCTCCTCCATACTCTCTCAAACTTAGTGTTGCCTCTAATGAGCCATCATCAGGGGTACTTTCCAAGGGTGCATGAAAGCACACCATTACAAAGGTGATGTAGGAACAAATCGAAATCAGTATATCAGCTTTTAAGCCTGCCGCCCAATATAGAGGGAAAAACCCAGATACGAAGAAAATGGACATTTAATCTCTTGGAAGTCCGAGTCAGGGACTTCTCTGTAAACAAACCAGTATTGTACCCCATCATGATGACGAAATGAGCAGGAAAACCCTTACTTCGATTAGCGGGCTTCTTGCAGGCTATGTTTGCTTTAGAAAAGATTATGAACGATCACAGAATGAAGCCAATGAATCTGCTGCGTCCGGAGAGGCAATATACTGCTTGCTTGCCGCATTGTCCGGGAATGACGACTTGGAACAGTTATTTTCAGACATGGCGCAGGAGGTTGAGCCAAAGCAACCTGTGATTAGCAGTTCTTTGAGCAATTGTACGATGTCAACTGGTCCCCCGGAACCATCAAGTCTTATATTCGATGGTGGTCCTTGGCGGATCGGATGCGAGTTCCGCTCCCTTTTTCAAATCCGGGTTGCCCCTTGGAAGACACCCCGGCCGCCCCGTTTCTCCTCTTCTGCTGCGTTATTACAATCGAGTATACCTACCTATGTATTACCTGAGTAGGATGTGTTGTCTATAATATTATCCATATTGAAGAAGAAAAGAAGGGATTCCACTGTTTCCACCCCAGAGAGAACATCACTACACACGAAGGGATAATGTTACTAACAATGTTTTACTACTCCGTATCATGTAGCACAAATTTCAAAGCAAAATTATAACGATAATAGGAGTTTTCTTGACGAACACAGCATATCCCCTTTACATATAAATCATATCTTAAGAAATCCGCTCTTCTTCCACCCGTCGATATACAATTTCATCGTGTCATCGCTAATAGGTTCCATCTTTGCCATTGTCTTCGAATTCGTTCTGCTCTCAGCTGAGTCAAGAACCATACCACACATCAAAGGCACATAGTAGCCAGAGTAGAAGTCACCAAAGAGGGCGGCTGGGTTGGATGCCCGATCCAACTTAGAGGCCTTTACCTCCTTGACCCATTCTCCAACGGGGATGACCCTATCTGCAGGTATACCAAGCTCCTTGATAATCACCGGTATGTAATCCTTCCAAGCTCTACCAGCAGGGTTTTCGATATGATAGACCGTGTTGGGAATGGAGGTATCTTCGATGGCATCGTCGACGTGGATGAGCTCCACCATTACTGTAGCCACCTGATCAACAGGAACCCACAGGACATGACCAGCAAGATCGGGCCAAGCACGGAGGCTCTGAGCTGACTTGATCATGAAAGGCACGTGTTCGTTCTTATTGAAGAATCCAGATGTGCTGGAACCTCCAATCTGACCACAACGCACTGACATTGCTCGGAAGAAGCCAGGGTGTTGACGCAGAGTCGCCTCAAGCATATGTTCGCACACCCACTTCGCTTCTGAGTATCCAATCGGCTGTGCGCACTCGATTCCTCGAAGTGCCTCGGAAACAGGATGGTTCTTGGCAAAACCAACCACACTGATGGATGAAACGAATTGAAAGCCAACGCGACGACGCTGGTCGCTGTGGCTGCATTGAGCACTAGCAATATCTCGTGCAAGGTCAATTAAGTTGCGCATAGCGACGTATTGGGGCTCGAATCCCCTTACGGTTTCAGTCGGACTCAGTGGGAAAGCGCAGTGCATAATATCGCTACCGTTTTGGACGAGCCAGGCATAATCCTCATCAGATAGTCCGAGTTTAGACTCGGATATTGTGCATTCTAAAACGCGTAGTTTCTTGAAGCTCTCGTCGGAAATATCAATGCCTTTTGCAGATAATGAATCTTGTTGACGGCTCACTGCAGAGCTTGATCTGCTAGGCCGGTTGAGACATACGACAGTTCCAACAGCAGGACTTTCAGCAAGCTTAGCAGTGAGGTGCGATCCCAAGCTACCTGTTGCACCCGTCACGATGACCACTGCCTTTTTGGAGCCATTCCAGCTCGTGGCATCGGAAGATGGAGAAGGAGCAGTGAAATCGGCAGAGTATCTGTCGACGAAACCCTGGGCCAGATCCTGGCGCTTTTTGATATCACCTCTATTGTATGGCATCGAATCGTCAACTGATGACACGCTGCTCTGAGAACTGCTGTTTTCATCTTCTGTGCAGGAAGACTCCGAACTGTTTCCTTGTTGAAGTGTATTCCAAATGACGGTACTAAGCTCCTCCACACTCGTAACCCCCATCATCTCTTCTTGATCAGGCGAACACTTGAAAACGGTCTCAATATCAGAACCCATCTCAACACCCATCAGGGAATCCATACCCAGGTCAGCCAGCTGAGAGTCTGGTTTTATTTCCTCTATAGGCAACCCCAATATTTTGGAAACAATACTCCTAAGCTCGGCCAACACAGTATCATAGCTATATGGTGAAATTGTCCTTTGCACTTGGGCTGTGGACTGGTCGGTGATCCCGTTCTCTGGAACTGCAGTATTAGGATCATTTCGAGCCCCTTGAAGTGTGCATTTCTCCGTGGTAAGCGATATGAGAATGTTCTCCCAAAGCATTTTTGGAACCTGCACAGCTTGCGCCCCAACGTACGCCTGTGTCAGTTGACCGTTGGCGGGATCGAAAACATAAATATCCATCTCACGGATGCGGCTTGTCTTGGCTCGATGGTATACAAGAACGTGCCATTTCTCTGAGCTTCCAGTGTAGGTTGGGGAGAGCAGCGTTTTACCGCATTCTTTGTGAGCCCAGATATTATTTGGTGAGATGGCTTCGGCCATGCAGTTGATTGCAATAGCACCGACTTGACAGAATGCATCACCCAGTCCAGGATCATACGACTGACTGATTGGTTTCCGCACAACACCAGCTGCGACACCATTCCGACCCACAATGCGTTTCGTCCAGCGGTAGAAGTCCCCGTAGGATACCATGTTGTCAATCACTTGGTACACAGCTTGCCCTTGGACAACATGCACTTCATCATCGTCATCCAGATTACCACCAAGAAGCTCCTTGCATTCTTGATGCGAAACAGTGCGCTCCAAAGCATCAAATTCAGTGTTATACATAGTATCTTGAGGGGGGTGGATGTGCAAGCTCGCCTCAACATGCACCAACCTGCTGGCCTCCGTCTGAGCCTTATCTGTACTGGTGAGAGCCCAGTCCCACTCAAGCTTACTCTCGCCTGATGCAGAGAATTCCAGCCAGAGCTTGCGTGAAGGGTCAACACAGATGTAAGTCTGACTGACCATGTCATGGACAGAATATGGGAAGCGGCTCTTCGTCCATTCTGGGTGCAGACTATACAAGGCCACAACAACCAGACCAATCTGTGCAGAAACAGGGAGAACAGGGGCCAGTTTCCCCAGCACATGGCCATTGATCATTTCATGGTAATAGTTTGATTCAGTGTCAATAGCAAAGATGGGCTGGGAGTCGGAGCTTCGGTCCTGCACAAGAGAAAGAAGGTCACCAATTTCCGGCCCTTGCCGGTCTTGAGGACCAGATGCACGGTCTTTGTATTCCAGCCAGTGTCGGGTTTTCTTGAACTGATAGGGTGGTAAAGATAATGGAATGACATCAGAGTCCTGGAAGTGGTGATGACCCCAGAATGTGACAGGGATATCATTCTTCCAAAGTGACAATGTCGCAGCCACAAGACCTTCAGTGCCTCTTCTTGGGTCAGAAATATTGAGCGAGTGGAAGGAGTGAGAAGATGAACAAGACCGGCTAGCCATGGAGGTAACTCCAGACCCAGACCCTGCCTCTAGCCACACGCAAGATGGATATTCTTGAGCGAGGCGTTCAATGGCATGTCTGAAATAGACGGGTTGCCTCATATGGTCCCATACGTTAAAAGGCATAGCCCTTTGACACCCTGTGGCTCTTTCATGGCGAATAACAGGCTGCTTTAGAGTAAAGGATTTCGCCAGCTTTTCCAGCTGTTCCTGGAGGGGCTGGACAAGCGTTGAGTGGAAGGCGTTGGTGACAGCAGTCCTCTTGTGCTTGATTCCTGGCATGGACTCACAAATGGAGGTGACAGAGTCAATGGCCTCAGTAGATCCCGCTAAGGTGAAATGGTGCGGACCATTGTAGCAAGCAATGCTGGCTGGGAAAGAGCCCTTGTAATTTTCATTCGCCTCCTCAAGGACAAGGTTTACCAGATTCTCGTCTCCATCAACAACAAGCATGGCCCCAGGATCCTGGCCCCACGCATCGCGCACTAACCTTGCCCGGGCAATGACCAATTTGACAGTGTCTTTCATTGACAACGCTCCCGAAATACAGAGTGCAGTCAGCTCCCCGAAGCTGTGCCCGACAACTGCAACAACTCTGCTTGACAAGCCGCAGTCCAGCCAACAACGGGCGGAGGAGTACTGAATGGCGAATAGCATGGCTTGCAAATGAGACTGATCTGTTATTGGCGAAGTGGAGAAGATGTCGGGGTAGATGCTAGTACCCCCAGCGGCCTGAATAGCGGCGTCGCAGTCGTCAAGATAGTGGCGAAGGAGCTTCACACTATCATAGACCGAGCGTTGAAGCGCAATGTAAGAGTTTGTCTGACCACCGAAGCAGAGAACTACAGGCCTTTCTTCTCGTAAAGGAATTATTTGTGCCTGAAGCGCGCCGTTTGACAGTTCTCGGAGCTTCTCTTCCAGTTCTTTTCGCGTCTGGCAAGTGAACAGAACTCGTTGAGGCAAGGCGCGGTTGGACTGCAGGTTGAGGTGGTAAGAAATATCCCAAGGGGTAGCATTGGGTTTGGATTGGAGATAGTCGTTTAATTTCGCGCAGTATCTGGTTATGCTTTCCTCGTCAAAGCCAGAAATCCAGAACGGAACAGTGAATTCTGGATGAAGAGTGGGCTCTTTTCTTTGCGGGGCAGTGAGGATCATCGCGGCGTTCGACCCTGTGGCACCATAGTTGCTGATGAGTGCTGTGCGGGGCCCATCTGGCCATTTTCGGATCGACGTAGACACCTCGATCATATCCGCGCCGGTGGATTTGAGATGGGGCGACATCTTTGTGAAGCTGGCTTGCTGAGGGATATAATCGTCCTGTATCATGGTGAGAATTTTGATCAAGGACACAATACCGGAGGTACCCTCAGCATGTCCTACATGCCCCTTTGCAGATCCAAGTATCAGATTGTTGGTTCGAGACGAGCCAACGACGCATTGTTTAACACTGGCATACTCAGCGGCATCGCCAATCTGGGTGCCTGTCCCGTGAGCCTCCATGACGGCGATATGGGATGGGTCAATATTCGCCTTGTCGATCACAGAATTGTACAGTTGAGACAGCGAAGGGGAGTTGGGGACGAAGAATGGTGTTGAGTTGTGATTCTGAAGTACAGCAGAGCTAGCAATAGAACCGAGAACCCGGTCCCCATCGCGGACAGCATCAGACATACGTTTGAGATACACAGCACCACAAGCCTCGGCACGACAGTAGCCATCGGCATCCTGATCAAATGGTTTACATTGACCTGTCGGACTAGTAAAGTTGCTCTGTGCGAGAGCACGGAAGGTACCAGGGATGGTCATCACATTGACACCACCAGCGATAGCAGCAGAGCATTCTCCGGAGAGCAAGCTGCGACAGGCGTAGTGAATAGCAACCATAGACGAGGAACAGGTAGTGTCATAAACAACGGTCGGACCCGTCCAGCCGAAGAAATGAGAAGCTCTAGCAGGGATATAGCTCTTGGTGGAAGTCGCTGAGAAAGCGGATGCATCGTGGGCCTCGGCATGGTGTTCGTAATCATTCATGGTTGACCCAACGAAAACACCTACATCCTTAGGGCTTTCACCCGTGCGCACAGCAGAGGAAAAATACCCTGCGTTCTCAAGCGCCTGGTAGACGGAAATTAGAAAAAGTCGCTGCTGGGGATCCATTGCAACAGATTCCCGTGCGCTGCGTTTAAAAAATCGATGGTCAAAGGCATCCACATCACGCATGAAGTTGGCATACCACTTGCGGGAGGAGTCGAGTTCATGCTTGAATGCGATCCGGTTGGGACCAATTTCTTGGTGTTGGGACTGGCCACTGCGCAGCATCTGCGAAAACTCGTCCACGTCATCTGCCCCGGCAGTTTTGATAGCCATGCCAACGATAGCGATCATCTCTTCGTTAGGGTATGGGGGCTGTGGAAGGGGAGCTGGAGGCTTTACGTCTGCCAAATGTAGGACTTTAGATCTGATACCAAAAAGCAGAGATCGAGGCACGCATTGCTCCAGTCCATAAGAGATCACATACGGATCATCAAGACGAGCCCACACATTCACAAATATGCTGTACCAGTCGCAAGGTAAACTAAGGATGCCCCTGATTGCCATCTCATGTAGACTGCCTTGGGTGAGGGGAGCCTCCGAATCAATGTTGCTGTATACTGGGATTGCTGATTGCGAGGCGTCTGGTAGACGAAGCCCAGGCAACTCTTCACACAGCTGTAGCATGATCCTGGTTTTTCGCTCTCCCTGTGCACTGACATCATGAGCCCGACCATGAACACCCAGCTTGATGCACTTGACGCCAGCATCCCGGGCTTCATCCAAGAATGCGGACTCAACCGCCTCCGGAACACATACGGTAGCACACCCAATATCAAAGGTAGCTTGCATATGAACATGAGGCGAGTGTTTCTCAATAATGCGACGCAATCCTTTCTGCGCCTCATCTCCACGGCAGATGGTAGCAAATGCATAGGCATTTCCATTCAGTTCCTCGTCAATGTCGGCGATAACACCCATCAACACAAGAATCCTTAAACCAACCACCGCGTTTTGTTCAAGCTCGACCATGTTGTGAGAACTGGCAACAACACAAGCAGGGACGAGGCCACCACAGAAGCCTAAGCAGGCTGTCTTGTTCTCCTTACGTTGTGCTATCCAAGACGCTTGGGGGTCTGTTGATCGACCATGACCTTCGTTTGCCATCTGCAAGTATTGCCAATGCTGTATAATTTGTGCGATATACGCCACACAGGCCGAGGTACTGACGTATTTCCATAGCCCTTCCTCGTACAGTCCATGTCGCATGAAGCGATTTAGATCCTTGATGAGTTTTCGTTCTGGAAATACTCGCTCAATCTCAGGAATCTTGGCAACTAATGAGTCCCAGTAGACCGCGAGGTCGTCTAACGCATGGTTGAAGAAGTTGAGACCCTTGTCAATACCGGAACGAGTGCTCAAAACGACTGATTTATCCAATGATTGGATTTGTGGACCGAAGGCCAGAATAGTGTTACCTCGAGCATCTAACAGCTCACGGAGTTGTTGTGATTCCATCTTAGGGCAATTGAGAGAAATAAATCAGTTATTGTTGGATGTTAATCGAAAAGGTAAATGCAAAAGTAATCAATAAAACCACTTAGAGGAGAGACGGCTCGGTGAGGTATGTCAGGCGCGATTTCGAAGCCTTAAATGACTGTCTATTCGCCACCCAGGCGTGTTATATATGAATACATCGATTTATTTGTATCTCCACCGTATCTACACTGGCGAAGCTTTTTAAAAAAACAAAAATTCCCTAATTTCTACAATGATAATAGAAAACGCTAATATGTGAGATAGGCTCAACTTATTTTGGCTAGCTCTGTAGTTCAAGCCACAATGAAACTTTCGATAAAGCCTGAGCTCCACAAAGTAGCCCACACGTCGGGTGTGTGCTCGGACAACGCCACGCATTCATGAATGAATTAGTTGCCTGGCTGCCATATATGAAGTCAGGCCCCCCCTGTCCCCTCAGAGAATAATCCTCCAACTCTATCCTCAGGAAACGCTAGTGAATATTCGGGTTAGCTGCAGGTTGTGGCTTTTTTCTATTGTAAATAATACAGTCACAGTCTGTGATTGTTTGGCATATAATACCCACTTCACCTATCTTTATGCCCGTGAACGCAAGTACCGTGTATAAAATACCAATAAAAGGCGATCAGATTTGTAGAAAAGCCACATTTAGTAGCTAACCTGAATGTAGACCCAACACATATTTGTATAGTTTTAGAAAATTACTTTCTAATTAGACGCGAGGGCATCTAATCTCAGATACCCCAGTACGTGACAGTGAATATAAAGTAGATATGTTTCCAGATATCTCCAGATTGACCACACTCTTCATCACTGCAATTATGTCTTCTACAATTCCCAAGTTGAATAAATCATATCATAATATCCACCATCCCCGTATTCTCTGTCTTCATGGCGGCGGGACAAATGCTAAGATCATGAAAATTCAATGCCGTGCTCTCCGAGCTAAGCTTGAAGCCTCATTCCGTCTTGTCTATGTTGAGGGCCCTTTCGTCACCCATGCAGGGCCCGGCATAAGTGCCGTATACAACAAATGGGCTCCATTTCGCAACTGGATGCCAGGAGCTATCGAGCCAGACGAGTCATCTCCTGGAGTTGCCTCATACTCGGGCTCATCCAAGGTCGATGCACGAATCATTGCTAGCATTGACCAGGCAATCCAGTCCGCGATGGATGAAGACGACCGGGCTGGCGGTACTGGGCCCTGGGTGGGGTTTTTGGGGTTCAGCCGAGGGGCGCAGACGGCGGCCAGTTTACTCCTTCGACAACAGGAGCAACAGAAAAGGGGGTTTGCTAGCACAGATTTCCGTTTCGCGCTACTCATCGCCGCGCCAGCCCCCCTCATAAACATGAACACTTCTTCTGAATTTCAAATCCAATCGAATGACCAACTGAACATCCCTACTGTACATGTTTATGGATCTCGTGATTCTATGTTGAGGGACTTTACGCACGTTTTGCATGATTGTTGTACGCCCAGCAGTACCCAGAGATATGACTGGGATGCTGACCATCAGATACCTCTCAAAACTATCGACGTGGATGCAATTATCCAGATGGTAATGCAGGTAGCTCGAGAAACAGGGGCAATTGAGGACATCTAGATAGTCTTCGTTTTTCCTTTTTTTCCTTTTCTCCTATTTTCCTTTTTTCCCTCTTTTTTCCATTTTTTCCCTTTTTTCCTTAAACCAGCATCCTATAAATAAATTTACACTACACGGTTTTCTACTTTTGGAGAAAATATTTGTCACTTCGCCACAAAACTTCATCGTAGCCGCCTATGGTGTTCTACATGATGTATGCCTTATTTACACTGTCAAATGAACAAAAAGTATCAATACATTTCATATTAGGACGGGCAGAATTCCAGTGGGTCAATCACATATCCCTCGGCATCCTGTAGTGCTACCATCAAAACCTTCCGGAAATTCGGTGATAAAGTTTTGTAGCAGTGTTATACGCTTGGTCACGTGACTAACATTACCTAACCTACACCATCAACACCTGCCTCGCTGCGCGACGCCTACATAGAATACGAGACATACTTTATTCTGCTTCTTGATTATAGCTAGTGGAGCCGTTCCAACAAGTTTTCCACTCCCGTTTTAATGTCCGTGCGTAAAGGACAGATCAGGTGATCGGCACAAACCAGATAGCTGGTTGATCGGCGGTTGACTATTGGATGTACTCCGGTTGACCCCGGTGGTTTTGTTACGATAGTGGAGAGGTGCAGGAATACTATGTATCTTTATAGCATTGAGTCTCGCCTAATACCGCCTGATAGTCACGTGTGGGAGTTGACGCCCGCAAATGTATAAGATTTGATGAATTCAACTAATTGTTGATATATTTCAAAGATATCTTCTACCCATGAACTTGTCTAAAATAAACGAATTCAAAGCACCTTGACTGTAATGACTGTAATTATATTCTTACTTATTAGAATGCTGGCTCTGTCTATCAATAAATAGCTGATTAGCTACAGATTAGTGTTACGGTCCCTTGTTAGTTAGGCAGACTCGTCAGGCAGAAAGCGCCGATAATGGCAGCGCTCGAGCAATTGACAGCTCTTACCCGGTAAAATCTTTGATTGCGCATGCAACGCCCATAACGGTCACACGTCACGTGATATACTTCCACCATGACTACTATTGGTATACTTAGGGTATAGCAAGAACACGGGATACGATCGGGTCGACCACGAAGTAGGCCTCAGATAGTATGCATGTTGATGGTATACAGAGGATAGGATAAAGAACGACACTTTTTCATGTACTATGATACTTTTGTTCTTCGTGCTCAAGCGATAGAACACTCGTCCGCACTTACCTTCAAGTAGCTGCGCAGCACTAATCGGCCTTACTTCTCTTCTCTTATCCAAGACCAGTTCTCCTTAGATGGTCCTCAGTCTGATACACCTTCGACCAAATTCAACGGTACGTTTACACAGTGAACCTAGGCTAACAGGGACAGGGAAGCGATCCTAAGATTTGAAAATATGTTATTGTCAAGTTCAATGTATATAGCAAAATTGACTATATTATGAGAACTGAGAGATAATGCCCAAAAGCTCTTAGATAAAGAATTTAATTATATTCCATTTTCAATCATCAAGTTTAGAATATACATATCATTTACTTTATTACTATATTATCAAAGAATCTCAGCTTCCTATTTAAACCAGCAGCTTTAGTACATAATTCAAAAAGGCAAAATTATATATACTGTATAATACTTCGAAAGCTACTTTTTTCACCAGCTAATAAACAAGTAAGGTTAGGCTGGGCTTTTACATATCTATACTAAATATATAATCAATAGAATCAAATACTTTGAACTGATAAATTCTGGATAACTTCAGTGTAATACATTGTGATGGTGAGCCACCTGCTCGGGTGTGTATATGTTTGTATAAGCAGGATTATAGGGGTCTGCGGGTAGCTGCGGGCAATAATAGTCTTTGTGACCTTATATAGACAACACCTCTAGGTCAATCTATGACACGCACGTTAGCAACCTTCCTGCTTGAATACTGGGGCACCTCAGGGTAAAGTGGAATATAGGATGCTTGTAAAGAAATATGCTGGGACACATATATTGATAAGAAACACTTCCCCTCTCCATTCAGCCTAATGCCTGTGTATCCAATTTCCTAACAACATAACAACATAACAGCAAAGAATAATCCATTATATACACCGTAGCCTCCGATCCAATCAAAGCTTAAGAGCCGTACTTCTCCTTAAGCGCCTCAACAAGAAAAATGTACCTTTCCTGAGCCTCATCAGAGGTGACACCCTCGTCATGGAGTCTCTTCCAACCGTTGTACTTGTACTTGCCCTGTAATGTGAAAATATATATATTAGTGATCTGGAAATCATGTGGGGGAAGAAAAAATAGGGAAATGCAAAACCGGAAATGGAGACTAAGTCAGACTTACCGCAAAATCAAAAGTACCAGGCTTGGGAGCCTCAGCGAAGTTGCTCTGGGTTCCGACCTTATAGAGACTGTAGAGCTGGAGAGGTGATTGATATCAGTTACAGTATGGAATACAGATAATTTCTCGCGCTTGATGGATGAGCAAAAAGCGTACCTCAAGCATCTCCTGATCAGAGGGCTTGGCCTTAAGGTGCTTGACCTCAGCGGCGGCAGTTTCGAATGCACTCATGCTAATGCTGTAGTAATAGTACTACTAGTAGTAGTAGATTCTTCGAGGGAAGGAGAATGGATTGAAGCAGAGATGGAAGTAACTTGAGACGGTGTTGACCTGTTGATCCAGTTTTAGATGAGGAGGAATCGGCAGCCATTAGTCTTCACCGCGATAGCTTCCGCCTGAATTGACCGCTCTTCTTCATGTCCACTCTCGGCTGAACCGTGAAGCTGGACTGATGCGTGGGGAGGACGGGGGAGAATGTGTGGAGGCCCGAGTGCAGAGTTTGATACATCATATCTGACCTAGGATGACCTTGGCAGGCGTTCTCTGAGTTTATCGCGATTTAAGCTTCCCCACTACACCATCGACCTATTTTGGAAGGTAGTATCATTTTAAATTCAGAGCTAGCTAATGTCAGTTTAGTCTAGGTCATGTATTATTATCCCCTAAATCTCTCTACGTAGTTGGAGGCGATCGGCGACCATACCCACATTTCCCGAGTCGCTGGATTCATCATAATTAGCCATGTCGGAAAGGGTTACGGATCGACGTCAACGGGTGAAGATTGGCAAAATTATTTGATCTATGGGTCTTCTACTTCGCACATATCTACTTATACGATCCAACAAACTCCACTGTACCTGTTTTAATGTATTTACGTGGGCCCGAGCTGGTACATACTGGTAGAAAGCTCCATCCACTTGCCAAATATCTCGATAATGGCATCCACATCGACAGTTTTGAGCGCTATCTGATGATCAGCATCCCGGCCATATCTTAGGGTACACGGTACTTGTACTTGGGCCAGCATAGGTGATAAAGAGGCCCTCTACATAGACAAGACAGTATAAGCCTTCAGACTTAGCTTAGAGGGAACAATAATAGTATTTATTCGGCCGCCATGGAGGCAGAGAATATAGAGATAGCAGATAGTATCATATTATCTACTTGGAACATCGCAGTCAGTCTAGAGATATTTGGAGACTGATCTAATGTAGACATTCACAGTAGAATCAGGTGCACATTACGGTGGCGTAACAATAGTTTAGGAATTGACCCCAAACTTTTTTTCCTGGGGTCCGATTAATGCGGGATAGGTCCAGCAAAGATCTACACAAAAAAGGGAGCACTTTAATCTCAGGAAATTTCTGCATGAGGTCTTTGTATCTTGTTTAATCGCGTTCTCAAGTCTAATTCTGGCCTCCCTATGAACACCTTCGCCAACTGAAAAGGGCTCCTCCACCGCAGACACCATGACCCTTGATGCTGAAGTCCAGATAGATCGCAAGGTTAAAAAATATGGGGGACACGTTAGCAAGGGAGATGTCGAATCCACTGAGACTACTGGACCAGATAACCTGGAATCGGATTGGAAACCGACTAAAGAGGTTTTCTTGATCCTACTGTGCTTGTCAATCATTGCAATCATGGCTTCGTTGGACATGACTATATTTTTATCAATCCTTCCAGCGAGTGTCCTCCTCATTGCTCAAACCACCCCTCAAACCATTGATAACTTCTAATTGCTGAAACAGAGTATTGCCAAGGACTTGAACGGTGATGCCACCAGCACTTTTTGGGTGGGCAGCGCATACTTGGTGCCTAGTGCAGGGTTTCAGCCCATTATGGCTTCTTTTTCCGACGTTTATGGGAGAAGAAGAGTACTGGCCATGGCATTGGCCCTCTTCGTGATTGGCTCAATTGTGGGATGTCTCGCCCATAATATGGCTACACTTCTCGCCGGGCGTGTCATTCAAGGAATCGGAGGAGGCGGACTCATTCCGCTTGCGACGATTATAATTACAGATGTAGTGCCTCTACGTCCCAGGCCAAAATATGCTGCCTTGGTTCAGGCATCCATGGCACTCGGTACTATGCTTGGGCCTCTAATAGGCGGTGCCTTTTTGGAACATACCAGTAGCTCAACGGGCTGGCGCTGGGTGTTTTACATCAACTTCCCCCTATCCACCGTTGCCGGAATTTTGCTTTTCTTTTCGGTCAGGTTCAAAAGGGGCGGGGCTCAGCTTCGTGCCGTTGATTGGTTTGGCCAAGCTTTGTTCCTGGCCAGTATCTCCATATTCCTGATCGGCCTCTCGTGGGGTGGAGTGCAGTACACATGGGAAAGCTATCACACTTTGGTTCCATTGTGTCTTGGGGTTGGAGGTATTGTCGCGACGGTGTGTTGGGAAATCCTGGGGACTGAGCATCCTTTTGTGAGGATTTCTGTGCTTCAAGATCGATCTGCTTTGGCTGTGTATGCGGGGTCTATTGTCCAAGGAATTCTAGTAAGTTCTTGTATTGGCGCAATTTGGCACTTTGTATAATAGGCCCTTACTGACCCTCAACTAATTTCTTAGATGTATGGCGAGCTTTATTATATTTCTGTGTATCTGCAGGCTGTGAAAAGCATGTCCGCGGTCATGACTGGTGTTGGCCTCCTCCCAGTATCGGTTGCGCTCATGCCCACAAGTATAGTCGTGGCTATTTTCATTTCGAAAACTGGACGCTACCGCTGGGCGCTATGGTTTGGTTGGGCCGCTACCATTGCAGCAACGGGTGTGACCATTATTCTGGACAGTGATACCAACACAGCCAGCTGGATCTTCATTTTTGCCTTCGTTGGTTTTGGGCATGGAGTGCTATTCAATGCGCTTTTAATCTCAGCACAAGCCTCGTGTGCAGCAGCCGACGCAGCATATGCAGCTTCGATGTATACCTTCTTCCGCACGCTAGGCTTTGCTATTGGAGTGATAATCGGCTCTACTGTCTTACAGAACTTCATGTCCATGAAACTCCACGAATTGGACCTTCCGACTGCGATCGCTCAAAATGCGGAAGGCTTCATTGAAACTCTTAAAACACTAGCCAGCGGGTCAGCTCTGCGTGAAGGTGTTCTAACCGCC